AATATTGAATTCAATAGAGACCTGCAAGTAGGATTAGGCAATTATGTGGATGGGAAGTAAGAAGCTCCTAAGAGGGCCAACATACCCCAGGGCTATAATACAAACATTTTGCGGGACATGATGCGCAGCTATTTCATTCACAGGAGAATTTCCCAATGTAATCCCATCATCCAAGCTCAAAGGCTGTATTATGGGACTGAATGTAAGACTATCATCTGGCGTTGTGGGCGCAGTCGACGTATCAGGGATACTTTCGTCCATATCTGGAGATATCGAGTATTTTTGTGGCATATTGGGAATGAGACCTTCCCTTGAATACAAAAGACACTTGATAATGGTATGTAAGTCTTACTATTTATCAAGGCCTTCGAAAAGTTTGAAGAACGAGATATAGGGTCCCGAGTACTGGAAGATGCAAGTCGAAGGTAAGAGAAAATTATGGTGGTTTTGAAGAGATCTCCACGACCGAATCTAAATTTTAATCAATGTATGAAGAAAAAGGAAGCCACAGGGAAGAGAAGAAAGAGGGAGAAGATCAAAATGGAAGGAGCGAGGGATGAACACAGAAACTGTGCTTCCACCTATCAACAGAAGTTATTCCCATCATCTTGGAGATGCCACCAAGCATCATCAACATATCAATAGGAGTCCAAATTATTAAAATCGCCCATCAAAAGGATGCAGTAAATCAATGTCCGTCGCAAGCTCCCTGAAAATAAAAACAAGAATTAACAAATTCTTACACTAGAACAGCATCAATATGGAGAGATCAATGAGTAAGACCAGGAGGTTCATGCCACAGAAAAACCTCCCCCAGATGCTTAAATTAGACTCATGTCCATATCGACAAATATTCATGGATAGCAGTAGAATCCTGCTATGTGCGATTAGTTTGAATTGATCAATGCAGGACTGAAGGAATGCATGAGATCAATATGAACAAGGTTGTTAGTCTCCCAAGAATGTATGAGTGGATTTAATTAGCAAACATTGACCTACTCGTTTCAAAGAAGACTATTGCTAAGCAGAAGATCACTAGAACTCCCTGCTAAGGTATATTTCAGACGAATGCCGCCTTCCAGATGGGCTCCCAAGATGCTCTTTCTAATATCAATATAAACATTTATACTGATGTGTAGATAAACCCTATGGTTAATGTGCATAATGATGCCAGGAGAAGGGCATCCCAGACCTTGCAATGTTGCTCCATCAACGGCGGATGAAATTGACAAGAATTCTAGGACAATGTAAACCATTGGGAGGATTCGCTGGACAAGAATATATTTTACACGGCGATGAGTCCACGTCGAAATTGAGCAGTAGGAATATACTACTATCATTGAAAAGACGTTCGGGAGTAGTGGAAAGGCAGGATTATAATACGGAGACCGCCTGGAAACCCGCATTCATGCACCGCAAAAAAAGAGTTGTTTATCTCCTTTGCTAGAAAATCCTGGTTGGTGTTCACATGCTTTTGTAAATTTAGCCTTGCAGTACAGATGCCGTGATAGCATAGAATTCGACCCCACTGCGGAGGCTGAATACATAAATTGTAAGGAATGGCATGCTGCGGCAAAGAATTTTTCACGAGCTGACTAGCATCGGAAAGAATCAAACGGTGAGCGGCGTTTCAGGATTTGGCGCTGAAAACCAACAGTAAAGGATCTGAGAACACTTCGATAAGAAGACTTCGAAAGGTATTGCCGCCACTATACCCCGTGAATTGATATGAAAGTCGAGAGAGTGTTCGTATCCTCTGATTTCATCCTCGACATATTTATATCAGATTATGAATAAATTTGGTACAAAGTCTGACATCGGAAGGTGGCAAAGCATGATTGAAAGTATCATAATTAGAAAATGGAAACGCTGCGCTGTAACTTTGTCTTGTATTACACGGAATAATGGATTTAGAATCGAAGTCTTGTTGGTTGGTGGCAGAAGAAACGCGCTGATCCGGAACGATGACACCGATAATTAAGGTTAGATCTAAAATGAATCTAACCAACAGTTTGAATGATCTCATATGGGCGCTTAGAGGGAAACTAACGACCACTCACTTGTTCGCTGCCCAAAAAAGCATCTTCAACAAATTTACCTTGGAGATAGTTCTCAGCCAGTCGCGATGAAATGGCCCAAGTAAGCATAGGGAGTACATATGTGCGTGCAAGACGTGCATACATACTCTGTACTATATTTAGTTAGCATTTATTGAAATCTTGTTGAAGAAACTTTGCGTCGTATTCTCCCGTGTGTAAAATCGTGTGAGCATCATATCACAATGAAGAAAGTATGACTTAGAATATCATCATTCCACTGGCCGATAACAATCTAAATCTGCTGGAAACGATAGAAATAATGTGAAGTTATTCGCGTTTCGTTGGTTGACAGGGAATACCGCAAAATTTTGAAGTAGGATCAAGTCAGCCGGCAACGCTACTTCGCATGTCAGAATTATGAGTTCACAGCCGAGCACGGTTGAGCTAATAAATATTTACGAAACATCTATTACCCAATAAGGCTTGGTACCGGGATAAAATACACCGATTCGGTTAGTGCTAACATTTATTTATGCCAGCCAAGTTTGACAAGGTATTGATCGATGATGAGACTCGGAAAGCTTCACTCCTCATTTTCCAGACAACATTGATGTCTCAACAACATGTCGAAAACGCTGGAGCCTCCTCATCCTAAGGAGTACGGAAGAGATGTTTTTCATTGATACTTGTACAATGTGCATACAAGCGCTTCTTGATGCCGAAATCCTTCACGGGTAGGGCATTCCTTTTGTAGTCGTGGTTCACATTTCCTGTCCCCAGATTATCAATAGATGACACGAAATTACTACAGGCGCTTTTCCCTGCAACTGTCCCTTACCCATATCCATGCATTGACAAGCGTCCTATGCGACCGCCACTCATCTGACAGGCCGTTACCTCCTTGTGTCGATCGCATTCATTGAGTAAGAATCTTCCTATCAACGCTATTGGCAAAAGTTTGATCAAGCATCATATGATGGTTCCACTGTCATAGACTGGCTCTCAGACGTCTTGTTCATGCTACACACCTCCGTAATTGGAGGAACTAGTAATTGTGGCCATGGAATTGTCTCTCAGCAGACAGGGCTAAAGCCGAGCTTCCAACCAAGAATCGTAAGTCCGACAAAATTTGTCTGGGGTATTTACATGCTCATGTATCGAGTGATCAAGATCACTCCCTGGTTTGAGCTTCACATTGTGGTTTTTGATACCAAATATCTACGACTTTCTGTAACGGACTCAAGTTTTTCCATGCTAAGCCTTCCTCTCTGACAAGACACCTACAGTATTCTCATCCTTCTTCCTATTCCTTCCTTCTGCCTCCCATCATTTATACTTTGGTGCTCTGGCAAACTAAACTATCATCACCACTTCTCCCACTTCAATTTTCGGGCAGGCCCATTCTCTCTCTATACCTTCTCTTCTTTCAAAGCTGTCTCTACATCTTACCTGAGGCACGACATTTCTTTTTACAATTCTTTCTCCCCGCCGGCCGGATCAATCAATTTAAATTCTATTAATTTTTAAATCATATCTTGACTTCTTCTTACTTGCCGGTCTCGTCGTTCTATCACTGTCCATCATGTTTTGGCACGCAGCCGCGACACTATCACTTCTCCTTGTCGGCCATGTAAATGCAAGTAGAATCATGGATATAGCGCCGGTGGTTCGTCGAGATAATAAGGATGAGGTATTACGGCGATATATGGACAACATAATTGAGGACCGTCGAAGATCTATCACGGATGCACCAGCAACCACAGCAGCTACGAATATGTCGGATTGGAATACTCAAACTGAGGCAGCATGCGGTCAGGCACTAGACTTACTAAATGCTCAGGATACCAATCCATCTGGATTAGCAGTCTGTTATAATCTGCCGTATGTCGACAACACTACTGGTGTTTTTAAGGCTGATCTTAGACTGTACAATGTCTCGGCTCCAACAGGAGCATTTGCCAATATTCCGAGTCAGAAAGTTGAGGTTGCGTTGAGTTACGAAGGGGCTACAGTATCGGCTGTTAACATGTCGACATTGATGGCCCGAAGCGACGGTACCTCTTTAATTTCATGGCCAAGGAAAATTTCAAAGCGACAATCAACACCAGACAATTCCACAGGGAAGACTTTTACTTTAGTTCAATCTTATGCTTTCATTGGCCAGATGAATAAGGAATATATTGGCATGGACATGGACAGGTATGTTACATTTTACAAGATTACAATGCTTCCAATCTAACTTGATTTAGCTCAACTATGGAAGCACTCCTGACCCCAACCGTGAGCTTGACTGGCAAAGATGTTCAAGGTGGAACTGTGAATACAACCCTCAACACCAACCAAGCATCTTTCGTCAATGGTGCGTTTTCCACACAAGCTGCTGGAGTCACAAAAACTGTCGCCCAACCTCCTATCCAAACTCTCGTCGTCGCCTCCGAATCTCCTTTCGTGGTTCCCGGCCTCAACATTCTTATCTTCCCAATTGGTGGCGTCATTACAGGTATATGGGCAATTTTATTCATTGGTACCATTTCTTATGGTACCATTGGTAGAATCCAGTTCCGAGACCAATTCAGATCACGAACTGCTAGAGCTCAGAAAGGGAATATGTCACGAATTTAATAGGCTCTAGAGCTATCATGTGGATTGGAGGAAGTGTACAAGTTTATTTTCAGTGGGGGACTATATCATTTATAGATTTTTGGGGAAAAGGCGCGAATATCAGAGAAACGGCAGTTTTGGAACAGACTGGAGATCATGTTGAGGATTGAGGTGAAGATACCGCGCTCAGGGTAATAAGCTTGGAGCTTGATTCTCTAAATCAAAGGTTCTTTCTGAAGCCCAGACATATGGCCAGTCCCAAGGGCTATAAATCCACACGCCATGACCGTATCGTGTGTTCTTTTGAGTTTATTTATTTCTGCTTGGGGATGGAGATGAGCAATATTGCAACGAGACACGATTATTACCTCAGTTTAGAGTTTATAATACGAATCAAAAATAATTCAAAATCAAGTCTGTTCGGTTTCTTTCCGGAGAACATATTATTTTATTACTTGATAACTATTTCTTGATTTATAAGATGAGGGAGGGGATTAATATGCATACCTAGACAAGATTAACCTGCGGAAAGTCACAATGAATTTCAAAATACAAGACGTCGTGAAAACAGCCTCAACAACCATCATCTTGGCAAACAGCCTTACAATCAATTTACTTCCTACTCGATCTCACGAACTACAATCCTCCCGTCCAAAATACAAGCGAGGCTCGGCATTTCTGGCCTAAGGATTCGCATCAAATTTTGAAGGATGAGGTTTATTTGCCGTGTTGTAGAAATTTAGCCCCTAGAGTAAGTTTTTGGAATCGGCGTTTCACAAATGCGACGTGTAAGAGAAGTGTTCGAGCGGACTTGTTTGGCAGGGATGGTGACCCCGTGTTTGGAGTTGGGTTTGAGGGCCGTGAGCGAGGTTGTTAGAGGAGCTTTTTTTGATGCTTTTTGTTGTCGGTGGAGAGCTTGACTTGGGATTAGATTGGATTTTTTGGAGGTGGTGGATGATGGTACGATTGGATTGGATTAGATTGGATATAGAAAATGAAGCAAAAAAAAAAATACCAGACACCGACGAGAAGGTCGAGCACGTGCGCAAGAAGACTTTTATATCATGTGATCTGAACGCTCGGGGTCTCCAGCTTGGCTTCATTTCACGGCTTTCGAAGAAGGGTGTCAAAGAACAACACTACGATATCTTTGATGGCATACTTTACCCTTGCTTGGAGTTGCTCGATTGCCAAGAGCATCCGAGAGAATTCCTATATCGAAATTAACGATGGCAATGCTCATGCGAAATATAACCTACTCCAAAAAGCTGAGCCCCAATTCGTCACATCGATTTTCGGGGTAACCCTCGAGCATTCAGGACTACCCGAGGTATAATCATATTGCATGAGCGACCATGAGGGATCAAAGCATGATGCTCGAAACGATGAATCTCATGCACATGTTTCTGGTCGATCACTATTCGATGAAGACAAGTATCCATGGGGATGGTTTTTAGTGAAACCGGCATCACCCTTTCAATTTCTAATCTATTAACCTTTTGAGTAAGAAACGAAAAGCGTCATTGTTGAGTTGTCATCTCCCCCAAAAAATTTGTTTCTTGATTTTGTTTCTACAATACCTACGGCGACTGGATCGCATTGAATGACTGGAATCGTTATTTCGTGATTGGATTGCTGTGGTGTCCTACATTCGTTTTTATATCCATAATATTTCATCTGAAGTTCTTCAAGTTTCCAACTGTTCCATTTCAAGCTATTTGATTTGACAGGTTCATCTTCACATACTTATACGACACTGCAAGCTTGAGATTGAGCTCTCAAGCTAAAGAAAGATGGTTTCGGTGGCAGATTTAGTCACAGAATTACATTGCAATATTGATGAAATTCATAAAACTATCGCTCTAATAAGTGATACTTCATATCATGATGCGGAAATTACACGACTCGAAAGGGAACGCGATGAACAGCTTCGACAACTGAAGATGGCTCATGAGGCCGCAATGAAAGAGGCGGAGGACGCACGATTAAAGCGGGAAAAAGAAATCGAGGAAGAAATTCAGAGAGAGGAGCAAGAGATAGCGGAGAGAAGGAAACGTGAAGATGAGGGGAGGAAGTTGAGAATTGAGAATGCAATGGAGGAAAGGAAAAAGGTAAGACAAGAGGAGGAAGAGAAGAGAAAGGCCGAATTTGAAAGTCAGCATAAAGGAGTTGAAGATGGAATCGATGACGAGATGGAAAGATTGGAGGATGCATTGGAGAAGCGAATGACGCATGGTCAGAAAGCTTTAGAGGATTTAGATGCTGCTAGAAGAGTAAGTTTGCGACCTGGTTTTTTGCCTTGGTTTATTTCGATTTATGCTAATACTTGTGCGAAATTAGAAAATCAACAGACAAATCGATGAGCAACTCAATGTTCCGACTGTACTCCCTGTAATTCAATACAAGAGTCGCAGAAAGATCTTATTGAATAAGCGAAAGTCAGATCTGTCATTGGAAAACCAGAAAGTCAAGGATATTGAGGAAAATGGACAAAACAATCCGGAATCAAACGCAGACGTAATGCTTGATTTGGATGAGCACAAACACGAAGACCCTCAGCACGATGGGACTAATGTTGCAGACAATGAAAGAGACCTTGCGTTAGAGCCAGTCAAGGATTTTGGGTTACAGCGAGATTTCGCACCAGCAGAAGAGGCTGTTCAACCAGAGCAAGAGGCGCAATTCCCAGAGGTAGAACATGTTGAAGAAGTATCTCAGCCTGCCGAGGAAACTCACAGTTCAGTGGCCGAGGAGAAGCATATTGAAATTGAAGAACCACGAGTTGCTGAGCCAGAACCCAAGATTGAGAGCATCGAGTTAGAACCACAAAATCAGCCTCAACAAGACACGGTACAGCCTGTTGAAGATGTACTAGAGGAGAACCATGAATTTCCTGCAACTTCCGGTGCCGAGACACTCCCAGCTTCCGATGACACTCCAACTGCTCAAATCGAGGAGAATAATTCGGCCGAGACAACACAAAATGAAACCAATGATACTCTAAAGCGAGACATTCTCTTAGTGGAACCAGAAATTGACGAGGATGCCGTTGAAGGGAGCCAATCTACTGAAATTTCTTCCGAAGATGCCAAGGATGCCACAAAGCCAGAAAACACACCGCTAGAGATAGCTAAGGAAGTCGAGGCGTTTCCAGCTCATGATTTAAATGAATCTCCGGAAGACAGAGCAGCCAGGGAGGAAATAGCTAAGCTGAATGAGGAGATTCGACGAGCTATGGAAGAGGAAGCTGCTGAAGCAATGATACCTCATGAAGAAGCCAAGGATGTTTCTCGAGATGTAGGGGAGGAAAAGTTGACTGAATCGGAAGCTTCACATGCTCCTGAAAATGTTACGACTCAGGATTTCGCCAATGAACCTTCTTCGGAAAAGAAAGAATTCAGAGAGGAAGATGCGTTTCCTCAGGTAGAAAGCACGCCAGTAGTCACTGAGACCGTCAATGTTTCAACTGTAAATGCGGATTTTGAGACAGATGTGAAGCCCGAGATAAATGAGATCGAGAGCGCTCAACAAAATTTAGATGCCCCAGACAATGACACCGAGAATAAGGAAATCCTTGAATCAGAAGAGCAGGCGAAAGACACGACAGACGAATTTATTCAAATACCAACTGAGGGGCCACACCTAGGTGAAGAGCCGTCGTCCGAGCCAACACTTTATGCTGATCAAACTCCTGAAGATCACGAGCCCTCACATAATGAGACATCGTCTATTCATGAATCTACAAGTGGAACTGAGAACAGCACAGTCGCAGAGACACTCCTGAATTTGAAGGAAAAGGCAATCTCACCTCCTGTTGCAGTTGAAGAGGCTACATTAGGCAATCAAGATCATGGAAATGCAGAGATGGAGAATGAAATTGTGCTCGAAGAATCCTCAATATCAGATGAGGAACATGACATGAATCAATCGTCAACAGAAACAGAGATGGTCCACGAACCGGAATTCGAGACCAAAGAGCCTGCTACTTTTGGGGAATCTGAAGCCGAGGCAACTCAAATCCCACTTCCAGAACCAGAGGAGACAGAGGCTGCTCTACTTAGTGAGGAACCAGCACAAGATTCTAATTCCTTGTCAATTGATGAATCGGATAGCGAAGAAAGCCAGCAGAAAATCATTGAACCATTGAGCACTGAAGATGTCAATCAGGAACTTGTGCCTGCACCGACTGACACTACTCTCCCAGTAAATGATGAGACGCCGACTACTGCTGAGGAGAACATTATTGGCGAGCAGACGTCCGAATCCAACGTATTAGAAAAGGAAGTGGAAGTTAAAACCGATGGGTTAGTCCCAGAACAAGACCTCATTGAGCGAAATGTAGAATCTGAGAAAGACGGCGGAGATACTGCAAGCAGAGAGTTGAACACTGAAGAAAGCCAGGAGGAACCCTCTCAAGTCATTTTGTCCGAGGCAGGAGAGATGAAAAGCAGTTCAGATGAAACTTTTTTGCAATCAGAGCCAGCGCCGGAAGTGGTGCAGTCTGATATTGAGAGCCATGAGGCTTTTGAAGATCATATATTATCTACCGATTCTCAGCTTGCTGCCGAAAGTAATGATGATATCAACGAGAATGCTGTTTCGGTACAGGAAGAGCCTCGTGTCAAAGATATTGATATTGATACTCTTACAAACTTTACAGCCGACGCCGATTCAGATGATGAGACGAAGCTCGCAGAAACTCGTGATATCGCTTCGGATAATAACGCCAAGGAAACCGAGGTAGACTTTGAGCCGGTTGTTACTCTTCCTGACCATATTCAAGATGCTCAAGAAAACCCACAGGAGACAGTTGAGAGTGAGGAAATAGGCACACATCAGCTGAATGGCCCAGTTAATGACGACATAGCTAAGGATGAAAATTGTATCAGCGGAATAGCTGTTGATAGCAATTCAGACAAACTTCCGCAGACCAGTGATGAGGCCGTTCAATTAACAGGTCACATCAAGTATCGTATTAACGAGCTGGAAGCTGCCACGCAGGAGGGCGAAGATGTATTGAAGGTTCAGCCCGATGATGAAGAACGAGCGGTTACTTTCGGAGCCCCAGTTCCTGATACTGAGAACAAGAATCTAGAAATCGCCGAGGAGAAGATAGAACCACTACCTGATTTCGATATTCAAGAGCGTGTCTCATTTATTGAAGATTTAAACACACCTGGTCCTGAAGAGTTTGAAGGCACTGGAGAAGCGACCTTGACTTTGGATGTTGGGTCTCCACTTCCCTCTCCGACAATTCCAAAAGTCACCAGCAGCAGTGAAGAAAGCACCCGAGCGGAAGGTGATGTTGTTTCACATGCTATGGACTTGGAAGTAGGAAACCACCAAGAAGGACACTCTGAGGTTAGCGACTCTTCCCCGGCTCAGCCAGATGATGAAGTGGTACTGGAGACGCCAAGTCCAATGCAATCCGAAATGGATGAGCATGCGGAAGTGGCTAAGAGTGAGCAATCGACTTCGGGAGATGATGCATCGATACATCAAGAGGTCGAAGAACCTTCCAAAAAGGCAGTTGATCATACTCCATTCGAGAGCCAAGAGCTTCATCAACTAAAAGACCTGCATTCTAATTCTGTGGAGGACTCTGTGCAAGAAAATAATGATCAGGACCATGAAACCTCCCGGGAGATTAATATGCAACCTGAAAGTAAGAGCTTTGGTCCTCATTTTGAAAACACCACCTTTGTTCCAGAGACGTCTGCATTAGGACATCCGATAGATGAAGTTTCCGAAGTGCCAAATGTGGTCGAACAGGTAAATCCTGAGACCCATGACGAGCCGGTAATTGAAAAAGAAGGCGCAGATGGTGAAAATACTGATGCTGTTCATGTAGATGAAGAAATTGACCAGACAAAAGATGATCACGCTGAAAAGTCCGGAGAATTCAATCATCCAATGATCACCCAGACAACGATTATACCAGAGTCAAGCCCGAGTGCTTTGACAATTGCTGAAGCCATCGACAGTAAATCATTACGTCAAGAAAACGAACAGCCAGCCGTTGTCGAAGATGAAGAGGTTGATACTTTACCGGAAGTAAAACCCACTAGCCAAGATACTTCATCGCAATCCCAGCATATACAACACGAAGACCCCGAAGATGTTCGTGCTAGAGAGGAAGTTGCTCGTCTAAACGCAGAATTTTTGAAGGCTATCGGAGAGGAACAAGCTGATGAATCTGCCGAATCAATTTTAGGGAACGATGACAAGAGTGTGGATGAAAATGAAACCATTAAAGAAGAACAAGAGAAACCGAGAAGAGAGAGTGCAGAGGACAGCGCAGCGAGAGAAGAGATTGCAATTTTGAATGAGCAAGTGAGATTGCTAAATCAACAACGACAGAATGTGGGTGAATCTGCTGAGACTGAAGGTGTAAAGGATGAAAGTCGCGACGTTTCTGAGGATAGTGAACCTCAAAAGCCTGAATCGAAACAACCATCGATCAACCTGAGTGAAGTTCATCATAGTGAATATATTGAAGATCGGGAAGTCAATGACATACCCACCTCATCAGTCCAGCAACACGAGAACCCGAAAACTTCCGGTCAATCTGACCTTATCTTGAATCCAGAAAATGGAATAGAACAAACCATCGATGAATCAAGCCAAGAGATCGAGGATTTACAGCACGAACATGAAGCTCACGAACTTCAAGATTCCGGCTCGGAAGGTGAAGAAACCGAATTTCATTCTGAAAGCGAGGATGAGTGGGATGGTTCCTTAGAGGATGAAGATGAACCGCTTCCTTATCTTGAGACTATTCACGAAGAATCACATGAAAGTGTTTCTCATATTGAAGATCACAACGATGGGGATGATGGAGCAGAAGAAATGTCAACGAGTAGATTTTTCCATCCACATTGGAAATATGAGGATTTGGATGATGAGCTTCTGAAGGAGAAAAGTGGATCCGAGCATGCTGCGATGGAGTACAATAGTTCTCGTGGTTTACAAGATATCCCAGCCGAGGAATCTTTCCATAACCCGCAAGTTGAGGAACGTCACGTGGAGCTATCGGTTTTACCTGACATCGGTCATAGTGAAGCAGGTCAATATTCCGAGAATTTCATTCCAGAAGTCGAGGATTCAGAAAATAGTCCATTAGTCTTAGAGTCCAGAAACTCAGCTGATAAGGATATCTCACTAAAAACTCTCCAAGCTGGATTAGAGCCCCAGAATGAAAACAGTCTTGGAGTTTCGAGGCCTCGATTGAACCGACCACAAACCCCAATGGCATTCTTTTCAAATGTTTCCAATGATAAAGAAGTGGAATTGCCTCACATCATCAACGATACGGATGTATTAACCGATGATGAGGAGTCGAAAGAAACAACGGAGAATATAAACCATTCTAATGCTACGGATCTACCACGAGTATTAGAGCCAAGCCCTATTTTGGACGAGAACCTTGAATATTCTAAGCAGGAGGAACCGGAATCGCTAATCCAAAATAACAACCTTACCCCAGAAGCTACCCCTCGACGTCCAACACCACTCTATCGTCGAAGTAGTGATTTGAGTCCAGAACATGAAGCAGTGTTCTCAAGAGTTTCTAAGATTCGGAATAGTCTAACTCCTTCACCTGAACCCCATCAATCGTCAAATATTGCACTAAGCCCTAGATCACCATCTGGGGGATTTCCACCTGATGAACATCGAAATTGCTTAGATGCTTCTATCAACAGCGCATACAATGGGTGGGGATATTCTACCTCAGATGAAGATCACCCCCAAAACGACTACGGAACTCAATTGAACAATGACAATGGTCGTAACCGTTCTCATACTGTTGATACAGTTCCTTCTTTTGAACATTATGCATCGGATGATGGTGATTCGGGACCTGCAACTCCACCTCAAAAACTGCAGTATTCTGATCCCGTGACTCAGCAACCGCATATTAGTCAAATGATAGCGTCAGAATTACAATCTTCGGAAGGATGGTCAATTCCCAATGATGATACCCAGGATTCAGCAAATCAGGAGCAAAATAATGACGAAGTGATTAAATCCCCAAATCTTCAAGAAACAGCGGAATTCGATCCTTTCAATCCACAAGAATACAAATCTCCAATACCAAGCCCAGAACATTCATCGACATTTCATGTAAGCAATGTACATGTCGATCAGGAATATCCTCCAACTTTGTCATCTAATCCACCCTCCCTCATATTGCCTGAAAAGATTTTAGGCTCGAATGCACCAGCCTCTAGCGCGATATTTACATCACAAACTCCAGTCCGAATGGAAGAGAAATCAGTTTCTCAGCTCCCTCCAAATGTCTATTCTGTTCCTTGGACACAAATAGAAGGCCCATATAAAGCGCCAAATCAAGAAAAAGAAACAGCGTCTCCACAACGTAATTCAAGACCAGTTAGTTCCATCTTCGCTAGAACACGCTCGCTATTTGAATCAGCAGGTACCAATGATTCAACCCCAGCTAAACCAAGACCATTATCTGGAATGAGCATATTTAATGTCGCATCGCCATCTCGCTCGACACCTTCTTCTACACCTGCTCAAAGTCGTCCACATAGTCTCTCGTCCTCGAGTTTGCGTAGCGCGAACGGTTCTAAGAGATCGAGTCTTTATCTAGCGGAAAATGCACACGCAAATGCAAATGGAACTGCGAATTCGAACATAGATTATGATCCAAACACCGATGCGGATTTCTTGCCAAAGAGTCTAGATGGCGATGGAAGATTACCTAGTCCAGCATATGGATTACCTGGACATAGAAGTAGTAGTAGTTTTGATAAGGAGAGATTGTATGGTGATGAGGAGGATCCTTATTATACGCAGAAAGGGGGGAATGCTGGTAGTTTTATGGGGTTGGGGGGTGTTACGAGAGGAGGTGGTGTGGCGGAGGATGAACCGTTGTTGAGGGGTGAGAAGTGATTTGCGGTTTGTATTGTTCAGGGATAAATGGAGGAGTGGGAGGGTATGGAGGGTTGGGAAAATGGAGAAGGAGGGGGATATGAAAAAATTGAGGTGCGTGGTTGGAGGGGAGCGATTGGAGAGTGTGCGGGAAAGATAGATGGAGATGTCATTAGTGGAATTGGGAATGAGATGGGCATGCGGAGTTGGGGATCAGGTTCGGAAGTTGTAACGGTTTTCATGATGTAAGATTACGACATGGACAGGAAATGCGGGAAAGTGGCGTTTGAAAGGTATGAATGGCATCTGTATATGTATATGTATATGTACATGTATATCTTTGTTATGTTTATGTTTATATATTTATATCCTCTATATTATTATTACGATATCTATTCTTAGCTAGGTACTCTGTAATTATATAACGCAAATTCAGTAATTGTAACTTCAACTCTAACATTCTGAATCCTGATGCTACCTTTTACCTTTTACATTTACATTTCATTTCACTTGCAACTCGTCACGTAAATTTATTCTCGCTGAATATGCTGGGCATTTCACCTCTAGCTTGCATAACCTGCACTCCAAGAAATTGCAATCATCATATTTACATTCTCGAATAACATTTTTCTTATTATTTTGGTAAAGTAAGGTGAGGTAAGTTAAAGTAAAATCTTAAACTAGGTAGTACTCGATACTCGATACTCGAAGAAGATAAAGCTAAAGATAAAGATACATCCGCATGATGAGCGACATCTAAAACCCTTTCCACCCTACTTCCCCCTCCGCCCTTTCGCCCTCCCACCGCCCGCCCACCCACCATACCACAACGAAACAATTCAAACCTTCCGTTTCTGCAAACTAAGCCATATATCCTCCCAATGAAATAAACCACCCAGAATAACACGTCTAGGAGGACCAGGAGTTTCTTTACTCGGTGCGCATAATTTGAAGTTGAAATTGCGGAAGAACTGTAGTCATCGGGAAATGTTAGTTGCTTGAGTGCATAGTCGAATAGAATAAGACGTACCATCAGTGGAGATTTCATCAATTCCATATAAGCGAGATCCTTGCCTAGACATACCCTCGATCCATATCCCCAAGTAAAATTATACTTTTCGAACAATTTTGTTTTTTCTTCGTCTTCAAGCCATCGTTCTGGTCGAAAAATATCGGCGTCTTCGCCGTAGATTTCTTTATCTCTGTTTGTGATGTAGGAACAACAAGTGATTTCTGTGCCGGCGGGTATGATTTTGCCATCGATTACTAGAGGAGGTTGATCGGCGGTTACTTCGCGGGGGAAAAGTGCTGGGGAGGATGGAGTGAGTCGTAGGGATTCTTTGACGCATGCTACGTAAAATGGGCAGTGCTTTGATACTTCTGCTGCTTTGGGGATTGGTTGCGAGAGATTTCCACTTGTGAATCCGGTGTCTATTTCTTTCATCATTCGAGCGTAGTCGCTAGGGGAGGAGAGGATATCGGTTAAAATGGAGCTAAATGATGTTCCTGTAGTATCGGCTCCAGCGACTAGTACAACTAGAACTTCGGCTTCTAATTCGGTTCTGCTTAATGGTTTGCCTTCGGGTGTTCTGGCTTCGAAGAATCTTGTGGTATGATAGGTTAGTTGGATTAACGGATTTTGGCGACAGGAAGAAACTCACGATTCTAAAAGGTCGAGTCGTTCTCTTTCTTTTCCCTCCTCATTTTCCGTAATCCTAGCATTAATGATCTTATTCCTCCATCTCATCAACTGACCCATGCCATTCTTCATATCTGGCGTTGCGGTAAAAAATGACTTTAGTGGTCCTGAAGTCAACCTTTCTACGAAAGGGTATAAATGTGCCAAAACACCAAAAATCTCAACTCCATCGTGTACACTTTGAATCAATCCACCCACATCCTCTTCCTTTTCCACGAACCCTAGAGCTTGCCCGAAACCCACTTCGCTGATTGTATCAAAAGCAAAATATGTGGCCCAGCTTGCCATATTCACAGGTTTCCCTGTCTCTTCGAAAATAGTTCTCAATTTCGCAAGCCATGCCGAGATGATTTTATCAACGAGGGGTTCCGCTTTAAGTATCTTGGAATATGAGTAAGGAGGTCCGACTAGCCTTCGACGAGCTGAATGTGCTTGATGGCCTCGTATAGAGATAACAGGTTCAGAGGGTAACCCTCCATTACTGTAGAATCTAGATTTAACTGCGGTGCGGTGATATATGAGGGGTAGAGCGAATGCTGATTTGACGAGAAGAGTTGTTGGTGAAATACGCAGAACAGGAGCTATTTCGGTAATAATTAGCGCCTATTGTCTAATAACATGTGAGACAATAAATAATTACCTTTAGTTTCTTCGAATAGATTTTGATATGTCGTTAATTCGCTTTGATTAAAGCTGTGAAAAGTATACCAAAGTCTGGTGACAGTGCCCCAGAATGGACCTGGATATTGTCTAAGGGGGTGGAAGAAACGATAATAGATGATTTGATAGAGAAATGGGACAATTATCCAGCCGAGTATTAATAATATTATATTGACAAAAGTCAAGTAAGAAGAGACAATTGATAATAACGTTGGAGAGTTTTCCATCGCGACGAAAATGTCGTATGTACAGTTGTGAGAGTCGGAAACCAGCTTTGCGATTAGATCGTCCAGATTAAAGATTGTGTAATAATGTAACAATGTAAAGATGCGAATGAGGTTTACGAACTCTAATAGTTAATACTCTTGATGAAAGGTAGAATATTGGCATCATATATATCACCGAATGAAGGGCGTGGACAAAGCCTTTGTGAGCCATCATCTCCTGAACATAGTTGTAACATTTCGACTCATTCTCACTAATTTTCAATCATTGTAACCTTACAGCATGCATGTATGTATCTACTCATTTCAGCTGCTACAAATCGGGAAAAGGTACTCGAGCAAGTCTTACATATTCACCCCGCTTAATGAGACATGGGATTTGGTGAGATGGAAAACATTAATTGGAATTCCTCAGGTATGTATAGATTGATATAAAAGAATAGAAGAAAGTCTTTACTGATCTGTGCAAAACTGATATCGATATTCAATGTCGATGCATGTCTTGGAATTGATGTTAAGGGGGCGGTGACCATAAATGGCGATTCTAAGGCAGAATTTAAGCTTAGAACCGAGGCTCAGACACGACTGTCAACTTCACCGAATATAACAAGTCACCACGCGCAAGTACCAAAGGTACGCGACCAGGTATTCAGTTCTTATATGCGGTTACGAAGAACCTTAGTCTCTGCCATACTGACGTCCAAATATGGTGCTAAACAGTCCTAAAGACAGATCTTCCTCACATCCAGCGCGCTCGAACAAATGACTGAATCCCAAACGAAGCCATTCACCACGATATCGACCTTGAAGATTATCGAATCTTCATAGAAACCAAGGCAATGCTATTCTAAGTTACTCGCACATGTTTCCGATACTAGACTCTACGTTCACGAAGAAGATATCACCAAGAGGATAAATCGATACGGGAAAGTCAGTCAAAACTGCAACGTGGTTATTGGGATTCATTCATATATTCTAACCACCATTCAATTCAATGTCTTTGGATTATCTAGATGGCACATTACAGCGCCATCTCCCAAGCGAAAATACAGAATCGAATTAAGCTCGAGAAAGTGGCATGAGAAATGATACAAGCTAAATCTAAAGCAAGTGAAGTCTGAGGAGTTGAAGGCACGAATTGTTTTCGATGTGATCGGCATTTAATGGCATGATGTTGTTGGATGCTATGGAATTTCTTCATTTTCTCTGCGGCACAATACATGGGTAGGAGATTTTTATGGCGGAAATGTCTTGGAGGAGACATTCCATAAGGTTATCGATTTCTTGTGCCTCAAATCTCGGATCCTTACGCCGCCATTTACACTGGCGATGTATTATAGCGAAGGTTGCTACGGAGATCTTGGGAGGATCCGATAATTTGGTGGCCATGATCACGCAACGGTTTGTTGCTTCATTTTAAGCTTGTCGATACTGTCCTTGGCTGTCCAAGCTCGAAGCTTCGTCACATATTTTCTGGGATTTTTCAACAATACATTATAGACCATTCTAGGCTCTCCGTATAGATCCTTCACATAATAATCGCATCTGGGTCTGTAAGATTTGCGAATATTCCCTATCCCGACTTAATTGATGATTCCTTTTTGTCAAAAAATAATCATCAATCTCAAGCTTTGTTGAGTTAACAGCGGAATGTCAGTCAATGGTCAAGCATTTTCCTGGGTGCTAGAATTACTGTTCTGGAATTTCTACTGAACAAACTCATCATCCGGCCACAAAAAAGCAAAATCTTCCTTTTTTTTTCAGCGTGCAGTTGACAATGTAGGAAACTTCATTGAATCTCACGTTATCGACATCGAGTAACTTGCGGTACCTCATGCGAACATTGTTATATCCCTCAGATTTCGTTTGACTTCTTGGGCCTGCAAGCTGATCCTTCTTTGCTAAAAAGGTAACGCAAGAGTATAACAAATGTGGTCCCTTTCATGCTCTCGTGAACATTTATGTCTGTATCCATTCCTGCGCCGGATGTCAGAAGTCACTTCCATTTTGGTAACTGTACCATCAGTATATCTCAGAGAATGGATCTTAACGGATTGTTCCTGCGGTGGCAGATGTACCACTTCCTTTATAATATCCTGCTTATTGTTACCATGTATTGACGGAAATTGAGAACTTACAGCTGTGCCACTAGCATCTGATTGAAACAGTATCTGCGGACTCACGAACTCTCAAATCTTCCTATCTTTATGATCAGTCTTTTCAACCTCCAGCCTGCGGTAGTCTTTGAGGACCCTTTGATCAAATTTCATTATGATCTTATGCATTTCCGTTACACTGCGGTAAGAAAACGCTAATTCATGGATTCGAATTGATGATGCCAAGTGCGAATTTCTAGGGGTGGGCGAGTCCTACACAGACATTTTGACCCAATATTGTCGCTTAGAAGCTATGAATAACCCTACGTTGAAGGAATATACGAAGATACGCCGCAGTGAAAACGTTTGAAGGATGAACGATGCAATGCAAATGCTATTTGGCGCAAACGCTGGTGTTGAAAGGCTTCACGAAGCTCCGACGGACATAACCATGGAACTGCATTTCAAAGTGCATGCATACACTGGGTTTTGGAAGCATCTAGACTAGTACTGGAACAAAATTCGATCCCATCCTAGACGCTCTTGAGGATTCAGAACGCAACCTTGTGATATGTCTTCAGCATATATCCTCACTACAGCATGTTTCTGCGTCAAACACAAAGCGCGTTGAAAAAGCTGGAGGTTATGTGTACCGGCAAATGTCATTTTCACCCGCCGAGGACAATCGGGGCAGCATCGAAGTGCCGTGAAGGGGAGAGTTTACCAAAGCAGAGTTCGTCGCCTGCTCGTAAGCCTCGGAGATGAGATCTTTTATAGATTAAAATGCGGAGTAATCACACAGTCACATACTTTGACTTATTTAACCGGGCTCCTGGTTCTTTATGTTAGCAAGTAACCCTGTAGGAACTTCACTGCATTCCGTACAAGCATATTAAGGAACCAGGTCTGCTTGGCGATTCAGTAGCATTTCCGAAGCTAATCCATATTTCAAACTTAGAGTCGTTTTTTGTGGTCGAGTTGGGTAAATGAGACAAGGATTTCCCTGGGTAGGAATCACATTTTTCGGTATTTGCGGCGATACACCCCATTTACAATTGGTATTTCAAGTTTCAACGTTGGTGTTTGCTTATCCTGTGGTCAGGCTGACGTTAGGCTTGCGCATAGAAACAAGTCAAATTTCTTGGTTATAGCCCCGCTGCCCTACTTGACTTGGGTTGCATTGCATGTGGTTAGCGCTAAGAAGCCACGTTTACAACAGTCAGCGAATAATTAATAATTATGTACTTGGTACCTGCTGCGTAACCTTCATCATTTACCCCAGAGTTTCCCCAGATTTCTCTCCACAATTGTTTACCTCTTGGCTGAAGGATTCGGAGAAATGTTGAAAAGTTTCTCCACCTACAATGAGAGTCCGAAACCACGGATCGACGGGTTCATTTCCTATTTTGCAAAACTATATTGTACAGAGTAAAATACAGGTTTCTCGAAGTAGAAATTCTACAGACACCCCTCCTTCGTTTCAATCATTGCAAAAAAGAAAAAAGGGCTAATCTCCGGGAGAGCGATAAGGTGCAAAAGTGGAATTTTTCCCGGGGAGTTACTTTTTTTGCAGATCGAATGTTTTTATCTTTCTACATCATACATCTAGGGATGAACACGGATCCACCTCGGGCCACGGGCCCACAGTTCGGCACTATTCTTAGTATTTTGAAGCAGTAATAAGGTAGTATCTTTCCGCTCTAACAGGTGATAACTGGTCTGAAAAAAAAAGATGACGTGCTATACACTTTCTTTATCGAAACCACTTTGCAGGATGGCGTCGTTCAAAGTCAGTCGCAAAGTCAGTCGTACACGCGTCGGTGGCAGATATACCGAAAATACTAGATCCAAAACTCATCCGATAGGATGAACGATTTAGGTTCGATCATGGTTCTGTATACACGACGACATGCTACCCTGAAAATGCAAGGTCCATCTATCCCAGGATCCTTCAATGGGATGAACGATAAGGTTTGTGGTTCTCTATTCCGCGGTTGCAGCTACAAAAATGCTAGACCCATCTATTTCGAACTCACTTGACAGGATGAACGACAAGGCAGGGTTTTCAATAGTCCGGATTATAGTCAATCTTCTCATTGATTTGAACATTTCTAATCAATTCAGGCATTCAAAAATTTGTTATTGTCGGATGGCAGTCCAGACTATTGACCCTGCGACAAGGTTCGTTCATGGTTCTCTATCCGCGGTTGCAGCTATCCCGAAACTACTGCATAGATATCGTTGATAGTGGAAGCCTAAGGTGCCAGATACTTTTGATAGTTGGAATATTTAAACAATTCCATATCGCCATTACGCTGATAGATACTTACTTGTGCATTGTGTTTTCTTCCATACCTCTCATCTTTTTCAAAATGAAGTCTGCTGTACTTTCATTCGTTGCCACCTCTCTATTGGCTTTGCCAGCCCTTGTTTCTGCACAATTATCTGGTACCGTTGGTCCTACCACAAGCACTGCTTCTAAAGCTGCTAAGAAAATTTGTAATATTCTTGACTATGGAGGTGTTGCTTCTGCTACTACCGACAACGGTCCTGCTATCTCAAAAGCCTGGACTGCATGTGTGTCCGGAGGTGAAGGTAGGATATTAGCCATATGCTTAGTATTTGTGTGTTACTGACTATCTCAAGTCTATATTCCCTCTGGAAGCTATGGTCTAGGCACTTGGGTCACCCTCACAGGAGGAACTGGTGTGTCTATTAACTTGGAAGGAACAATTTACCGAACTGGGTACGAAATCACCTCATTGATCAACTAATCGTGACACTTATTGACATGTATTCTTGCTAGAACTGCTGGAGGAAACATGATCTTCATCGAGCACACAACCGATTTCGAATTTTACAGTGGTAACTCTAAGGGTGCTATCCAGGGTTACGGCTATGTCTTTCATTCAGGTTAGTAATCCAAAATTCAAGCATCTGAATTCGCGAGGGTGTATGGTCTGATTTTGTCTCACCGCCCCTTGCTCGCAACAATTAATTTTGTTGGTGGTATGATCAAGGTGGTGAGACAAGAATCTGACGTTATACCTCCATATTAACAATATCTATAGCGGGCACATATGGTCCAAGAATCTTGCGTCTTTATCAGGTTACAAGCTTTTCTGTGCATGGCATTGTCTTGGTCGACTGTAAGTATTTCCTTTGACAAAATAATGGTTACCTCGTGCTAATTTCATTTTGCTAGCTCCTGCCTTCCACTTGACACTTGATACTTGCACAGATGGTGAACTGTACAATTTAGTCATTCGTGGTGGTAATGAAGGTGGTCTAGACGGTGTTGATATTTGGGGAGTCAATATCTGGGCACATGACATTGAAGTCACCAACAAAGATGAATGTGTTACAGTCAAGGTACGACATCTTCTTTTCTTATTATCCAAGAAATCCAATAGTCCGGACTGTAATCCAATAATGAGAAACTTTGGATTCCTGAATTTATTTGGGATATTCAAATCATTTGGATTATTGAAGGAATTTCGATCATTGAAACTCATGTGGTCCAATTTTTGTTTCACCGCCCTCGCACAATTAATTTGTGTAGGCAGGATAATTAGTGGCAAAACCGCCAGTCCGGACTATTGAGCACCCTACCACTACCTTACATGATCTAATTGCTTTGCAGAGTCCCGCCAGCCACATCTTAGTCGAGAACATCTTCTGTAACTGGAGCGGAGGAAGTGCGATCGGAAGTCTTGGTGCTGACACTGGTATGCTTAATTTCCCTCCTTGATTTCATTCTTCGCCTAACACTTTTCCAAGCGATCTCCAATGTCGAATACAACCACGTCTACTCCCAAAACTGTAACCAGATGATGTTGATCAAATCCAACGGTGGCTCCGGTACATTCTCTGGCGCTACATTCAACAATTTCATGGGGCACAGCAACGCCTATACCCTCGATATCGACACCGCCTGGTCAGGCCAATCCGTTGTTGCCGGCAACGGTGTCACGTACAGCGATCTTTCATTTAACCACTGGCATGGAACCTGCGCAAATGGTGCAGCTAGAGCTCCTATCCAACTGCTATGTCCTTCAGGCATCCCTTGCAAAGATATCACCATTTCAGCCTTCTACATCTGGACCGATGCAGGAAGTTCCGTCTTATATAAGTGTAATAACGCTTATGGAAGCGGTCCTTGTCTCAAGACTGGTACTACTTATACTACGTACACATCGACTGGAACTGTAACTTCTGTTCCTACCGCGTAAGTTTTCTTCCCTCTTCTCATCTTTCCCTCTTCTTTTCAAATCACCAAAACATAAATCTAACCCACCATCTAGTTCCTACGCCTACACGACCATGCCGGGAGAAATCAAATCAGGCCTAGGTCTCACAGCAAGTATCGCCATCCCAACTCATCCCGCATCATACTACCCAGGTATCGCTCCCTACAGCGCTCTCGCCTAGATCCTAGATCCCCATCTAGCATTTTGATGACTCATGCGCGGATAATCCCCGCGATATTTTCGCTGTTTGTTTGTTTGGACGTTTGGACGTTTGGTTCGATGTTTGTATATACATACCCGGTTTCTTGTTTATAGTCTTATATTTTTGAAAATTGTATATATTACCAGAAATTGTGCTGCTGCTTGTGTTGTATGTGAGGTGAATTTTGTTCGTGCGTGATGATGGTGATGTTTTATGTAGTAAGACTTACAGACTTGCATATGAGCTTGGAATTGAATATAGATCACTAGTGGATTTACTCTAGATACTTGTATGATTTTTGTTTCGGGTCTTAAGTATTACACTATTGTTGTGCTCGTCGGTGTTGAGTAATTTATCGACTTTAATTGATAGTTCTTCGAAAGAGCTAATCTAATCGCGCAGTGCAGCTACGGACAAGGAAGGTCCTTGATTAATTTCAAATGTCAGGGCTGGGCAAAGGGTAGGGTATGTCCGGGGTAACCCGGGGTAAACCCAGTTGAAAAGCTACCCTGTTGAAATTTTGTAGGATAGATTAGTTATCTTTTAAAATGCTTTAGGTGCTATGGTATTTGCGGGTATGTATTTTATGATGTTATATAGATATAATAAAGGTTATATTTGATTTATAGTTATATGATATCCAGAGAACTATAATCATATATAATAGCTTCAATTTTGAACAATAATATCAATCGATCATATAATATTTACCCTACCATTTTCTAACACCCATTGATATTTCTAGGTAACTTTTTTTTAAAACCTTTAAATCGTAGGTTGATTATCTCAAAGAGGTCAAATACCCTAAGTAGGGTCTAGGTGCCCAGCCCTAATGGAGATCAAGAGTTTAAGGTGATTTTTTGAGGAAGGACATATCGCTGTTGTCACTCTGAGACAGGCTTTTATTCCGAAAATCCTAACTTTTGGATCTGTGGAGTACTGTAGTCAACAGGCATTTCCTGGTTTCCAAGGCTCTCTTTGATACGCGTCTCCTTTTTCTGTCTCTTGTACTCAAGTTTACTCAATCACTCATGTCCATCTAATAGTGCGGGTGTGTTAACGTGGAGATTTTCGAATTCCAATCTTTGCATTGCGTCGTTCCTGGACTCTATCTCCGTATTCTTTCTCGAGACACTATGTGTCACGCCGTTTATGCTACTTCGCTCTATCCTTGGCAAGCTGCACAATTCTTTCGTGTTCTGGGCAGTACACTGGTGGTGCTGATCGCTTGCCTTGGTTTATAACCCACAGCACGTCATACAATTCCGTATTGCCATTTGCAATATCTATGAGGGCGGACGGAAATGATTCGGCGTTTGAATCTTGGTAATAATTCGATATGTACTTTGCTAGTACATTAAAATCGACACCTATTGGCAGGTCTTCCTTAGTGGCATTGAATGCTTCCACCATTAGGAATGATCAATGTCTGCCGTTCCTTTGTTTCAAACAATTCAATCCATGGGCACTCAGATTCAATTGGGGCTAACAGCAACACTTCAAAAGGTATCACCGATCTCAATTTATCTAGGCGAGTACGACGATCGTTCCATGCGTGACTATAAACTCCAAGCGATTGATTGTTGATGGCATTTCCGAGTATTTGCAATATATAATGGGAAAAGTTCTGTCGGCGAGCTGCAAGTCGACGTGAATTTCTGCTGGCTGACACCACAGGGTAGTCAGTGTAATGAAGCCTAGCACCTTTTTCCATGAAAGACCCAACACCATCGTGGTGTATTGGTTTGTAAAATGGTTTTCCTCTTCAGAGTTTGAATCATTAATTTCAGAGCCTGCCGTGAAGTTTTTCTGGCATTGAATAACGTTAACGCGCTCACCTCGTATGGTCAATGCAATGCAACGGAATCTATGTTATGCCAATTATCATGGAGGTTTGCTAGTGGTAGTCTAAGAGACATAGTGAAGAAAATTGGTGGACATGCTTCTCTAGAGAAACGCTTCGTCAACTCCTCCATCAGACAAGTACTCTGAGATTCAATCATGATAGTAGAATCTTGCGTCAACCGATAGGTAATTTCTTCAATACATTTTAGTAATAGTTGATCTCTGACCAAACATATTTAGGTTGTAGATGGGTCGCATTTCGGTTTCATCTAAAATTAATCTTCGAAGTTTTCTCTCATAATCTGAACATTAGAGAGATTGATTGGAAGAAATTCCACCGTCATGTACATCGGATTCAATCCGGTCTGGTGAATTCTCGAGGTATTTTCGATCTTGTTCGTCAAGTGTGGTGACAAGTCGTACCCCAGATTTCAATACACTCCTTATGCCTCCTTTAGCCGTTGAAATATCCGAGGATACGCTCGGAACGAACTCCTCTCCATACTTACTCCAGAAATCACGTTTTTTTCAAAGTTCCTGGCTTGATATTTCATCTTAAGGTTGCCACCCTGATATCCGAGTTCTCTAAGCGGCTTAAGTGTAAATGTAAGAAAGGTGATTGGTAGAGGGTTGGGTAAAGATGCTAGAGCATGTGCTAAGAACTTCGCTTGAACATTCAACCCATAATATAGATTCTCCTTCGATCATCACCGTTAGTGATTCGCAAAGTCCTTGAGGTGGAGTTTGATTCATGTCGACGTGATGTTATGGTATTACTTTGAAACTTACTTCCTAAGCAAGTACTAGTAATGGATAGAATGGTTGAGTTGGTTATTAATCATGGCACGGATGTCCACATATTCAGTGGGTAATCTGCATCTGATTGAAACTACTAGGTGTGACGGACGAATCTCGAGGTCAAATTTGGTTGTTCAACGTTGCATGTCAAAACTCGGTTGGAGAAGGAAAGGAGAAGTCAATCAGCTTGAGATCAGAAGTTCATTGCTGTCTTATTCAATAACTTATGCAATGCATAGAGCTAGCCCATTTTGATATATATTAACACATGAATAGCTTCAGCCACTCGTGATGTCCGCTCGATCACCATTCATTATAATCTTACGAATTAAGTCATTACTTTCAAGATAAATCATTTCATACACCCGATTTAAGAAGATAAATGAGAATGTGATTGATATGAAAATAGGAACTCAGTGTCAGATCTAGATTTGTGTTCTTAGAAGCTAATTCTTGCTCCAAAAATCTATGAAGCGGTATTGACCTGGACAACCAATGACCGAACATCATCCAATTCCTCAAAGGCCTCTTTTGAATGCGCTGCATTTGCCAATGATCTTTCTTGTTCCTATTCATGTCAGATGTTGTTCGATAATCTTTCAAAGAACTCACCTCAACTCCGCTCCAACTAACCATTCCTACAAACAATCTCCCAGGCAAGTTTACACTAACATCACTCAGAAGTTCGCATCTCCTGATTTTTTGATCCATTCTTCCTATGCTGTTACTGTCGCAATTTCTTTCGTAGCATCGTCGTGAATATTGGTTCTGAAGACGTCAATGATTGGCGACGGTAAAATATCTCTTGATGGGATATCGTACTCATAGAGCTCGGCACCCACCGGACCATCAACATAGGGCTTTATGTACGGAAGGAAAGCTCGAAATTCTGTGCTCTGGAGGAACTCGTGGAGATATTTCGAATCCTTCCATTCTATATGACATCAGTCCGGCTCACTCCACCATCACTTATCAAATCAACTCACCAATAACTAGTACTGGGTTGAAGTTAGACTCTGGTACATTCACGTCATTTTCAGTCACTATGTGACCACTTGCGCTGAGTGTAGGAGAATCGATCCAAGAGTTGGGAGAAGAGAGTGCTCAAAGCATCCCGTGTTTCCTCTGATTGAACAGATGGGATCATCATGAGTTCTGTGAAAGTCATTTTGATGATTGATCTAGATTCGAATAGAAATATATGGGTTTCCTTGCGTTTGGAACGGAAAGAATAGTAAGGTTGATTCCAAGTCCATCGAATGGTATTTATACATCATATTATTCACAATCTAGCATATTTTAGCTGCGATAGTCCAACGCAACCACCTACGATTACAAATGTAACATCTCATACTGTATAAACTCAACTACCTCATACCACACAAAACGTTTTTGGACTAAGGTTATTTATTCTTTCCTATGTTCGGTTGGAAGAATCAACAAAGTGGATTAGAGATTTACAACATTATTCCATGATGAGGAAAGTGAAGGTACAAGCTATTTCCTAGCTCCGTTCATGAAACGAAACTCATGAAGGAGGACCAATCAATAGTGCTTCACTTATGGAGAAAATGAGGTAAGGACTCGGAACTCCGCTTATATAAGGTTTCATGGCAGAACTTGCGGAACTCCGCTGAGCAAAGCGTGGTATGCGTACGTCCGTAAGCATCCACTGCGCATAACAACTTGGTTTAAAGCAATTTCGGTCTCAAATTATACTCTATTTAGACGCATATGAAGTGGATTCCTCTACATATTAAATAACTGTTGTATTCTCGGTAGGAAGTTCTACTAACGACAATGAGTATGGCTACGGTTTTAGTCTACCAAAGCAGGACTCGAAGGAAGGCGTGCGAGGGTCGTCTTAAAGCAAAAATGAGATGTGATTTATTATTGCCACATTGTTCCAGATGAGAGATAAAGAGCTTTAACTGTATTTATGTGAGTAAATTCTTCGCCTAATCGTCTCGCAAAAGCCTTACGATAGATGGGAAGCTAAAGTTATGAATCTAGGTAGATGCTGCATCAGGGTAGCAAAAATATCTTCACAAGGTCGTACATCAACTCCTGGTTCCGCCAAAAACACGGGAGCAGCACAATCTATCATTGACCCACATGAAGTTTTCCTCTATTTTCAGCCACGAGATAGTACCGATATACCAGTTTTGGAGCAACAAAATCAGCAGCTTGACCGGGATCTCACACCGTGGAACTCTGCCATTAATTCCAAACACCAATCCAATCACATCACTTAATCCTCATATCTTAGCTATCCCCATTGATACATTTCCATCACCCTACTTAACTCTCCAATACTCTCTCCGTACCACACTAAGCTCCACTCAAGCCACCTATCTTGTGACTCAAGTAAAGTCATTCGTCCCAGCTTTCGCCCTTCATTCTCACAATTCCTTTATTCACCCGCTTACTTTTCGCAACGCTGATTTGCCTCTTTCCGCATCATATGCCGACGCTCTTTCTATCTGCACACGTCCACACTCTTAAATCTCCTCAAACCTCCTCTACCCTCGATTCCAAATTATGCTGCCTTATCTCGTCGAGCAAAAAAGATAATTGAGGCACTCATTATTGGCCTTCTGGAGTCCAAGTCTTCATTCCCTACCAGATTATACGTCTTTGATCCTCGAATGGAAGGGAAAAATCAAATGCTGAGAGACATACTCCTTTGTTGGTTCAATGGAAAAATCAACTACAAATCGAATATATAGAACTCCTAGCACGAGGTATAGAGTTAGGACTACCAATAAACAACAATGACAGGGGTGATATAGAAGATTATCACAAACGATGGGTGCTTATAGAAAGTATTAGACAAACTGTTATGATAAGTTTTATGTTACAACTTGAATGCTTATATGGCGGAGTTAAAGATGGATATACAGGAAGGCTGTTACCTATTTTGTTTAGATTATCTGTTAATCCTGGCTCAGGGCGAGTATGGGAAGTTTGAGGTAAAAGATTGATGATGTTCAAGGTGAATGGAAAGATCAATCGGATTCATGTTGAGTTTGGTGAGGTTTATACATATGAGTACTGGAGTGAGGGGTGGAAACTTGGAATAATGGGAGGTGGTGAGACAGAACAGGGGATTTATGAAAGAATGTTGTTGGTAGCGTGTCCTAGAACCGGGGCGTTTGAAAAACGTGGAATAGAGATCGAGGTGGTGAATGAAGGAGCGGGTGTGACTGTTGGGGGGTTTTGAAATTGGTGTACACCTTTAGTGAGATTACTCGATTAGTTCTTTGTTAAAGTCTGTGATTCAGTTGGGGCGTCTTAATCCAATGTAGTTTGAAGAAGAAATGATGTTAGTGAGCCAGCATCTTCTGGCCCAGTTATGATCATGATGGCACTAGTAGCACATAAGACAGCTAGCTGATATTCCACTCATAAACACAACTTAGAAACTACAAGCAGCTCTGCACACAGAGCGAAAAAAAAAATAGTACAAAAATCACTCAAACTTCCTACAAAGCATAGATCAGATCCCGCTCATATATTTTCCTTCTAAAATTGATATTCCTCTCCACAACTTAACAATCTACCTATTCTGCAATCGTTACCCCTATAAAAAAACTATCATTAGGCATATCTTCGGAACTTACACACTACACTTCATGAACCTTAGCAATTGCAGACGTATTCTAAGTTCATTCTATCTATACTCCGTACAATCTTAATCGCATACTTCTTGATGACGATGCAGGGAAGGAATTAAAAAGCGGATTATCTCCCGAAATCCCTTACCTGTTATTGTAATCACCTTTCCAACTACTGTTTTGCACTTTAGACGTTATTAAATGAATTGCTAAACTCCTCGCTTAAACCCTCAATATATATGAAATATACCTCTTCAATCAAGAAATTATTTTCTATGCCTATTTTCTTTCTAACTTTCCGTCCTCCACTCTCAAATCACACCTCTTCCCTACAGGTATCCACGAATCCGCTTCCCTAGCTACCACGTCCCTCTCAACTGATTACCTCCTCATCAACAAAATACAATACGGTGCATTTCCTACTTCATAAAATCCCTTTATAATTCATTCCCCTTTATCTCCCATCCATCTTTTCTCTGATATTTTTTTTTAAAAAAAAAATTGATATTCATTATTCCTCAGACACATGTGATACTCATCTAATGTTTTTTAGAAAAAAAAAATATTCACACCAAGAATTAACACTCATACATAATTATATCTTTTCAGCTATTGATTTTGAACATTGATAAATAATTTGGATATATTACACGACAAATATATACTACAAGAAACACTCAAAATATCCAATACATCCATCCCCTTCATCAATAATACATAAAACGTTAAGCCTCCTCACATTTTTCCAACGCAGCATTAAAAATTTGTACAAACCTCCATACATCCTCATACGTGTTATATAACGGTACAGGTGCCACACGGATAACATCTGGTTTTCTCTTGTCAGCTACAATACCCGCTTCTTCTAACATATCGGAGAGAGTTTCTAAGCGTCCGGGTTTTAGTAGGACGCTTAGTTGAGTTCCTCTTGCTGAGGGATCAGATGGGGTGATGATGCGGAAAGCAGGGTTTGTGTTGGAGGGATTGGATGTTAAGAGGAGATGTTCGAGGTAGGCGGTTAGGTGGAGAGTTTTTTGACTTATTTCTTCCATGGAGGTTTGGTTGAAGATGGATAGAGCCGCACAGAGAGAGGTGAGATCTACGACTGAGGGGTTGCTGACTTGGTAACCAGAGGCACCTGGTGATGGACGGAATTCTATGGTATTGTTAATACTCTTCCAAAGAAATAAGACGGGAAAAACTTACTGTTATTCATCAAAAATCGACAACTTTGATCACCACCATACCATCCCATTAATCTATGCCTATACTTTGGTTTTTCCTCTCCTTCACTATAATCCACCTCTCCATGTCTCTCATGAATAAATGCACCGGCGATGCTTCCCGGACCCGCATTCATATATTTATACGTACACCAAACTGCAAAATCGACATTCCAATCATGAAGTTGTAATGGTACATTTCCAGCCGCATGTGCTAAATCCCATCCTACAATTAAACCCTTAGATTGAGCATATGCGGTAATAGTCTTGACATCGAAAAGTTGACCCGTGTAATATTGGATACCAGGTAGAAGGACGAGTGCAGTAGTGGAAGCATGTTCGTCAATAGTACGGAGGATTTTCTCAGTCGATATCTCATAACTTCCTTCTTCGGGCCCTATCATCACCATAGCTTCTTGAGGATTATATCCATGACCTCGAATTTGTGATTCGATAGCATAGTGATCACTTGGGAAGGCCTTCCATTCCATGATAATCTTATTTTTCTCCGGTGTAGGTGTGTAGAAAGAAGCCATTAATAAATGTAAATTCGTAGTTAAAGTACCCATCATAGCTACTTCGGAAGCTTTAGCTCCAACAATTGGAGCACATTGTTTGGAAGCATGTTCGGCGAGTAATTGCCATTGTGTTAAAGGGGAATCTTCCAAATCGCGGAAATGTCCATGAACACCAATTGATGACCATGTATCTAAATGGGCTTGAAGATATTCTTTCACACATTTAGGTTGAAGTCCTAAACTATTTCCACAGAAATATATTGAAGATTCATCGGAAAGACCTGGTCGAGAATCAGTTTATGTTCTTAAATCATGTGATGGCGGGGTAAATGTTGGAAAAAGTGCAAACGAACCTGGTTTCTCCAACTTGGTTGCTTTAATGTTGGCTTTTGATGGAATAATGAATTGATCGCGAAATCTTCGCATATGATCATTTGCATCAAGTGATTGAGCATATTCAAGTGTATTTGCTTTTGATGAGAATGTTGGTTTTTCAACCTTTGATGGTTGTTCTTCTTTTGCTATGGAGCCCATTTTGATGAGGAGTGGCAAATTCTGTAATGGTGGTAATATGATGTCGATGATGATGATGATGATGATGATGATGGATATGCAACGACTACTTAGTACTTCCTAAAGAATACTGCGCGAAACAATTGATCGGAGAAAATGAGATGGATGAATTTGATTTAATTTCAAAGTCAACTCTGATCACTTTGTATGCGCTCCCACTCTTCAAACTTTCATGAAGTCATGAAGTCATGATGTTAATATCCGCGTTCCGTCGTCCGCTTCCGTCGGAAACGGAAACGGATGAATTTAACTTTCTCCTCTCCTCCTATTCTTACGCGATAATAATCATGCGCACAGTATCACTGTTGTTTGAATGAATGGATGCCGGTTTGAGGAAATGTCCGAAGCGGTATTCCTTGTTGCCGTAAAGTAAAATATACGGACCTTACGAGTTATGGGATGGAAGTAAAAAAGTATTACTAGTATCTTCGTTTCCAGTCGAGTCTATAGAGTTTCTTACTAGTCCTTCCACCTTCATCCCGATCTTTCATGGAAAGGCAATAGTCGAAGTCCTAATATATCAAAATAATTATTGAGATACCAGTCTTTTAATTTTTTAATACATACATTCACCATCATCATGCTTGGTCCTTTAAATATCAATCTCTCCGAATATGGAGTCTCAACAAAAAATGGATTTCTTCCAGATATTAATCCTCTTCCACGATTAATTGCATATTCCGAATGGGAGGATTTAGTCGATGAAATACCATTTTTAATCAAGGAAGGATTATTCAGACAACATGCAGATGCATTACCAATTTTAGATACTTCGAATTTACAAGAGGAAGATGAATGGCGAAGAGCCTATCATTTATTATCTTTTATGACCCATTCATATATCTGGGGAGGAAAACTTCCATCAGAGGTAAATCCAAATCTCAAATGAAAATGTTTCTATGCTAATTGAATTAGATATTACCCCCTCAAATATCCAAGCCCTTCCTAGTTGTGTCATCTCATCTAGGCCTCCCACCAACCGCCACATATGCCGCCCTCAACCTTTGGAACTTCACCAGTACATCTCCCACACAAGATCTTACCGATCTAGATCATTTATCCTGTCAGCATACCTTCACCAATACACCTGATGAATCCTGGTTTTATCTCGTATCCGTTGCTATCGAAGCTCGAGGCGCAGAAGTCATTCCTCTCATGATTAAAGCAATGAACGCTGTTCGAGCAGACGAACCATCCATTTTAATATCATGTTTAGAAAAGTTTTCAACTTGTATACATGATTGTGGTATTCTTCTTGAACGGATGTATGAGCGATGTGATCCGGAGGTCTTCTATCACGTCATTCGACCATTTTTAGCTGGAAGTAAAAATATGGCTGCCGCTGGTTTACCTAGAGGTTTATTTTATGATGAGGGAGAAGGGAATGGTGAATGGAGACAGTATAGTGGAGGAAGTAATGCTCAGAGTAGCTTGATACAATTCTGGGATGCGGTATTAGGTGTTAAACATGTGCCTACACGGCCTATGGGGAGATCACAAAGTGAAGTTGTGCCGCCGAAGAAAGGTGGTCATGGTTACCTAGATGTATGTTCTCTCTCATCTTCATCTCCCTTTCCATACCACACCATGAATCCCACTAACATACCCACCCCAGGAAATGCGCAACTACATGCCCGGGCCCCACCGTTCCTTCCTCCAATACATCAGCACCAACTCCCCCATCCAAACCTACATCCACGAAACGGCCTGTTCAAGCGAAGCAAGCCAAGCTTACAACCAAGCTGTAGAAACCCTAACTAGTTTCCGCGATATCCACATTCAAATCGTTACTCGATATATCATTACGCCATCACGAAAAGCCATGGCTCAAGGTACGGAAAAGGAAAATGCGGGTTTGAATTTGGCGGTTGCGACGACGAGAAAGGGTGGGAAGGATTTTAGGGGAACGGGAGGAACGCAGTTGATTCCGTTTTTGAAACAGAGTAGGGATGAGACCAGGGATATGTTTGTGGATGTTGTGGGGAGTCCGTAGATATTGGGGAGGTGGAAGCGGAAGTAGAGGTGGAGGTGAGAGTGGAATAGAGAGATTATATTGTACATATGGGATTGGGAGTTGAAATAGGAATGGAATGGGATGGTGTTTAGATGAATTACGATAGAGCTAGCTAATAATACCCTTTATAAGATAAGATTTTAGAGGAAACTATTCAATGATGTCTATATAATTATATTGCTGATGTGTGAAGATACGAGTTTGGGATTTCAATCAATTCCTTGCTCAGCTATATTCCTTCCCATTGCTTCATGAATATCTATTGAGGACTTATAGGAGTATAGTCTATAAACTCTGTATGAAATTTGATAGAGCTAACAGTAGTATAATACTCCTTCCTTTCCAAATCATGGGATTTTCACCCACAAAGTTCAAGAATGTTATTGAATATACTTTGACTTCATATAATAAATAACCTATCTATCTAGTAACTAGCTCGCCAGAGTAGTCAGCTAGATCTTATATCCATAGAAGGTGATTCTTTACTTATCACTATATCAAGGCATAATAAATCTATATTCACCTAGATACGTTTAATGACATATAGATATCTGGTAAACGTATATACAGAACTTAGTTCAAGATTTAATTAGTTCCTCAATTTTTCAACCCATCAATTCTTCTCCACCATATTCTTCTTTCCATTGAATTACCTCAGTCAAAAATATCCATCTCTATTTATAGATATATACATATATAAATCCAATCCGTCGTCATCTATGATCACCATCTATATACGTTTATACTTGTTTATTAAGCTTTTAAAATTATATACTCAAGCCTAATAACCCTCTCTCTAAATACATCATCACCATCCATCAACCCTTTCAAACCCGTCAACCCTCTAAATCCAACAATCCCCATCATCCATCACCATCTTACCCATCAATGCTTATCATTCATCAACCCCTTAAACTCCAATCCCTTAACTCCAACCCTTTAAACCCAAACTTCTATTTATTTTCTATCCACTCTCTATTATCTACTATCTATTTCATCAATATTCCAACTTCAAGATCCAATTCATTACTATTTATCATAGACATCCATTAACCCTAAAAATCAACTCCCAAAGAACCTATCAATTCTTCAAATCTATATCATCATCTCACCCTTCAGTCCCCTAAATCAAAACCCACCCTTCTCTTCCATCCACTCAATCCATCCTATTCCATCTACATCCAACGCCGAAACCCAACCCAGCAGATATGTATATACATACATCCACCCAATCCATCACCACCACACCCACCAAACTCCTGAAATCCAACTCATCATTTATATACTAGGTACTCATCTAACTTATATACTAGGTACTCATCTAACTTATATACTAGGTACTCATCTAACTTATACCCAAAAATTCAATAAACTTGAATATATGATACCCTTCTAGCTTATAAACATACAGTAATTATCTTGAATTCAAAAAATCTAAAGTTTTAATATTTATTAATTTTATTATTATATTAAATCTTTCAAATTCATCAATATTGATCAATATTTATCAATAAATTATTATTTATTAACTCTTTAAACTCCACCCCTAAATCCAGATCCAAACCCCAATCCAACATTCTCTTCTATCCAATCCATCCAATCTCTATTTCATCTATATTCAGCTCCGAGATCTAATTTAGTAGATACATCTATACATCCTTATACCTATCCCCATATCTATCTGCATCAAAACTTAAACATATAAACATATAAACATATAAACATATAAACATATAAACATATAAACATATAAACATATAAACATATAAACATATAAACATATAAACATATAAATTCCATAACCCCTAGCCCTAAATATTTTTGATATATCATACCTCCAACCTCATCAACCTCATCAAGTTCACCATAAATTAACAATTCCAACAATATCCACTCTTTACTCATTTCATATTTCAAATTGCATATTTTCCATTTCCATTTCCAATTCATTCAATCTCATCCCCATCCCCTAACTCAAGATTATTTTATCCTCTTTAAGTTATTTAATTTTATATATAAATACCTCTTAGACTAAAGTGAAATAAAATAAATTATATAAAAATTTATAATGGCATTTGAAATTTAATATGTGTATATGATTTGATGTACTATATGATTTGTATACGATTTGTATATTATATCACTATATCACTATATCACTCCAGTATAGCAAAGAGATTCTATATCTATCAAACTCATCATCTCTTATTTATAATTTCAAACTACTAACACTCTACAAACACATCTATCTATCTGTCTATCTGCCACCAAACCATCAACCCTTCACCACCAACCCAAATCTACAATTTACTCTCCACCTTCCCCTCACCCTCCCCCTTAACAACAACAACCAACTTACCAAACTGACTCCCCACCTTCATCATACCAAACAACTCCTCAATCCCCTCTAAATTATCAATACCCCTCACAACTCTCGAAATAACCGGTTTAATCTTATGTTCATTAACAAAATGAATCATTTCTTTGAATTCTTTTCTCGATCCCATGGTTGAGCCTTTGAGTTCGAGATTCATCAGGTTGGCGGACATGGACCAGTCCATTTTGGGGGAGAGGGTCATGCCGTATTGGACTAGGGTGCCGCCGAGCTGTTGGGGGAGAGGGGGAGGATGTTAGTTTATTGTGTGTGGATGGAATGGGGGATGGGGATGGGGAATGGGGTTGAAGATGGGGGTTTGAAGATGGTGATGAAGATGGGTATGGGGAGTGAATATGGATAGTTATGGTGATGGTGGTAGAAATGGCAATGAAAATGAAGATGAAGATGGTGATGAAGATTGGTATGGAAAGTGAATATGGATGGGTATGGTGACGGTGATAAAGATGAAGATCGATATCTAGAGAGATAATTGCCCAACCCAGAAGAAAGACTGAAAAAAAAGACGAAAGAAAACAACACACCTTTAACAACTTCGTAGCTCTCCTAACAATATCACCTCCCGCCCCATCAATAATCAAATCCAACTTCTCCTTCCCAAACCCCTTCAACAAACCTTTCAATTCCTTCTCCCACCCCTCACTCTTATAACTAACACCTCCCTTCGCCCCCAAGGCCTTCGCCTTCTCAATCTTCTCCCCATCACCACTAGTAACAAAAACATTACTCCCCAACGCCACCGCAAAAAGCAAAACACTCAACGCCACACCACCCCCAATCCCCGTGACCAAAATATTCTTACCAACCCCAATATTCCCCTCTCCACCTTTAACAACCAAGGCCCTCCAAGCCGTCAAACCCACCAACGGCAAAGCCGCTGCTTCTACATCGCTCAAATGTTCCGGAGCCTCCTCTACCTCCTCCTGCTCAATAACCACCTCTTCAATCAACGTCCCAATCGGAACGGAACTGGTCCCACCTAAAATCTTATAGCCATCTACATCTTCGGGACCAAACGGATCATCTCTCCAACCGCGGCCGGGAGTAAGAATGACGCGTTTCCCGAGCCATTTTTCATCGGCTTTACTACCGATCTGGGAGACGATGCCGCAGGCATCGGCGAGGAGGGGTGTGCTAAAGGATGGAGATGGGTAGAGATGTTGGCGGAGAAACAAATCCCGGTGGTTGAGTGCCGTGGTGTGGATTTGGATGAGGAGGGATGTGGGGGTTAGAGGGGGGGTGGGATGGTTGCTGAGGTTGAGTCTGTGTGGGGTGGTTATTATGGTTAGCTTGTAAGTTTGTTGGTTTACGCGGGTTTGTGTTTGTTTGTATGTATGTATGTATGTATGTTTCTATTAGATTGGGATGGTTTCCGAAATAGGTTTCATTTGTTTTGGGGGGGGGGGGGGGAGGATGGGAGAGTGGAAGGGATGAATGGGAGGGAGCGAGATAGGATAGATGGATGGATGGAATGGAGGAAAGGAAGAGAATTGAAGAGAACACAAGTGAAATGAAACCCACGGGTAGTAAACCTGACCCGGTTTTCCCCCCTCTATCTTTTCCATCGTTATCGCCCTGGGCATGATGAAAGGATGACGAATCCCTAATAATTCCGAAGATATACCTCGTTAGCCGCCGCTATGTAAGATTAATCAATATTTGAGTTCGTAGGGTGCTCACTGCTTGCGGTTCAGCTTGCGGTTCAGGTTCTGCGGGCGGTTCAGGATCATTAGAGTTTAGAATGTATGGAGTGTAGATGGAAAGTACGACAGAGCTAAGTACCGACCGGTATCCTCAGTCAGCAATAACGCAATAGACAATAAGATAAGGTTATCGGGATTATGTTATCAAGCAAGGTTATCCGGGTATCTTCATCGGATTTTGATATTAAGCATGCAGCTAGGTAAAGGGAGTAGGCACTAGGTACTGTAGGGAGATTTGATAAGCCTTGTGCAGTGTGCAGACAGCCGCCGTTGTTTAAGGTTCTATCCATGTTCTATGTTTTACCATGTCGTTCCATATAATGGCGCATTCACATTGGTCTGTCCGTCTTGGTCCATTCACATTGGCGCATTCATATAATGACCGTTCCATAAAAAGCCCCATCTATATAAAGGCCCCACTATTTCCCGCCCGCCCGTAGTGAAACCTCGGGCTCGGGCTAATCTAGGGCTAATCTATCTTATCCTTCGTATGGGTACTAACTTCTAAGGTGCTTGATCACTTTACTCCATCGCGGGTGTAGTGGGTATAGTGGGTGAGAACCTAGAACCCAAAAGGGTACTTCCGCCAATCTTCGACATATGCACACATACTAGGTTTAACCTTACGTATTTTATACCAGGGTGATTCAATTTTTATGGCAAATATCGTGATTTTAGGTTGGAGATTGTGGATTGCAAATTTGTTTGTTGTATATCGCAATATCATTCATATTGATTGGATAGTAGGTTGAAGAAGATCTTTACTAGGACGGTAGGACCCTTCTCAAGGCCCTACGGTGTATCCATTTAAAGACCATTTAAACTTTTACTCCATTCTATTCAATTGACTACTAGACAGGTGGATCCATCTCTCAAACTCTTTTCCCCTTCAAACCAACCCCCTTCCCATCTGTACCCCACTCAAAACAAATAAATAAATAAACAAATCCAAACCTCCCTAAGCCATAAAAAGTATAAACCCACCACACCAAGCGCTACACAGAAATACGAAATGCATGGCATGGCATGGCAATGCCATGTTATGCCACGTTGGAAACCATGAATGCATATGTCAAGAGCAGAAACCATAAAACAAAACCATGAATGCATATGTCAAGCAAGTCAAAACCCCCAAACCATGAATGCACATGTCAAGAAACTGTCAAATCCATCAAATCTATCAGTGTCAATTTGTCAAAGGCCGACCGACGGACAGACAAACCTTCTCTCGCAGAGCAGGCACCCACCGACCAAGCAATTAAAAAATTTAAAAATCCCACGCTCCACTTCCGCACATGCCAACCTTGGGAACCACAATAAATCAATCATTGAATGAATAGATTGAATAGTAATACCTAGACAATAAGTGGATAGCCTTACCAAGATAAACTTTCTGAGCAGCAAACGGCACGAGTACAGTAAAGTACAGTACGGTAAGCAACCGCCTCGAGACTAGAATCCAGCATGTCAATCGGCGGGTATCGGAGGCTAGGATTAACAAGACAGAAGAAAACTTCGCGAGTCGAGTCGTTCGTAAGGAGTGCTGACTGAGCCTACTAACTGAACTAGTGACTAGGTAACTTCTCATCGAAGATCCATATTTCTACTGCGTAATCATAATCTAATAGGTATCCATTCCTTTTCTCCGAAAGAAGATTTGAGGTGTGAGAATGAGACATACATATGGTTACATTTATTTTGGACACTGTTACGGTTACACTTATACTTACATTTACACCGTAGGTAGAATATGTATGTACGTACGTTTAGTTTCATGCAGATGGAAACACATGTCACACATACCCACTTAGCTTATCGATTATGTATTAGTGTAGTATATATGTATGTAGTGCAGAGTGGTAGTATGTAGGAAAAGAGAAATCAGGGGTTAAAAGTTTAAATTGTTAGGACTAGATTTTAAGGAAATCTAGGTACGGACCGTAGATACTAAATTACTAGATACTAAATAGGTTCGAACAAGGAGTAAGGAGTAAAAATTTATGTACCTAGATACCTAGGTATTTAATTCGATAAGATACTCCTAGAATCTAGATAAAGTACGGAGTAAAGGTTCATTCATACATACATAATAACCTTAAATTCTCTCCCCCGCCCACTTGCATTCCACATATGGAGTTACCGGTAAGGAAACGGAGTACATACTGACACTGTACATGCCAAAACTTCATCGTCTTCTTCTTCTTCATCTTCCAGATTCAAATGGACGACGGAGTATTCCGTATTTCAATTCATATACTAGAGTTATACACATACATACATAGGTACTAGGAATCTAAAACCAACTCCATAGATCTACTAGGTACATTAAACTTATTAGTAATGGCTCCCTACTCCCCTACTCCTTCCCTATTTATCCCCTACCAACTCCTTACAAGTAACAACTATGCCAAGACCACTCCTTACGACTCCAGCATACGCAAGCAGAACCACAATCAAATCAATCCCCTACACGGGCCTATATACATACATACAGTAAATATCAAGTTATCTATCAAGTATGAACATAGAAAATAGGTATTTAGAATGTAGATCCCTATATCGGAGAATTTTCCCTACCGCCGCCTATCCCATCCCATCTCATCTTCATCTTCATCTTCATCTGAAATCTGAAATCTGGAATCTTGGCAAGACATATTAAATAGAGCAACAATACGCGTATATACCGTGCCGTCCCATACTATACCGGATCTTCGTAAATTTGCACCATACTATCATACTATCATACACAAGTGATAACTAGCACAATACATACCCACCCACCAATCCACCCACACACATAGTGTCTGTCCACTATCAATCCTAAAGCCTAAAGCCTAAATCCCAATCCCAATCCCAATCCTTATATGCAAGGGCTAGACTATAAGGAAAGGAACATGAACATCGTGCTCATCCTATCCGATCCGCGATTTGCGCTGTTTTTGAGAGTGTGCCTAGATAATATGTATGTATGTATGTATATATGAAAGATTAGATAACTATATAATATTTAGGTACAGTACCTTCTTTGCTCTTTAGCGTAAGTAGGTAGGTAGGTAGGTAGGTAGGTAAGTAAGCTAAGAATTAGGATTAGAATTGAAATTCATACTGTATCTGTATTTGCATTGGCATTGGCATTGGCTATTTAGATGGATATGATCTATGATGTCTTTGAATGATGTATGTGATATATATTTATAATTATATCCTGGGGTAGATTAGGTAGATAAATTAGTGCGCGAACGGACGACAGCCAGGCTCCAGCAGACGAGCACGGCGAGCACGGAATAGATAGAGGCTGAAGAACAACCTAAAGCCTTCAAAGTTCAATCAATACGAAATCTAGTCAACTCTAGCACCAAAAAAAGGAAAAAAAAAAAATAAAGTTTAACCCTAAAGGTGCGGGCCGAGAGTTCCATTTCTTTTCATCTCACTTCACTTCATTTCATTCCATAGGTAGCAGATTTATAGTTTTTGTAATGCTTGGCATGAAGATTTTCGTATTTTCGTAAAAATCATAACTGAATTGTGGTTAGTGGTTAAGTGGATTAGTGCCAGTGGTTAGAGAAATCGGGCAAATCTCATCAATCAATCTTGTAAATCTGGCACTTTTCTTCTGGCGGAGCTTGGCGGGTTTGTATTGGATGTTAGTTTCTGGATACCTAGGTATACGGAGTACACCAGGAACGGAATAGTGAGTGAGAGAAAGCTTGGCGCGGAGGGGTTTGGTTAACCTTATTTTTTTTTGGGGGGCTGTTTACGGAGTATGAAGGATACCTAGGGAGCGGAGGGGACTAGATGCTGTCTGTGTCGATAGTCTAGAGAGTTGCGGTTAAGATTATCAGGTGAGTGGCTGAGGGCTTGGTGGCTTGGCTGTTCGAGACTTGGGGCTTGAGGGCTTGGGATTTGGGGGGTTTGAGAGCTCGGAGGCTTGGAGGCTTGGAGGCTTGAAAGGTTATTTTGTTGTCTACCTCCGTATCCGTAGTACGGTAGTACTAGTGTTCCTCGTGTAATGGGTAGGGATTGTTCGGATAGTGATACGGAGGAGTGTAAAGTACCTACCTAGGGAGGGATAAGTGCTCATACTCAAAATCAGCCCCACGCGAGGACTTGCTATTTTTGTTATAGTATATTCTGTCTGTAGGCAGAGTAGTATTTAGTATTAGTATAGAAAAAATCATACCCTAATAGCCTAGCCTAGGTAAAAAAAAAAAAAGGAAAAATCAAATGCGAATGAAGGCATAAGGAACATACTCGTATATACGGAGTATGCATTATCTAGGTATCTATCTATCTACTAGGCATCCATGCAAAGAGAAAAAGTATCTACCTCTCACAGTACCTTATCGATAGGATACTATACTACACAACTCTAACAGAAGAACCTTACTGTCCTTACAAAGTAGATACTAGGAATCTCAAGATTCTTACATCGGATTTGGAATACAATACACTGTAACCCTATGATGTGATAACCTTATACCAAGCTTGAAGATTTGGAATCACCGAATGGGATTTATTTGGAATATATGGTTATGGTGTGATTGATGATATAATCTTACCATTCAAGTGATGATTTACAAATGATTCACAATGATAATTTACAATGACAGCATAATCTTACCATACCTACCATACTATACCAATAAATTACAAATGAAGAATTATTAACCTTACATGTATGTGATGATGTGATATCATCTTCTCTAGAATTACCAAGACAACAAATTCAAATCATAGAAATGATATTCATAATGGTAAGTCAGTCTTACATTTTAATAACAAATACCTATCTAAACTATGTATACCTACCTAGGTATAGACTACATACAGTAGTTAGCTAGCTAGCTAAAAGGCACAAGGCAACCAATCAATGCATCTTCCCAAAACAACACCAGCTTACTAGGAGTCTAGGACTCTCCCTCCATTACTCATCTTCTCCTCTTTCCACCTCCCCCACCATCCGTATCAGCTCTTCTCTTCTTACCCTCTTTCCTCCAATATTCCTGTTTTTCCTTCTTCTCCCTCTCACCCCTCTTTTCCTCATTTTCCGCCACCTTTTTCCGATACACCTCTCTCCTCTTCTCATTTGCCACTTTCCTCTTCGCCACCTTATCATTACGAAGAGTCATCAACTTTTGCATCAAATCTCTCGCTTTCTTTTCTTCTCCTCCTACTACTACTGCCCTCTTTTGCATATACGTAGGTTTACTCTGTTTCTTTATTTGTACAATTTGACTTTTGTAAGGAAGTTCTGCTGCCAAGGCACGTGGAACTCGTAAAGGATTGAAATGTCGAGTTACTCTTTCCACCGGTTTGTAGTGACTATTTTTTTGATCTGGCGTGGGTAAATTTTGATCACGTCGGACTTCCCCAGTCAATCGCATACCTTCCCATCCGATAAGGTTGGTAACGGGATTGTAGAACCGATGAGGTTTAATCGGATACCAAGCTCGTAAGAAGACAATATCACTCATGAGAATCTTATCTTCAAATGTAGCACGGAAATAACCTTCCGGCTTGGCCAATGCACGTTTAATTTGACCTCTAATACCAGAGACAGTCTTGATAGAAGCTCCTTCAAACTTGGCAATTTCCAATGAGGTATTGAACATGTCTTTGATGAAAGCAGTATTCTTGTAAATTTTGTACGGCGTACCAGTAAGCTTGAGTTTTTTGACTGTCTCGGAAGTTTCATCAACCGTCATGACAGTTCCGGTAGCCGCAATTCGGAAACCAGGGTTCTTATTGGAAAATGATTGATAACAGGAAAATCCAGTATTGGGTGCAATAAATGGTCCATAAAATGTACCAAAACAGTGCATATGCTCTGGAGTATACTTGAGCATACGATTTCGTGTTCGATTGTCCGAAGTACTGTAAATTGGAAGAGTTTGAAATCTTCTCCATCCAAGAGAAATGATGAGAGGATCATTGGTTTTAAGAATTTTCTTATGCCATCTGTGTCTCTTAATCTTGACCTGTACAAATCCAAAACGATCCTCGGTGGGTGTCAAACCTCCAACGATGATTGGCATTCGTGGATTAAATCGAGTAACGAATTCAGATGCTACTCCTTCGATAACAATCTTCGCATACATCCCGGCGCGGTAACCTTCAACATTAATTCTTTGACTTTCATCAAGATTCTCGAATTCCGCCTTGTTGATATCGAGTTGCTTTTGGATTTGTGCTTTCTGTGCATCATACCATTCATCCTCACCAAATTCATCATCTCCACCGGCTTCTCGTCTTGCGTTTGCTTTATCATTGTTGAATCCATCTCTGTCTTCTTCTTCAAATCGCAATTTGAGCTCTTCTTTCCTCCTGGCATTCTTCTCTCGTTCGGCATCAATATCTTCAGGTTCGTCTGCTTTGTGCTCTTCACCAGTTTCTAAATCTTTAAACTCTCCATCACCCTCATCATCTTCATCTTCCTCGTCTTCATCATCATCACTACCGCTGCCATTACCCTTGCCCTTCAATAAATCAGCTGTCGCAAATCTTTTTCGAAGTGCTTCAATGTTATCTTCCACAGACCATTTTGACTCCAACTCCTCGTAATCAAGGAATGGAATTGCCCGATCATCCATGATGGCATCTTCATCTTCTCCACCGGTCTTTTTAAAGAACTCATCCTCATCTTCAGATTGTTCAATATCCTCCTCCTCTTCAATCTCTCCTCTCCATCTTTGGAGTACTTCCGTAGGTGTAAGCGATTCATCATACATAAGTTTTGCTAGATCTGCAGTTCGGTATGACTTTCTTTGTCCATGAAGCTTGCGAGCAGTTTCCAACATATTTTGCTTCCAACGAGCTGCTCCATCTTCATCATCTGAATCTTCGTCTGAATTGTCTTCGTCATCATCTAAGTCTTCTCCAGATATAGAACCAAGATCCGAATCACTATCAGCGAATTCAATATCACCACCAGCCTCATCCTTATCTTTCTTAAATGCCTTTCCTAACTTGTCTTCGGTAATCTCTGCTTCATCACCAGAATCAAATTCTTCATCACTGGCAACATCTCCAAAATCTTCGTTATCCGAATCTTGGTCTTTGCTGACAAATCTTGCGGATCTTTGATGTTTCCTTCCCGAGTCTTCTTCCTGGGGAATTGACTTGATAGTCTCACCATTACTGAATAACCTCACACCCTCTTCAGTTTCACCTAAAAGTCTTCTTTCCCCTTGCAAACCAACAATCATCTCTTCTCCCTCTCCACGTTCTTCATCCTCGGCATCCGCGTCAAAATTAAATCCCTTGTCACGGGTGATCCAGATAGTGTCTCCATCAATTTTCAACCCACTTTTATCTGACATGGGTGCATGAAGTTTCTTTTCCTTCTCGTTTAAACGTCGCCTGCCAGTTTTGCCTGACGCTTTGGCAATTGCGGCGTCCATAAATGGTGTAGGACAAGGATCAGGTAATGCCTCCATAGCAGAGACTGAAAAATCCCCAAGCCCAGGTATATGAACCCTTTGACCCTGTGCGGCAAAATTTGTTCCTCGTAAGTATCCTGATAACACAACCGTCCGATCGCATTTCTCGTCCTCCTCAATCTTCGTAGGGTGAGTGATATCCCTGAAACTATCGATAATCGTATAAGGATGTGTATTGCGCCAAATCAAAGGTCGAGGATTTTTCATGACAGAAATAAATCTTGACAAATTATGAATTTCTCGATCCGGATAACGACCATTGATAACTCCAGAGAGGTAGAATAGATGCGCACCCTGGTATAATTCGCTCCAAAATCGATTCTTGAGTCGTTTTTTCGCATCCTTCAAAGTTTGGGGTTTCTTGAAGAGATCCAGATGTGTAAGAATTCCAAAAACATTACCCGGCATACCACTGGAAGATAAAATGTTCAAAAATTCCATAGTCTCCATCTCAAAACCAAAATTCCCGTCAATCATCAATAGTACAATATCTGCTACCTTTGACATATCCACCATAGCCTCGAGTTCGTTCGGACATTCTACAAATGTAAGTCTTTGACGTTTCGACGTAACAACGGTAATTGGTCCTTGTGGATCGGATAGTGTTTCTTTCGCATATCGTTTGACTAGAGATTTGAGTAAAGTTGTCTTTCCCACACCTGGTGGTCCAACAATTGTAACGAGTCGTGGCGGGGGTTCTTCTGGCAATCGATCAATTTGAGGAACATGAAGACGTCTTTCTTTGATCTGCGAAAGTTAATAAGCTGGCGCATTGAACTCTAAATGCTTCGAACATACATCATGCGATCGTGCAGCACTTTTTGCCAATCTTCCTGGGTTTGCGAAACTGAATGCTTTTGGATTTCGGTCTATTGGTAATGTTAGCAGAGGAAGAGGATCAATTGAGATAGTAATTACTAACCTCCAGTCTGCTTCTTCTTCTCCTTAGGAGCCCTATGAGGCCTATTCTTTTGTTCCTCCATGATGAATTAGTTGAAGTAGTTGGAACAGCTAACTTCGTAATGCGCCGACAATATCGAAATTCTCCTCCAGATTCAAAATAATTTTTTTTAGCCTTGCCCATCGGAAAATTCAGCTCCGATCACAGAGGCTAAGCCATTAATAGTTAGATCCAAGCAGAGATACACATTCTTATCACTTATCAAATTACAAGGATGGTAAATTCATGATTTTAATTGAGATTGTTATAATCATATAACAGCTATATTCAATAGACTAGCAACAGCTAGCTGCTGCTAGCCTGGCTGATATACAGAGGAAATAATTAGATCTTGATTAAACGATGAAGAGGCGACGACTTGCACATTCATTCTTGCGGAAAGTGATTAATTGACAGTCTATATTCATCTATACCTCTATATATTAATTCTATTCTATTCATAATTACCCATCTAATCATATTACCCATATCTTTCATCAGTATGTACAATTCTAAACCTCTATAACCCAAATGCAACCTTCGAAACTTCTTTCCTCTAGACCTTCTGCTTCCAGCATCCCCAGGTCAGCGTCATTAAAATTTTGCAGCCACCGGCAACCCAGAGCATAGGGCTGACGCTCTTTGTAACCTTGCTCACCCAACCGCCAACAATCGCGCCTAGGAGTGTCAAGGTAAAAGCGATTGCTCGTCTATTTCTCTTAACGTTTGCTGATGGGCGAGCAAATAGAGCTGGGTCGGATAAGAGATCGCACAGAAGAGAGGTGATGACGATAGTAGGAACTTCTCCCACGCCCAAAAGGCGGGATGAGACGATTTGGCCTGCGGCTTCTGTGAAAGTGTTAAAAGTGGGGTCGAGGTGGGTAGATTTTAAGGAAAGGGGTTCTTAGATTCTAGAAAATGCAACAATTGATAGAAAGTTGCAAGATCACAAAAATCGCGACGAACGAAAAGAGCAAAAGAGCCAAATAAAATTAACGTACGGAAACTCAACAAAGCAATTGCAGCAATTTGATTCCAATAATTAATTAATCCCGCCGGTACCGCGCCTTCAATCACACCGCCTTGAACCAGACTGGCTGCCAGCAAGATACAACAACTCTGGAGGAGGTACGAAGCGACGAGCGTACTTCGTTGAAGGGGGTTAAGGAAGCGGTGGAATCGCGAGAAGACGAAGGAACCAATGCAGAAGAAACCGATGGAGATGAGCGATCGTGCCCAACCAAAAGGTCGGTTGTTTTGTCCTGATGCGCCAAGAGCTAAGAAGATTGTGTTACCTATACCAAATGATTAGACTTTTGAACTAGTTACATGGTGAATCATCGTGGAGGTGATTTGTTGTTTGTTGAATGTTGAATTTGCTGGCGAAAAAGAAATGGAGAAATGAATGTAAGAGTGGCGTGACAGGGTAAGAATTTAAGAAGTCGTGAGGTGATGACTTACCAGTTTGCATAGAAACGAAGGTCTTGAAGGCTATATTCATTCCATTGTCAGCTAGCTGTAACCCTACTATTACACGCGTTGTGAGGGAATTTCGACTATACCATTATACAGCGTGCTATCCAAGAACCCAGTGATGAGACAACAAAGCAACATGAGAATATCTGCATGATCTGTGCTTACTTCTTGTGCAAAATGTTTTCTCATTCTCACAGAAAAAGGTTTCTCAGTTCCATTATCGGATCGTTCAATGTCCACACTGTTGGTACGTGGCAGAGAGTCTTCTGTTTCCTTCATGATGAAAAAGTGTAAAAAGGCGTTAAATGTGTTGCGATTGACTCGGATTGATTCGACTGGATTCAATTTGATTCAACTTGATTCAACCTGATTCAACTTGGATGCGACTAATTCAATTCGTCTGATAATCTGATTCGTCTGACTCGGTCAAAAGACTTCCGAAGACAATGGGAAAGTTGGACGAAAATGAATTTGAAGATGGGCGTACGAACGAAGTAGGGTTAAAGAAAGCGGGCGAAAAACGGAGATACTTTAGTAGTAAGATAGTTAAGATAACTAGATAAGCGCCAAACCCGCTCCTTTATGGAAATGCGCATCAGCGGAGTTTTTTTCTTGTTTTCAGTTGACCGGAGAACCGAATCCATCAATCCCAATCCATCATGGAAAAAAAATATTAAAAATTATAAAAATTGCAAAAATTAAAATAAAATAATTGCCCATCTCCCCCACGTTGCCTAATCCGAAAAACTTTAGTTTATCAGCGTAACATCGTTTCCCGCCAAGCCGGAATTTCCATAACTTTGTTTCCGCTACCCGTGAAGGAAGAGGGGATCGGGACTATTTCTACATATCGTAGATAGCGGGGCCACACCGACATCGCCACACGCCAATTATTTCCAAGACCGGTGATGACTGGTGGTGACTGCCATTGCCCCCATTGAGTGGTGAGGAACGGCTGATGACTGCTGAATTTTAATATACCGTATCTTGACAAGTCTAGGCAAAGAATTAAACACCTAAACCTTATCTCCTAAATCTCCCTCATGCATTAGAAAAACTCGGGCCAGTCCGTTATCTTGTCTTTTCCTTGGGAATCTGCGTGCTCCATCTTTGCGTGCTCCATCTTCGCTAATAGCCGTTTGAAAGCAGTGGAGCACTATGCGAGCCCCCTTTCAGCTCTTAGCCTTCCCGCAAAAAATGGGCGGGCACTAGACAGGTAGCCTCCCTTTTCCCATCTGCTGAACTATCGTGTCACAGACCTTACAGTCTTACACACCGCTGTAGTTAAACTCAACATATCACTTTCTGACCAAATAATGACACATTATTCTGGGGACATCACAGCCTAGTTTGGTGATGTTGTTTTTTCGTACAGTAGGGTAAGATACATGTTGTGGATAGGTCAGTCTTGGCTGGACCAGCTTGGCTCTTGGAGCGTCTCTTTGATCAAATTAAAAAGGGCCTTTTTAGCGCTGTAACCATATATGAAGAAAATGCAGCTGAAGGCTGGAAAATATGATACTAAAACGACAAATTGTGACACCGGCCCGGCTTATCAAAACCCTGGTGATTCAGATCGAGCCCTCGAAATACGAATGAATTACCGATAACTTAGTTTTTAAGATATAGCAAACTCTATTCTGTGTGGAGACCGATATTGCAATCCTCCACGAACCCGTGAATTTGACGAGGGGAGGGGGGGCCTGAATGACTGTCAAGCGAGAGAATAAGCTTGAAGAGATTATCGCCAAGGGCTGGGTACTTAGGAATTATTCGGCTTTAAAATTTCCTGTAGCCCTTGGTATTACTTTGTAGGGTAGTGAGATGCAATATCTGATAATGCCTGCATCGCTTGGTATTGCTTTACAGGATAACTAGTCTTAACGTCAACTGGATTTCGGTTCTTCATGTATTCCTTGGTATTGCTTGACAAGGTAAGGGCATTGAGTCATGTTCTGCCTGCATATCTTAGTAAATCTTAGTATAATCTTAGTAGATTCATACGCGCCTCTGATGTTGATTCTTCATGTACCCCTTGGTATTGTTTCAGCGGGAGTGATGACGCCTAGCACTCGCATCAAACGGTGATAGCCAATCTAGAAGATGTGATAAGGACGTGACATTGAGGGATTTTCTGCATCAATATCCTCGTGGATGTAGAATACGACTGGAACTACAGTACCAAGACGTTACATTATCGTTCTCACTCTGCGAGATGATACATTGGGTGTCGATCAGTGAGGGTCGAGATTCGTCCTTTGGGCGCATCTCGTCTTTAGATGGTGCTGACTGGACGGAAAAATAATCCACTGGTAGATGGGGAGAGGCAAAGAAGGTTGATACAGTAGATTGATGCGGGGAAGACTCTGTCGTAGAAATCTATAAAGCCCCTTCGTTCGCTGCTTGGAGTCACCTCGACCAGAAGCAGCAACAACACAGTGACATATCCACATCACACTCATCAACAACATCAACACCAACATCAACTCTTACCACTACTTCATTCTCGACTTATCACAATGGCTCCCATCATGGATGCACTCCCAATCGTCGAGGACAAGCCAACGGCTGCTGTCACTGACTTCTCGGTATGCAAGATGCCTCAAAGTGATTGTTCATAGCTAATCGAGATTCTCCAGGTCTCCAGTCCTCAAGATGGAGCTGTTGTTGCGCCACCTACCACAGTCTACCAGACCGGTGCCACCAAGTTGAAGAACATGCTCAGAGACTCGAATGAGTTGATTGTTTGTCCCGGTGTCTATGATGGAATCTCAACCCGAGTTGCCCTTCAAGTTGGCTTCCCAGCTCTTTACATGGTACGTTCCGATCCCTTGGGAGGACTAGCTACCCAGTGGAACAACACTTTGCTAACATCCAGTGATAGACCGGAGCAGGCACTACTGCTTCCCGCCTTGGAATGGCAGATCTCGGCATTGCTCATCTTTCCGACATGAAGGACCACGCTGAGATGATTGCAAACCTCGACCCTTTTGGACCACCCTTGATTGCTGATATGGACACCGGATACGGTGGTAAGTAAAATCACAGACGAGAAAACCAAAGAAAAAGCTGACATTTAATCTTCAACTTGTAGGACCTCTCATTGTTGACAAAGCCGTCAAGGCCTACATCAGAGCCGGTGTTGCTGGATTCCATATCGAAGATCAAATTCAAAACAAGCGTTGTGGCCATCTTGCAGGCAAGAAGGTTGTCCCTGAAGAAGAGTACTACATGAGAATTCGTGCCGCCAAGGGTGCCAAAGATGCCATGAAATCCGATATTGTGTTGATTGCACGCACAGATGCGCTCCAACAACTTGGTTATGATGAGTGCGTCAAACGTTTGAAGGTTGCTCGTGAGCTTGGTGCAGATGTTGGCTTGCTCGAGGGTTACACTTCAAAGGAGATGGCTGCAAAGACTGTTAAGGAGTTCGCCCCATGGCCAATACTTTTGAACATGGTCGAGAACGGCGCTACTCCTATCATCACCACCAAGGAGGCACAAGAGATGGGATTCCGTATCATGATCTTCTCCTTCGCTGCTCTCGCCCCAGCCATGTTGGCTATCCAAGAGACTTTCGTGCGTTTGAAGAACGAGGGTGTCGTAGGAACTCCAAAGAACGTTACACCAAGGGCCTTGTTTGAGGTATGCGGTCTGCAAGAGAGTATTGTTATTGATACTGCGGCTGGTGGTGGGGCTTTCGCCGATGGTGTTTAAATTACATTTGGGTTTTCAGTTTCTCTAGTTTGTTAGGATATCATCTAGTAACTGGGTGGTTCTAGATATGGTGCAAGTATATTAGGTATTGGGCTTCCATCGAAGTAGAATTTGTTTATAGGTTGAATATATTTTTACTTTTTTTTTTTTTTGATACAAAAATAGCATTGTTATGGTCTATATATATATTGGTGATCAATTCTGCTGTACTCGTGCTCCGTCCAGCCTTATCATCAGAGTGAGGAAGGTGTGAAAATGTGGCGTAACCTTACTTTGTGGCGCCAATCGAAACTTGTCGCATCGCGATAAGGATATAGATACCTACCGACCTACCTAAAAATATCTGCATTGTGCAACCTACCTTCCGTTTTGTCGGATATTGGTATGGGAATGAGAATTAAGTTGATTTTAAGATTACCGGCTATTCTATTGGAACGGCTGCTGGACCGAATTTTAGACTAGCAAATTCAGATGAAGAAATGCAATCGATAACACCTGACGAGGAACTTCATGCATGTCATATCAAAAGTGTGAACCTTGGAAGATGTACTTCTAAAGCTGGAAAGCCTCAAATCCTCTAATCCTCCTCAGCCAATCTACTCACCTCTACAATGCCTCACGCGGCTTGCTATACACTTCTTGGTAATCTTGTGAGCCAATAGCTTTCGAAAGCTGGCCCCTTCCTTACCCGCAGACGTGTCAGCTCATGTGATGACGTATGAAGTACCCAGCAGGCTGTCATGAGTCCTCTCCCCCGCCATTTGCTGTACAGAGTAAGTATATAGTCTAAGTCACTGTCCTCCAGCCATTATTATCCCATCTAAACCTTCATCTGCACTTCCATCTGAAAGGCTGAGACCCAAATTCAACTGCTTCATCATTACATTACGACAATACATCACCACCAAGAACCTTGCTAGCCAGACGTCAAAGATGCCACAATACATTGTAATTAACATTGATCAAGATATCTATCGTCTGATGTACTGATTCAAGACCTAGATCACCCTGGAAGAGGATTCTACCAAGTCCAACGACCCTGAGAAATACGAAGAGCAAGTCTATTGTGCATCACTATCTGCATATCAGTAACTGACATATATTAGGGCTCTCAAAGTCGCCAAAGACCATGGAGGTAGTATTGCAGAGGGCAATGACTTTGATTGGGGATTTATGTATGAGTGCTCTTCCTCATTCGTCTCTCTCCCTTTTCTCCTTCTCTTTCTCGCCTGCATGTAACCTTACTAATCAGGTGAATTAGTATCGACTTCCCTGATGATTCTGTTGCCGTATCTACGATCATGGAAAATAAGACTTTCAAAACAATTGAGGATGGACAAGGTGAAGTTACGACCCAAGCAGATTAGAAAGAGCAGCTTGAAGTGTTAGATATATATATACATATATTGATAAATATACATATGCTGGTAGATATACATATATTGATAAATATACATATGTTGGTAGGTATACATGTATTGATAGATAGAGAAAGGGTAATTTTAAATGCGATATTGAGATGCTTCTGATGTCATTGATCAAAGCTGCGATGATTATATATATGTGTGTGGGTGTGGGCATTTACGGGATTAGAACGATCTATGCTCTCTTGTCACAAGGCTTTTAGGGTTCCAAACAACTTTCTTGTGCAACAACGTTCCGACCGTACACCAATTTTTCCACACGAAACACACACACCACCAATGCTGTCATGAATTCTTACCTTCCTCTTTCGCGGTCTTATCGTGGCCAGAACATCCGCCATTCAAGATCGTTCTTTAGATATGCCAGCCTCAATCGTTACCCGTCCCCGTCAGCCCATAAATGGTCACATCCACCAAGCTCAACCATCATTGCAGATAATGAGATAGCAAGACTTGCGAGCAAGCCCCTACATGCATTGAGGCTAGAAGATCTAGTGAAGTGTGGATTTGGACATTGCTTGATATGTATACACACATGCTTACTTGGTTTGCAGACATGGCCGACCGCCACTATCTACGGTAGCATTGTTTTCATCTGCAAACTTTACCCTCGATCTCCTCCCGAATCGTCTTGCGCACCGGATACAAGCTTTGCGGAACCTGCCTTTCATAGTCGTCTCCAATCCGAACATCTCGAGGATTTACAACAATTATCTCCATTCCTTGTCAACACTATTACCATACAAAACCATATCTACGTTGGAAGATGAAATAAGATTCACCGAGGTATTAGCAGACCTTGTCGAAACGCACTCGCATACCATTCCAACTCTTGCCAGAGGTTTTCTCGAATGCAGGAAATATATAAGCCCGACCGAAGTAACACGATTTTTGGACGAGCATCTCCGTGCCCGGATAGGCACTCGATTGATTGCAGAGCAACACATCGCATTACATCTTTCATCTCAAGCACATCAAGGAAGCCATACTGAGCCCGACCCTGGAAGTTCTTCATCTTATATTGGTGTTATAGATACAGCTCTTAACCCGGCGTCAATAGTAAATTCGTGTGGCAATTTTGTGTCAGAAATCTGCGAGCTCAAGTATGGCGTCCGACCAAGTTGGATTATAGATGGGCAGCCGGAGACGACGTTTGCATTTGTGCCAGTGCACTTAGAATATATAATTACTGAATTGCTGAAAAACGCATTTCGCGCGACCGTCGAGTCTGGTAGATCTAACGAACCAGTAGTCATAACGATAGCTGCGGAGCCAGAGCTCTCTGCGGCAAATGATTCGCTGAACAAGTCTACCTCAGGTCTAATTCTAGATGACAATTCTAACTTTTCCATCAAGCCTTTTGAGGATTCCGCCCCCGGAATTACGATACGTATTCGAGATCGAGGAGGTGGAATTAGCCCAGAGGTATTGCCAAACGTATGGTCGTATTCATTCACAACATTCTCGGAAGAAGACGAATTACCCGGACAAAGTCACAGCAATGGAAATATGGATGCATTGAATGTTTTGTCAGGTGCTGGAGGCGAGAGTAGCTCGATCGCTGGATTAGGATACGGATTGCCCCTCGGAAGAGCATATGCCGAATACTTTGGGGGTGGCATTGAAATCCAGTCACTTTACGGATGGGGCTGTGATGTTTATCTACGACTCAAAGGACTCGGAAGGCCAAAAACCTAACGAACTCATCGCGTGGGTGAAAACATATGGCATTGGCGGCAAATGAACTTTTTCAAGGATATATTCAGAATTTGCCATCTTCAGTCAACTGAAACCATTACCATCATCCCACATCCAATTAAATTTTTGAGGTGTGGTATAGAATTATGGAAGCGGAGTTCGCTGACAGGGCTAGTGACGTGGATAAACATCCCCCTGCATCTAGTTAGGCGCCCGGCGCTTCATTGGGAACAATTTCGAACAGTATGTTAACCTTTGATGAAGCCTCGTGCTCTCACTACCATCTTTAGATTTTATTATCTCTATTCTGTTCCTTTTTTCAATATGGAAGGTCTTCCCAGTGCTTCAGCTGCTTTCGCTGTCATATCTCTCGCTGTGCAGTTAGCCGAAAGTGTCAAACAGCTAGTGGAGTTTTGGCAAGCTATCGAAGATGCCCCAGGAGATGTTAGTGAACTTTTTTCTGATCTAGAACTCCTGTCAGCCTTTCTAGTGAAGAACCAGAAAAAGTTTGCTCAAAATAGCCCCTATGACCTGGTTGCCCAGCGAATCTTCAGCAAATGTCAAAAAAAGGATTGAAAAACTTCATTCAAAACTTCATCCCACAATGGTCGCCTTCACGTCGTCCTCTACTCGTAAAAGAAAATGGGTTGCACTCAAAGTCACTCTAAAAAACGAAGAGATCAAGAAGATGCGTGCGTCAGTAGGAGAATCCTTGGTGGCAGTGCAGATGATTCAGCAAGAAGCTATCTCGTATGTTAACCTTCTCCAATGTACGTCAAGTAGAAAGACTTTCTAAACTCAATTTTCCACTTTCAATAGTGATATGGTAGAAATGGCTCTCCAACACCAAGAAACTTCGAAAGGCATAAGCGCCATACAAGAGATTGTTGTACAATATTCGCAAAACCTCAACCCTATGCATGGGTCTAAATCGCTATCTTCAAAATATGCTTCTTCCATGCTCTTGGAGGAAAAGAAGGCCACAGAACTAGGCCTACTAGATTTACACCGAGATAAGGAAAGTCATGGTTATTGCCTGTCTACTAGTACAAGAAATGTCATGATCTTTCAAAACAGCTCTCCTGGAGTTTTGGATGAAGTCGGAAGCTCGGCCGATGATAACAAGAAACAGATCATTGGCCGTACATCGTCGAAAACTAGATTGTGGGAGGCTGATGGCTAGACACCTTTTTTCTCATTTCGAGCCAGCTCCGCCTCGACTAAAACTAAAAGTGCAAATGAATTGAGTTCTCACGAAACCATGGAGACGAGAATTGGCATAGTATTCTACCCGGCGAAATGGCTGTATCGCCTAGGCATGACTATGGGGATTCGCATGTCGGCGACCGTTGATAACGGCTGGATGTTTACATTCTCCTCCTTTGAGGCCGTTCCGGACGATGCATTGATTTTTGATCTTTGCCGACAAGGCAATGTTGCCGGTGTCAAAATTCTTTTAGATCGTGGAGATGCTTCCATTGAATGTGAAAACCCTCAGGGTAAAACGCCGCTGTGGGTAGGTTTTCTCACGCTCGCTACAGCTTCTTATAGCTAATCACTCAATTGTTGTAGACTGCCGTCAACTATGGCCAAGTTGATGTCGCGAGATTTTTGATCGCCGTCGGAGCCAAGAATACAGCCAACACAATCTGCCCATGGCAGAACCCCGTCGTGCTTGATGCTCGTCGAAAAATTGCCTTGATTGAGGCCTTAGAAGTCTACTCAAAGTACAAAGGTGATAATGTATATGGCACTATTGGTCGCTTATCGATATTCTATACCCCAAGCAAACGACTTGATATGACCCAAGAAGAAATCTCGGACAGTATGTTGTGTGTTCAAAGCCTTAACTCCGTCTCTACGCACCGGAAATGCTGCTGCAATTCGTTATCTTCATGAAATGCTATCAAGTGGTCATTGTGGAAGCCTCATTCATTGGTTAATAAGTAGGATCGAAGGTAATTTCGAGGTACATAAAGACAGTGTCACATCCTACTCATTACTACACTGTTTGATTGGTGCCCGATTCCTTCATAGGGATCTGCTTTCCGTGAGAATGATTATGGAGAAAACAACAGACTTACATAGTTTGCACGGTTACGGGGCTTGGAGTCGATATCAACCACAGACACCCACAGTTCTTGCAATGTATGACCAGGATTTGTTCATTCCATGGCGACAACTTCTTCTAGAATCTAAACAGGACATGGATACCTTCATCGAGCGGGAGATTGATGCTAAGTAGTTGACCTCCATGGGTTGGACTAAAGCAACGTTGAAAGCCTTATTCCAGCATCAATTCAACACGCCGAGCTACAAGGGAAGAAGACCATTTGATGGGTTTCCTGTATGTAACAGATGCAATCATCTCAATATCTCAACTAGCATGCTTCGCCTCAAGATAGATCTTGAGTTTAGGAGACAGCTTCGAGAGATCAGAACCGGTCGTTCTCAAATACCACTTTTCTCGCATACGACAGATGTCAGGGGCGGCTCATCCTTGGGCGTAAGTGTCGACGGAAATGGATATCCTATATCAAACAGTTCACAGAAGACATGGCAACCATTACCCTACCGCTTTGTATGTTCTGACAGGTGTCTTGATGAAATTTCTGTTCACGACGTGTTTGAGAATGATTCGGAGGATTTGCCAGTATTTCCACCATACATCTCTAAGGAGGAAAAGGAACGCCTCGAGCAACTACGTTTGGCAGAGGAGGAAGCAAAATGTCCCACTTGCAAGATGCCTGGGGCGTTTTGATATGGCTCGCAACTGGAATGCCTAAGACCCCAGTCGAGTCCTCACGTCCCAATACAGATAGATTTGACAATAAATGACCCCAAGGATTCCAAAGGCTCATGCCACATTTATCCTTCAAATTTAAATGCTTGTCAGATTCGACACTCAAATGATCCTTTACGCTTCAAGGAGCCTCATAACACTTTGCAAACTTTCTTTCTAGATTTGACAGTCAAATAGCATTTTAACATTTGTATCTTGCTTCTTCGTTTCTTTTTTTTTCTCTCAGGTCTTGAGCATGGCCGAGTCCATAGAAAGTTCAAGACCGAGCAGAATTGTTACAAATTTGGGGAAGCATCAAATTTTGAAATTTGCCTCCTGTTTCGCAGCTGAAACCTGTGCCGTTCGCTGACATCGAATCAATTTGTTTGACGTGGCCCAGTGCAGAAGCGAGATGCATGACAGGGCTACCGACATCTCGGATCGACATGCCCCCTGGATACATTACGCGCCCAACACATCGACCTAGTTTAAGGAGGCAGTGCTAACTCTACGGAATGGACACACAAGATGTATGCCTTATATGAGGCTTCGCGCACTATTGTCCTATTTCAATGTAGTTTATCCTCCCTGCTACTTTCCAACAGTGGCATCCGTCATGGATGGCCTTTCTGGTGCTTCCGCTGTGTTCGCTGTCGTATCTCTTGCTGTCCAGCTAGCAGAGACCATTCACAAGTTAGTCGAGTTTTGGAAAGCAGTCGAAGATGCTCCCGATAATATTACGAGGATTTTCCAAGAACTTGGACTTCTGTCCAAGATTTTAACACAAAGCCATGAACTAGCGCAATGCCACTCGTTTTCTGATATATTTGATGAAGCGCTGGAAGATTGTAGTTCCAAAATTTTCAAACTTTATTCGAAGGTTGAGGACACAAGAAAGAATCTCAATTCTGGAAAGCTACGCAAACGGAAATGGGCAGCGTGGAAGATTGTGTTGCAAAAAGCCGAAATAGACTCTTTACAAAGATCTATCTCGGACGCGAAACTGACCATCCTACTAGTACAAAATAATAGTCTGTTGTAAGAATTTCAACTAGGCATACATTTGGGCAGATACTGATCTTTGATAGAGCGCGCCCATTTTCAACGTCTAACGTTTATCAATTCAACCAAAAGACGTCTCGTGCCAACACTCAGATATTCCAAAGCATGCAAATAACAGAACGAGAGCTGGCAAAGGGCTTGGCGGAAAAGCAGAATCTGTTGAGTTCGGGATATCTCAATGAGAACCTTGTTCCATTTCACCCTGTCACAAAAAGGCAGCGCTTCATTGAACAAGGCCATGATACGCAAGGGAATCAGTTATCGCCCGAATATGCAGATATCCCTCAGTCTGTGGGTGTTAGCTCGCGCGAACGGCATGTATATGGAAAGAGGGGGTGCCAGATTACGGGACCATTCTCGAATATATGGACTGTGTCTCAGGAGGTTCGAGAACGGGCTGTTCATGCATCAGGAGCCAAGGAAAATGTGCAGGCAGAATCTCAACTAATTCTTTACCCTTCAAAGTGGCTTGCCAAGATTGGCATGGCATATGGCGTCAAATTCTCGGTCCTAGCATCAAGGGGATGGCAGTACTCGCTCCAGCCTTTTCGCGCCGTGCCTGAAAATGCCTTGATTTTCGAATTTTGCCGTGAAGGAAATCTTGAGGGGATAAGAACATTACTGAGTCGAGGAGATGCTTCTCCTTATGATAAGGATCCTTTAGGAAGGACACCTTTATGGGTAATTTTGGTCATGTTAAGTGTTTCTGCAATTGCTGACTTATTTAGTACGCTGTGCTTCATCACCAATTGGACATATCTGCACTACTGCTTTCGGAGGGCGCAGACGTACAGGAGATGGATTGGGTAGATCGAAGGTAATGAATTTTTTAATTGTCAGTTTTCCAATAGTCCGGGCTACAGTGCTGCAATGAAGGATTGTTCACGACCACATCTTGAGGGATTGAATTCACTTGAGAGGTTAAAATTTAATTTGAATTATCAAGGTCTTTGAAAATATTCACCCTACTTTCAGGTGTTTGAGGATTAAACGGTGTCATATCAAGCCTGCTATGTGGCTCAGACAATTCTGTTGAATGCCTGTTGAATTCATGTTAACAACCTTACTAGGAAACCGATATCGAATCTTTATTTTGGTGGCTGCCACAACATAAAGTTGAAATTGACACTGGCAAACCTGCTGGCGCATCACGATTTTCTAGACGATGATGTTAACTTTTGGGCTATCGGAAGACTGATTATGTTTTATAGACCAAACAGAATCATGGATCTGGATGTTGCAAGCAGGAATGAGTCGGTTCTGGTAGTTTTGCAGTATTTGGCACCTTATTTTCATCGCACCAATTACAATTTCAATGGCCTTTTCTCTGATTTATTAAGTATGGGATATGATGGCGCGGTACTGCAGTGGTCTTTAAGCAATATTCCGGGGAAGCTGCGCGGTAACGAAAATAGATCTATTATCCAGCGCGCAATTAGGAGGCTCCTTCTAATACAAGAACCTCTTACGATGAAGACTATTATTGATAAGAGCATGACAGCCGATCTTCATCTTTACATTGATCCATCACCATCCCAGGTTTACGGAAGAGAGACGCCCACGTCGTTGGCAATGTATGATTTGGAAGGTTTCTTGGTTTGGCGTAGACTTCTGAAAGAGCTTGGCTTCGATATATCAGACTTTGTCGCTCGGGAAATAGAAGCCGGGGTATGGAAAAGTAATGGATGGACTCAACAGACGCTTCTTGCATTGTTCGAGCAAGAATTGACGCTCCCAAAACTCCCCAAACCGTTCAATCCAATGGGTTGCCGTCCTTGCGATAGATGTCAGCAGCCTACACATATAACTGATTTGAATAAAGTAGATCTTGAATGGCGACGCAAACTCCGGGCGATTAGAACAGGAAAGGCACATGATATCTTGGATGATTGTTCGGCACTAGTCGGGAAAGTGGGTGTTAGGTATGATATCACCGATCGCACTAACGGGAATGGGGTGGAAAGTGCTTTGGGTAAGTTTTCTTCGGTGCCTGGTAGTCTGGATTGAAAATCTATGAGTCCTGGAAACAATTTGAATATTCAAATTAATTTCAGTGTTCCAATTGATTACACAGTTCATAAATACTTTACTAATAATGGCTTTGTAGATCCTCTACCTTATCGCATAGTCTGTCCAAGGAAGTGCGAAGACGGAATCTGTGTGGCGTGGGAATTCGAAAATTTTGAGCCGCCGAGTCTTCCACCTTACATTCCGAAAGAGGAACGAAAACGTCTCGAACGGCTGCGTTTGTTGGAAGAGGAAGCTAAATGTCCCACTTACACTATGCCTGGAGCTTTCAGAATCCAGTAGTCCGAGCTTAGACCAATAATAAGGGACGTTTAAAGAATGGACTCATTTTGATTCTTGAATTTATCTGAACCTAAAATTATCGAGTCGATTGAGCCATTCCCAAACATGCAAAGATCACAGAATCTATCGGACTTACGGTTTGTACTATTGGATACACCAGAAGCTATCAAGATTTTAGCTCTATATTTTTGGAGAGGCTAATGTGATCAGGGTTAGCGAAACTATTAGTATAAAATAGGCGGATATGAGAAAGACACCGGTGGATTTTCCGCGTCAGAAGTCCAGAGTTCAACATTAAGATAGTCAGTGGCGTCATAACGACCCTTAGCCCACACAAAAATTTATTTTAATCTTCTTTCCTTGTTCCTAAATATCTCTTCATCTCTCTGTTCGTTCTACTTCGACATTCGAACATTTTTGTCAATAAAACTTGGGCGTTAACGATGAAAGGGCTCAAGGGTTTCAAAACTGGTAGTGAGTATATATTACCATCATACTTTCTCTTGTCTTTTTTCTGTTACCTCCGCCATCTCAAGTAAATTTGCGTATTCCCCACAATCCGGCGTGAAATGCTTTGTTATTTGGATTTTTCACTCATCGATAATACCCTTCGTCCCCAACTGCGCCTTGTTTTAATTGAACGCTTGTCTAATGTTCATCATCAACCCAATGTTTATACCAAAGGGCTGCCTTGTCACTCGTTTCTTTCTAGATACAGATTAACTAATGTTGACCAGATGCTTCTAAGAAGCAGGATCAAGCTCCGAAAGTCAAGCATCGATCTCCCAAATTCATCAATAATGTCTTGGCTAAAGCTCATAAGCGGAGCAAATTTAGCACATTTCACCCTTTTGAACGTCTCCCAATCGACTTACAAACCATTATTTGGGAATTTTCCATCGAACCACGACCTGTTCTTCACAGAGAACGGAACACCAGATTAAAGAGGAATAGGAAAGGGAGGCTGGAACCAGTTGATGATACCGAAATCTCCTATGACGATCCTCCATCTGACGAACTTCCATTTTGGCCACGCACGTACAGTCACTATGTTGTCTTCGACTGGATCACGCTTCCTTGCTGTCGCCATACACCCGCAATTTTGCATGTATCTAAGACAGCTAGAGAAATCGGGCTTCGTCATTATAAGGCTAAAAAATCGTTGCAATTAATTCTTCAAGAACCACCTCAAAGTCTTCATCAATCAGAAGGAATAGTCCATTTCGATTCGAGCTCATCTAAAGCAATGTATATCTCCCAAAACCATGACTTGTGGTGCTGGGAATCTTATTTCTATTTCCAGATGTATAGCCCTCTTCCAAGTCTATCCAACGACGTGCACTGTTTTATCTACGGGTTTCTCCATCAACTGGTGACCCCGATACTTTACGAGCTACTTAAATCGAGTGAGCGAATCGTTCCTGAAGATTCTATTGGCGATGAACAACCGTCGCGGAAGGAGAGAGTGACATTGATCATCCATATGCCACAAAACAGCTATGACGAATCTCGCATGGATAAAAGAGGAAAGTTCAGGAAGTTGGTAACGGAATTACGTGGCTCCGAGAAACTAGTTGCGCAGCATTTCGACGACGCAGGTATTCATTATCGCCCAGTCGACTTGAAGTGTAGTCGATTCGGCTTTTGCAAGCAGTGTTTGAACGCAACAGAGGATGTTGCTATTGGGGAGGATATGGAAGCCAACCTACAAATTTGGGCTAAGCCAAAGCATTTACGTAAAAAGCTTCAAAACCGTGAAGGCTACCGGTTAGGAAATAAATGCAAGTCGTCATGCTATCTAACGTGGGGGGCTCCTTACCAAACTCCTCAGGCCGTTCGACTGCTATTGTATGGCGTGGAGTTCCTGGCCATACCATTCATTGTGTGCCTGATATGAATATCCCGATATTAATACCACTCGCAAGAGTGTCGGCTTGTGTTCTCATTAGAGATCTTTAAAATATAGATGCAGTCGTTCGAAGGGCTAGACTTATGCCCACCCGAGGCTCAGAGGAACTGATCAAGATATCTTCATCTTTTTATACACCTTTCGGAATCGTTCAAAGCTACCAACAAACCATATTCGTACGAATCTTCTGCGATCTCGAAAACACATTCACTGCGCCCTATTAAGTTTTTGGACGACTGATTTGGCTTCCGGATGGCTTCTGGAAATACTCAACTTTCATATTTCGGGATTTTAAATGTACAGATTTCAGGTTCTAGGCGCACGTCTCAATCCTTCATTTTCGCCGAGGATGAAATGAAAACTACCAAACTTGGCAACATTCAAACAAAGCTTCTTCGTATGCGAAACAACTTCTCAAGTGGCATCAGAACTTATCGCGCTTCAAAACTCCTACAATCGCGACAAGGACCGGGCTCGGGTGGTATATTAGGAATTTCAGCAGAGATTTATTTGTTCATATCGTTGTTGCAGATTATTCTTTGCACGTACTGGCAAAATAAGGGTTTAGGTATTTGGAGACCTATCATGAGGATCTAAAAATTGGTGGATTCGCTTGAGTGGACATCTTTGCGCGATGAGGAAATCGCAGGGTGAATTAGTCTTTATGCGTATAATAAGCGTGATTGGAGGAGGGGTATAGGTCTTCGATGTGCTGGTTTTGTCTCTCATTTTGACTTTTCGAATCAAGTGTCTAGCGGTCCTTCCACTGGAACCTTCAGTATTCGAGATTGCGTTTTGAGAATTTTTTGGGCTGTCGTCACACTCTGGCATTTGACTTCGGGTTTGGAGTTTGCTTCAGGGTACTTTGAAAATGTAGCTAGGTGTAATTTTGTAGATTTTAATAGGGAGTTTTCGTACTGAAATGATTTCAAATGGGGGGTTTGGTTGAATAGGCCGTTCATCGTTATGGGACAAGGATTGTGTATGTTAGAATTAAATTGGGCTCTTGTTTTGCACTGTTTATGCAACAATAAAAAATGGTGTGTGGCAGCTTAAGAAATCGAATCATATGTTACTGGTTTACTTGAAATCATAAAGACATGATTGTTCACATGCTAATAGCTTTTGCTCTCATGTATACTATGACCTCTCACTAATCGTCCCGTTTCAACCAAGGGGTACAGGCCTCATGTACTTTCCCCAAAGAGTCCTCCATTTCTACTAATCGTGCAAAGATTTTGGCATCAATCCTGTTTAACATTTCTAAAGTGGCAACGATGAAGAAATCAGCATATGAAGCTATCAAATTTCTCGATGTCAGCGACTCCTTTCTCAATTCATATGCACAATTTTGATGTGTAACTTACGAGTATCTCCCTCAATAAATGGCCCACCATTAGTCTTTAACAATCTTCCCAATTCCCGGGCAATCGGCTCAGCAGCTTCCCAGCATTTCTCTCCACCTTCCCTCTCGCCATACTCGGATAAGGGCATACCAACTCTTTCTTTTCGAGTCTCTTCGAAATAAGTACGCGAATAGTCATTTAAGATGTTTGTGGGAAGAAGTGGCATCCAGAGGGGACGTGTTGCAAGCTGGAGCTTGGCAATTAGATCCTCGGCTTGAGATAGATGAGGAGAGTCGATTTTGAGAGGTGGAGTAGGATAATTTGTCTCTAGGGTGGAGGCGATGGAGCGGGAATCTTGGATATAGGTGGAATCAGGAAGACGGATAGTTGGGATTGTGTATGGCAAGCCAGTTGAATTTGGGATAACACCGCTGTATGAAGAAAATGGTTAATGACATGGCGGCAAGTAAAATAGTGTGTAGAATCACGGACAGCGACTTGAAAGTTGGAGCTATATCTGGATATTCAATCCAAACCGTCTTATATGGGATCTCCTTGTAATTTAAAACTAGACGTGCTGGTGATTATAAGCTTGCGGAAAATAGTATGAATAGTCTATATGAATCTCACGTACCTTTCAAAGCATTGTGTGACCAACTGGCACAGCGATCCTTGCTAGCGAGATCGTAGAGAGTAGTCTCTGAGTCAGTTGCCTGACTCTGGGTTTCAGACATATTTTGTTTATTTTAGGGGTGGCAATGTTAAGTTTCGGATTCTTTGGAAATTAATTTATTTATTCTAGAATTTGTGAATATAAAACGTGGAGTGAACTGAGCTTATATATGTGTACCCCGCATTTCGAGAAAAGGGAAACCACGAGGTGTAATCTCACATGTTTGAGAAGAGTGCAGAGTATTTTAACTTTCAAGGATGGATTGGTATTGAATCATTAGTACTATAGTCACTCAATAGGTAATTAGATCATAGAAATCAATAGACTTTGAGAAGCCGCCAAAAAGTGCGATAGAAATTGCTGGAATATTTGAAGAATCACGTGTATGGTCGTGCATTTAAGGTTTAGCGTTGCTCTCCCCGCCCTCAGCACTTTTTGGTTTCCGGTTGTCTTCACATTGTCGCAACAAAAATCTATTAATACCACCACATTCAATTTATATAACTCCTCAACCTCCTCAACCATGGGTTCTGTTGTTCTTCCTCATCTCGTCACAGGCTGGCATGTTGACCAGGCTATCATGTCAGAAGAAGAGAGACTTGTTGTGATCCGCTTTGGGCGCGATATTGATCCTGATTGTATGCGACAGGATGAAGTGCTTTATAGTATGTGCCATTTTGCTTGGTTATTCCCTAACATTCTTTCTTCTTTATCTATCTTACTGTATCCTGTGCTAACCAGAGTTTAATAGAGGTCGCCGAATTAGTCAAAAACTTCGCCGTCATCTACGTCTGCGACATCGACCAAGTCCCCGATTTCAAAACCATGTACGAATTATATGATCCAGTCACGACCATGTTCTTTTTTCGCAATAAACATATGATGTGCGATTTTGGCACAGGTAATAACAATAAGTTGAACTGGGTGTTGGAGGATAAGCAGGAAATGATTGATATTATCGAGACGATTTATAAGGGCGCAAAGAAGGGGAGAGGTTTGGTTGTTAGTCCTAAAGGTATGTGGTATTTTTGTTCGATTTCAAGACTTGGAGTTGCGGAAGGCCAGGATTGAGGAAGAATGCTAACTCTGGGATAGATTACTCTACCAGATATCGGTACTGAGATTTTCTCATAAAGGCGCCACGGCAAGAAACAGTTGTAGACCGTCTGAGTATAAATGTTTGGTGGGCGCATGGAAGGGCGTTAATGGTGGATTAATCTGATGGAAAATAGATCCAGAAGAAGGCAAAGGGTTGGTCTCACACAATGAATTCTATGATCGTATCTGAAGATGCTAATACTGCTCAAAGTATGTGAAATTTTCCGGAAAACAAGTGGTAAGTCGACTTTTTTCATTTCTGGGAAAAGAGTTTCCGTCAGATCTTGGGAGGCTCTTTCCCTGCGATTGTGCAAACATCCATTTTGCTTAGACTACTTTTACCTTTCCCAATGTCTCTCCAAATTGGTGTCACATATGCCAAGTGGTGTACTCCATTTGCTATTTAGCTTGCAGGAAGCATCTTTGCTCCTTGCTCTGTCAAACCATGCCTCCACGGATATGATGCAATTATGCAAATCTCCGTATATTTCACAACCAAAAACCAGTCTCAGACCTCGTTTTGAGAGGCTCATGTAGGTTAATATGTTATACTGTACAATTCCATGTTGTGTTCGGACGTGCAACCGAATACCCGGTACTTTTACCGTCTCCACCGGAAAAATTATTGAGCGAGTAATACCCCTCTTTATTAAGTTCCACATCATTTTATAGCTTAAACTTGCATGCACTTTGCATCGAAACGTCGGGGAATACTTGAATGGAATTCGTCTTTCACTTCGGGCTGTGATCCACTTAGATGGTTGATATTTTACCTGTTAGGACGCGGAGGCACATTTTCCGTTCCGGCTAAAAGGAGAGGTACAAGTTTCACCTCTTGTACCTTTTCCCCGTGTGCTTTCGGACCAGCCAAGTGCAGAGTTATATCCTTATGGCCCACAATCCTAGATGCTTTTTTACACTATGTATGTCAATCGTTCCACACAAATGTTTTTGCGGAGGTTAGCCAAGGCCATTCAGGAACCCTTGTAATTAATCCTGAGGGGTAAGGAATCCCTCATCACCTTTAAAAGAATCCAAGGTGCTCCCCTTTTGTGAGTATTGTTGTTCAAAGGAATTCTCCAATCTTCAAAATGAAGTCCTTTCTCACAGCTCTCGTTTCCCTGCTTCCTCTAACGACGGCTCTTCCCCTAATCTCATCAGAATCATCCATTGCACAGCCCAGTTCACTTTATTCATTTTCATCTAGTGGTAGCAATGCTAAAGTAGCTGGTCGATTATTCAACATCGATGGCAAGGTTGGATATTTTGCAGGCACAAATGCTTGGTGGCTTGCTCATCTTTCATCCAACGGCGATGTCGACATCACTTTCTCACAAATAGCTGCTACGGGTTACAAAATCGTACGTGTATGGGGCTTCGGCGACGCAAATACCCCTCCGCCTTCCACCAATACCGATCCGAACCTTGTCTACTTCCAAATCCTTAATTCTACAGGGGCTTATATCAATTACGGAGCGGATGGCCTTCAGAGATTGGACTACGTCGTCCATGCGGCATCTAAATATGGTCTGAAGCTGGTTCTGAACTTCGTTAACAATTGGAGTGATTATGGTGGAATCGCCGCTTACACTAACGCTTTCAATTGCTCATCGACATCCTTCTACACTGATGCAACTTGCCAAAAGGTCTACAAAAACTACGTCAACACAATCGTCACCCGTTACCGCTCCAGCACGGCCATCTTCGCTTGGGAACTTGCCAATGAACCGCGTTGTAACGGCTGCGATACCTCCGTTATTACCAAATGGGCTACAGATGTATCAAAATATATCAAATCGCTCGATGCGCAACATATGGTTACGTTGGGTGATGAAGGATGGTTCGCCCCGGCTGATGGCATTGGTGACGGTAGTTATGCATACGGTGGCAGCGAGGGCGTTGATTGGGTGGCAAATTTAAAAATCAAGACATTGGACTATGGAGTGTTCCATTTGTATCCAAATACTTGGGGATATAATTATACGTGGGGAAATGAGTTCATTGAACAGCACGATAACGCTGGGAAGCAGGTCGGAAAACCAGTTATCTTGGAGGAGTATGGTTCACCGTTCCCAAACAATCATACGGAGACTGAGGCACCTTGGTATGTTGATTATGTTTCTTTTTTATTCACCCTGAGCCAGAGAAGGGGAGGAGTGAGTGGATAAAAGTATATGGCTAACTAGATAATCTCTGCAGGCAAGCAACAGTACTTAAATCGGGTATAGCGGCCGACCAAATCTGGCAGTTTGGACCAAATGGAACGAGTGTGCGAGCAGAGGACTTTGGTGATGTTAATACCATCTATTACAAGACCCCTGAGTATGCTACGCTTGGGACAGCTCATGCTAATGCAATGTTAAAGAAGAAAGTTTGATGGGGGGAAAGTATCGGTGTAGTATTTATATACATACGATATGATCTAATAAAAATTAATTGCTATGTTAATTCAAAGAGGATCTAGAATTTAGAATCTTGTGGTGAGCACATTAGAGGATCTCCCCGTATGTCCGAATGTCATGCACCTTAGGCATATATCTCCTCAAAGAGATGTTTTTGTTGCATGTCGCAACGCCAGGCAAGAATATGAGGCATTCCCCTTGATGAAGCAAACTATTCAGAGTCTGAACGTCTTTAGATTTTTCGAAAAGCTAGTGGTTTTGTACAACAATGTTAGTGACGAATATCGTAAAATGCAAATGCCAACTATATATTTCATCAAAGCTGCAGCAAAGATTGAAATGTGTATATTCAAATGGAATTTACAAAAAGCTTTATTCTCGGGGTGAGCTATTGTTGAATGTCGTCTCTAATTGAAGTACATAGAGTACATTAGATGATATTCTTTCCGACAGTTGAAAAATCCCTAAGTATATCCTCATCATTCGGTTGAGTAGTACTTTTTGAAGATGTTGATGACAAATCAAGACTGGTTAGGCTCGGCAAGAGTTCTTTGTGAACTTCCGAGCCGAGGTATCTTCCATGAAGATGTCTCGGTATTTTCCCCATGGAACTGCCGCCTCCCCAGATTCCTTCAAAAACAGCTTCAATACCGCTTCAATTCCTCCTTCTTCATCTATACAAACATTAAAAGAACACTTCATATCATATATTCAAAATGGCCGTCGAAAGAATCAGCTCAATTGTTAAGCATTTGTCTCCTGGTGCATCAGGATTGTCTGCAATGTAAGTAAACATTCCAGCCCCTTCATCACCAAATATATACTTACAAATGTGTCAAAAGTACCTCTAAAAATGCCGATGATATTGTTATCACACTTGCAGTTCGCACACCATTAGCAAAGGCTTACAAGGGAGGATTTAAGGACACACAGCTCGATTACCTTGTGTACTCTCTTCTCCAGAAAGTCCGGGAGAAGTCCAACCTCGACCCAGCTCTCGTGGAAGATGTCTGCTGTGGAAATGTAAGCAAGTATTCCTCTCGTGCAAGGCAAAAGCTAACAATGGTATTCAATAGGTAAGCGATGGCCATGCTGCCTACAAAGTCCGCGCCGCTGTCTTAGCAGCAGGATTCCCAAACACCACCGCCGCCTCCATTGTAAACCGATTCTGCTCCTCCGGTCTCAAAGCTACCCAAGATATCGCCAATCAAATTGCCGAGGGCTCCATTGACATTGGTATTGCTATGGGTGCAGAAATGATGTCCGTTGGAGGGGATAAACTCGAAGGTTCTTTCCACCCTGAGGTTCTTAAGTGCCAAGAAGCTGCAGATTGTATGCAACCCATGGGACAAACATCAGAGAATGTAGGAAAGGACTTCAATATTTCTCGTGAACAACAAGATAGATATGCGGCGGAAAGTTTCAACCGTGCTGAGCTTGCTCAGAAAGCCGGATGGTTCGATGATGAGATTGTGCCAATTGTTACAGAAGTTAAGGATCCAAAGACTGGAGAAGTCAAGAAGGTTACTTTGACTAGAGATGAAGGTCCAAGATATGGAACTACTTTCGAAAGTTTGAACAAGATCAGACCAGCTTTCCCGCAGTTTGGTGATAAATCAACTGGTGGAAATTCTAGCCAGGTCACCGATGGTGGTACGTAACATGGTCCGCAATCCCTTGACAAGCATATATACTAACGTCATCCTATAGCCGCTGCCGTTCTCCTCATGAAGCGTTCCCGCGCCATTGAACTTGGTCAGCCAATCCTCGCCAAGTTCGTTGGAGCCACCGTAGCAGGTCTCGCTCCAAGAATCATGGGTGTTGGCCCAACTATCGCCATCCCAAAGCTCCTCAGCAAATATAACATCACAATTGACGATTGCGACATCATCGAAGTCAACGAAGCATTTGCTTCTATGGCTGTATACTGCAAAGATGCCCTCAAGATTCCTCATGAGAAAATGAACGTTAGAGGTGGTGCTATCGCACTTGGTCATCCATTAGGTGCAACTGGTGCTAGACAGATTGTCACTGGATTGAGTGAGTGTAGGAGACAGAAGAAGAAGATTTTGTTGACTAGTATGTGTATTGGTACTGGACAGGGAATGGCAGGTTTGTTCGTTAATGAACAATTGTAAATTAAGAAGTGTTAGGATGTTGATATTAATGGCTAAGTTTGAATGCGTTTGTATGTAATATCATGTTGACAGGAATAAAATTGAATATATTTTGGATTATGTTGGATCTTATGATGCGATGTGATGGTGATGTTATATAAATGCTCTGATCGAATTATAGTGTAAGTATATAATACCCTTTCATATATTTATTGTTAGTACTCGAGTAGTTTACTCTTTATAGAAATGACTGATAGTATGTATCGTTCACTCCAGATATCATAAGTAAATTAACTCGCCTCTTCTCACCTCACCTCTCAACTTACCAAATGACTTCACGATTGTTTATTTCTCTTCTCTCATCCCTCTCATCCTAACCCAATAATAATCCCAACCACAAAATAATCTACTAAACTATGAATTTATAATCTAGAAATCTAGAGTTTCTAATAGCTATGTATATGTGGTTGGAGTTTGGGGCAGAGTGAATGGGATGTATAGTTTCTTGGGGGTGGTTTGTGGGTTGGGTGAGAATTGGGCAGAGGGAGGGGGGATTTGTGAGGAATGAGAATTTGTAAGGAATGAGTAATTTGGAATTTGGAAGAGAGAAATGGAGAGCTGGTGTGGGAAGGGGAAAATGGGAGGAGGGTGGAGGATATTTGGATAGGGAGGGTGGAAGAGAATCTATGAGTATAATAATGAGTAATATAGATAACCCTGTTGACCCATTTCACCAGGAAGTTGGTGTTAGGAATCGAACCTAAATAGGAGTATATATCACATCGCCGTCGGGCAGCAGGGGAGGAGTGGGAGTGGTTGAAGAAAAGGACCAGATGAAGGATAAATTGGAATTATACGTTGCAGGTGAAGGGTGGTGGAACTTGAGAAGTTTGCTAGCTATATATTAACCCCTTCGGCCCTCTTTTATACAAGTTCGTCGCATTATGCCATGCCGTTCCTGATGTCGTGGCATGTATAAGAGAGTTCTGGAGAGTGATTTATTATAGCAACGAGTCATATGGAAGGATCCCCTATTTACTGGTGCCAGAGATCACAGGTCATTGTCAAATTTGTAAGATGTGGTTGTGAGTATGGATTTTGTACTATTTATGATTTGGTGAGTAAGTGAGCGTGCTGGATTATACCCTACTGAATATGAGCACAAGAGAATATGTTAGAACCATTGCTTCTGATTGTTAGAGACATGATTTTGCGTCGTTTGGTCCTCGCTAGGTGATGAAACAATCTGAGGTGGAACGAAGTAGGAGGTTATAGAAAGTCGGCGAGTCCTCGACAGACTCGTCTAAACAAAACATAAGGTCTCCGACTCGAGATAAAAGGCTTCTACAGAGCAATCTGCACATCTCAATTACAAACACCTCAAGAATAAGCAGCAAAAGGCAAAATGGGTCGCAGAGCTCGAGTAACAAAGTCACCAATCAAAGCCGACGAGCCCGCACTTCCTCAAACCATCTTCGCCCTTCCTCTCGGAGAATACAAAATCCCTCTGATAAAACACATACTCTCCTTTTTCTGTCAAAAAAGCACCTTCAAAAGACGCAAATCACTAACTAGTCTCCTGCAAAAGCTAGCACAGATAGAACAAACCCTCCCAAAAGATGAACAAGGAGCAGTAAGTCAACTTCTTCACCATAATATGCCCATTACAAGAGCCGCTATTAAAGCAGGACCACAAAAGGAAGATGCAGATGGAAAGCTTTTAGGGATGAGCGAGGGTAAAAATCTAGAGTGCGAAATTTGTTGGAAAGTTTTGCCCTCGGAAACTTTTCCGCAGTCGCTTGCTGCAAATAATTGCAACCATACGACGCATATCTGTACGAGATGTTTGAGGCAAGCAATCACCAAGAGCATGGAGAGTAATCCATGGAACAAAATACCCTGTCCTTTCTCCACATGCAAAAAACAAGTTGGCGCCAAAGATCGTGGAGAAGTATAAACCGTTTGAACATCCGCAGTCATACGAGAGCTAATTATGAAACAGATATAAAAACTACCTCCGTATGCTTGAGATCTGTCATCTACCAAACTTTCGATGGTGCTTGAATGCCGCCTGCGACGCTGGCCAACTTCACAAACACGGATTTAATGACTTCAGGGTTATATGCGATGTTTGTAAATCCGCGAGCTGCTTTCGACATCAAGTTCCATTAGCTAGAGCTGGAAAGATCATGCGGTGTAAAGCCTGCGAGAATGGAGTGAAAATCCTAGAGTTTGCCGGCACGAAACTATGTCCACAGTGCAAAGCACCGACTATTATGGAACCGATCGTATGTGAGAAGGCAACTTGTAAGTATTAATTAGTTTCCATGCTGATGGTTTTTCCTGTGTGTACTAATTCTTGTTTCCGACTAGGTTGTTGTGGATATAAATGGTCGGATTTCACAAAAGCTCGAGCTCGTTGATACAAGTTTGTTGTAAGATTATCCCAGTCTTGACTGTTTATGACTGTAACTGAGGTAGAAATATAGCCACTGGTCCTGCTGTCTCACGCTACTTTACCAGATCCATTGCACTTGCAAGGTCATGAATCTGTTATTGAAATGAGAAACTTTATGACTAGAAATAATTACATTCATAATACAAGGAAACAATGCAGGAGTGGCACACACCACAAAATCTCGAGAGATGCAGGCTCTTTAACTGGTGAACTTTCAGCTCAAATTCAATCATATGAATATTGGACCGCTTTTGTAAGATTAACTTTATTAATTGACGACTATATTATAACGAAATGTTTATATCTGACCCGGATGGCAGAACGGATTAGATGTCCTGGATTAAGTAATCGAATTTAAATTCACTAGAAAGTTAAATTATTTGGGCCAGGATAACATGAATCTCTAGCACGACAGATTCAAGTGAGTTAATTAGATTTTAGAATCGAGTAATGATATTTATTACATGACGAGTGTTACGTGACGGTTGTTACCCACTAGTGGCTCACGTGCACTAGCCCTGTATATAAAGACCTTCTTACTTAGAATCTTCTTAGTTCTTTAGTTTTAGATTCTAAGTGATTGAATTGACTCCGTTTACGACTTTTCCGTCACAACGAGTTACAAGGTTTCTTTGAGTATTTTTCCTTTCTTAAATAAAATAACTATATTATATAATATATAAATTTTTGAATACACATTTATCAAATCTATTAAAAGATTGGGTGGAAGAGGCCTCTATATTGACTATATTACTACGTCTGTAGGCATATTAAGATCTCCACTTGGTATCCTCGGAGGGGACCAATATGCCTGCTTATGGTTCATCTAATCTAGCCTGTTTAGGTAACCGTATTACTAATCACGACACGTGATTAGTACCGGTAACTTCTATTCCTTTTAACAAAATCATATAATCAAAAAAATAAAATAAAATTTAAAATTTTTATATTAAATTATTTAATCTAGCTTTTTGTTAAAGTGAATGGTTCCTGCGTAGCACGTGCATAGGGCACTAGTCCTATTAGGACTAGATTGAGAAGCTCTCTGTAAGAGAGCTTCGCACTTCCGTAGAACTTAGAAGAGAGATTAACCTACTAGACCAATATTACCTCAGTTCTGCCCTATCAGCTTCCCACTATTCCCTGTGTGAGGTCATTCCTTTTAACACTTTTTAATACTCTTTTAGTTTTATTACAGAATTATTTATAAGTAGTACAAAAACTTTACAATATAATATATATATATATATAAACCTCATCAACATCAGCCCGCTTTCGGCTTCTCTACAACTCTCCTTTAGATGTGTAAAAACAACTTGCAATTAATTATATCAAAAATGTCAAGTAGAAAAGGAATAAAATAGATACTCGTCCGCCGCATCAAAATCCGAATATCTGGAGATAATTACTCAGCTCAATGTCCGAAGCCGGATCTCATCTCTGCCTTACACAATCGACTCCGGTAGTAAGAATACGATTACGAAGGTCCATGTCACGATTCACCATTAGGATTAGTGTCCTGAGGCAAATAGAAGGATCACGTGATGGATAGACTGGATAGACCAGTCTATCCAGGCTATCCAATAGCATTCAGAAGTATATAGTGAGAGTAGTTTCATAGTATAGGAGCTTCGTGCTCAACTTAGTTATCAATTAGTCTACCTACAGTCTATTTGATCTAGTAACGAATTCACTTCCAAGTGAATACCAGTGATAAAGCCTTAACCCATAACTACCAACCAGGCGAAACCTTAGGCAGCCGCTGCCTCCAGTGCAGTATCGTTACAGTCCACCTGGTCCGCCCCCTTTCCCGAGAAGCTAGTATTTAGCGACTACACATCATTAGTAATATTCCTGGTATTGAACTCGATATTAGAATAAGTATTAATGATTGGGAGTTAAATCTTTACATATATATATAGAGAATTGCTTTGAGATATATTCTTAGTAAAGAATTGAATAAGAGATAATCTAACAATTATTATAGTAATTTTGTTAAGATTAATAGAATGACTTGATACTGACCCAATGCCCACTAGAGTAATATCTGATATTCTACCAGCCAAAATCAACAATACAATCTAAAACACGAAAGTTATTTAGAGATAATCTATAATACCTAGAACCTCGTTACAACGGACAGCACTATACCCGAGCCCCGCATATACCGAGCGTTTTCCCGTTTCCGAGATTATACCATTTTTGTACACATATACGGTATTTCAAACACCGAGTGAAATTCCACAATCCCAACAACAAAAATTGTTGAAAAGAGGGTCATGTATCATTTCTCAAAATTCCAACTCTCATCGACCGGTATTGACTTATAGATCAGCCAAATTTGGCAACGCGGTACAACGAGGTTCTACCGTAATAGCTCCGTAATGGTCGCCGAGTTAGAACTATATATAGGTCGTTGACAATCTCCCTCAACAACACATTCTAGCTCTACTCCATATTTACAAACAAGACCATCAACTGGATATTCACAAAAATGTCTGGCCTTTTTGATACCGCTGGCAACTTTTCCCTCTACGCTGTAAGAATAACAATTCACGCCCTGATTAATGCTGAATTCTCACATCCATTCAGATCCCCGTAGCATGGATTTTTGCCCAGGCCTGTCATGTGTACGCCGTATCCGCGACTAAATCCTTCGATAATCGTTCTCCTAGAGATTTCCCAAAAAGTCTCGAGTCTGATCAAAGCATTGACAAAGCGGTACGCTGCCCTACTCCATAACTCTCTCTCAACAAGAGAAACTAACATTTCCTCAGAAAAAGAACCGTGTTCGTCGAGCTCATGCCGCCGGAGCTAATGGTTTCGAAAACATAGGATTTTTTGCTGCGGCAGTTGTTGCAGGAAATGTTGCAGGGCTTTCCAATTCCACACTCAATACCCTTAGCGGAGGATACTTGATTAGTCGCGCGGTTTACAACTTCGTCTATATCAATAATGATAATCAAGGAATCGCAGCAAGCAGATCTTTGATTTTTCTTGTCGGAATAGGACACATTTTCGCATTGTTCATCAAAAGTGGAAATGCCTTAAGGGATAGAGTTACGGATTTGTTGTAGATAGACGAGCCGTGGCTACCCAGAATAAGAACAGCAATTCTAGCGAGCTGTATATATTCATGTAAGATAATAAAGTAAAAACTGAAACCGCAACGGAACCATTCTATGCGTTTTGTCAAAATGATTCACTGGACAGGATTATTCTGGAATAAAAACATGATTGATGACGTGATCTGACGAAACTTCGATTGATCGAAGAACATTCTTCGGCCAATTTCATAAGGGTAACGATTATCGACCCCTTCCAGGACAACAGAGATAAACCAAAATGTAAAAGACCCGACATAGACCTGTCTTATTGTCCGAGGAGCATACGTATAATTTCATATCGGAAATCCAAGTAAGAACTCAACCAAACTATTGGAGTTATCCATATGGAAATTGGAAAGACTTTCAAGAGAAAGACGCATGTAAGTATTTGAATCCAAAGTCAAAGTTATTTTCTGTTGAGGATATCTCACAGAAGCCTTCAAAAATATTGCATGCCCACAAGCCCGCCAGACCTGCCGACACCTTTTATACGAAGATAATAAGATTTCCTCCACTAGATTGAAGATAAATGTACTAACAAGAATGACGTCCAACGAGGATTGATCTTGCTTCAGGGGCTGAGACCGCAATATTTTGTTCGGAGTGCTTCGCGAAAGGAATTAAGACGTTTTCTTCAGCCCTAGAATGGAGATATCTAAAGTACAGCAAAATATGTGATTAAAAAAGCAATCGATGCTATGGTTTCCGTAAAAGAGATGGTGAGATTGATGGGATGAAATAGAGAAGAGCCTGTCATTAAGAGAATAGAATTGAAAATCTAGTTGAGGACAACATCACTTGCGTTGAAAGGATGCGAGAACAGACTGACTCAGTGGCGAAGAAAGAAATATTTGCCTCTGTCTTCAAGAAGAAGAGACAAATTATTGGCATATGGATACGATTAATACTGTTTCCCTTGGATAGTACTATGATCCGTTGGTGGATGGATCATATCTTATTTTCAAAATAAATGACAGCAAAACATCTTTTGAAATATTTCTGAATGGGTAGCCACAGTTGTAAAAAGATGTAAAGTCATTGAGAATGAAACTTTGAATTGATGTAAAGATATTTCGAGGTTGTCAAGAAATCTAAGCACGCAACGTTTGTAGGTAAGGTAACCTGACTAGAGCAAAAAGGGCAGAAATCTGGCAAATTATTCACCGCCAAATCAAGGACCACTCTTTACTCGATATGATTTATGATTTAATCTGGCCATCGACATCCTTATTAGCATCAGTTTTGTTCATGTTATTCAGATGGCTTCATTCAATTCCGAACACAGTATCTTTCTTAGCTCTTAAATTTGGTGGTTGATCATCCGCCTATGGATTATACCGTTTTCTCACGTCGAGACGGGTAAAATCAACACTATTCCTTATTGAGTACGCTTGAATACATACGGGATTGACAAGGTGGACTTTGCAAGGTCACTCAGGGGTAGCAATTCACGATGAAGCTCCTCTACCCGGCTTGTCAGCCGTGGTCATTCATTTTGCTGGCACAACCTCCATTCTCCCCGTGTCAAGTCCCAGCCCATGCCCAAAACATGCTCGTGCTAGTCGGCGCGCTCTTCTGAGCCAACACCCGCAGTACACACAACATAGTTGAAGCCATCAACAACTTCGTTATCAAGCGAGTCATAAAGCCAGTTCCGAAACATTTATGTTTTGCGGAAGGAGGTGACACTCCTTTGAAGAAACCATGATATTGATCCCGAAAATTCGTACGTCGCGTTCAAAATCCGGGGGCAGTAGACTGCCCCCCAGAGAACCCAGTAAAGGTATTTCTTGGATCTCATGCTCATGTGGATTTCTGGTAATAGTTTGCCTTGTGTTATCGTGTTCCTTTTTCTCAAATTTTTGGTGTAGCTCGTAAACGGGGCGGGTTAGTGGAGTATGGGAACTTTTTCGATTTTTGAGCCGCGACCCTTTTTATTGGGGAAGAGGGTGAAGCTCTGGGTTGAGAGCATGGTAGCTTTATCTATCGTAAGATGTCCGTGTCTGGTCAGTGCCAGTTGAAGGTTGTCGGGAGCACATCGAGTGAAGCGAGTAATGCCATCAATACAGCAAATACTGACATTGCGAGAGACTGTCAATATTTATCGATACAAGTAATGCTCGGCTTGAGAGCCTCTCGCTGCAGTGTTGCATTATAAGGCTCTGAACCATATACTATGGCATTGAGATACCCAATGAGATAGAGGCTATTTATCGTATTTATTTTCGATTGCTACTCCTCTTTCCTCATCGTCAGGCTCGTTCTCCTGAGATCATTCGTTCTTGACTCTCGGAAAATTTGAAATACATATTCAATTCTCGTGCTTCACCTCCAGCAACATTTGCAATTGTACTGGTCCTAGCTGCAGCGCAGCTTAAGAAGTGGGATGAGCCACCGCCAGTGTTGGAGTTGTTTCCTCTTTCCGAATTGTTCAGTCGATTTGAGATAGTGTCTCTTGTACTGTCCGTGATGATGAGTGGTGAAAAAGTGAGACTGTCGACAATGGATTTGGAGAATGGAATGCAGGATAGTATAATGGCGAGGGAAGTGTGTAGATTTGTCACCAATGCTAGATTAAATGTATCCCAAGTATAGTTGGTTGAATGTATGGTCTCATAAAGATAGACCAAGCGGAGAGCGAGAAGAGGTAAAGCCCTTTTATTGAGGTTCGAATTAGCTATGTGTTTAAGGGAATTGAGACAAGGGGATGAGAAAGAACAGCAGGCCTTACAAAAGATTGGGCGAGAACAAGAGTATTGTAAGCTGCTTCTTAGATCTCTCCAGTTTCAAAGCACTAAGAATATATATCGGAAGCAGGCAGATAAATACTTGGGTTAAGGCATCCATTGCCGCATTAATTGTCCAAAAAACTCTCTGGAAGACAAAAGCTGAGGTTAGAGCGTGCTATAAGAGAACTGAAGGTATCCTTACAATGTCAATACATTGCCCCTTCCGGAAAAGCCAAGGATATGGAAATTGGCATTGCAGAGCAACCACAATCACACTGGTTAAAATCCACATTCCGACGCAAATGATGCTTCTATATATCAGCCGTCGTTTAGCACTGTCCTCTCTCGTGAGACAAATAAAAAAATAGAGAGTTGAGAGTTTGGTCGTGAAGATTGCAAGAATATATATGATATTACCAACATATTGAGCCTGCGAGTTGTCAGTCTCTGTCGATGTTTGAAATCGTGGGGGCTATCCTACAATGTAGAAGCTATTCAGCTCATTTGGAAGGATAGTGTCCTGATTTTGTCCTAGTCCATAGGTAATTTGTTCTGATGTGCACACGCATTGAGCTACTGATGACAACTATTATGGCGGGAAAATGGTGAGCCTGGAATACGAAAAGGACATCCGTCGGAGACTAGGTAAGAATTCAATGAACATACCATGGCAATGAGCCCGAAATAATCATCGAGCTGGATTTTCCGAAGCGTGTCGTATTTGATGTAAACTTTTGTTAATGTTGCAATTACCATTGGTACCAGCACAATCCACATGGCGACGTTTAGAAGAGGGCCATGATTATCTGCCGTCACTGCAGCCATCTTTTCGTGATGATTGATTATCTTCAATTCTGAGGTTGACTTGTTGATGAGTGAAAGGTACAAATCATTTATGGAATAAATACAACGCTGAAATCAAGGGCAGTAAGACTTTAGGATTAGATTTCAAGATATGGTTTGCCTTCTCTGCTCGAAAACATCATCGCTCCCATGTAGTGAGAATAAAATCCATTTCCAATGATCGGGGAGGATCATCATTCAAGTATGTCTATAACAATCACTACCGAAGAACACTGTCGGTAATGACATGAGAAGTTGGGTTGCAAGGAGTCTAGTGTATTCGGATGTGCTGTGCCTCACTTCACACTCTTTGCCGGATTCACGGAAATGAAGATCGCGGCTCGGGATTCAACTTGAGTTATTATTCTGTAAATAAAGTAACAAAAGTTGGTATTTATTACCACACTTATAGTTTCAAGCACGGAACAGATCTAGACATCTTGAATTTTGACTAATTTTGAATGAGACTCGAACTCATTTTGTACCCGGGTAGACTGCTTTTGGCTTCGGATACGCACTCCCGTTGTAAATTAATGCGAGTAAATTAATGCGGCATGGATCAATCTTGAAAGTTGCGGAAGTAAATTCGTGGCATATATCCCTGACAATCTAGATCTTTCCTCATAATGGCAAGTTCCATCGATCCAAGCCACCGGTAGAGCTTGAAGTTGCACTCATTGTTGGAGTTATTGAGCTAAGGTTTTGCGCGCTGTGATGTAATAATGTGGCTCAATATCACATTCCGCCTCCGGAGGTGCTTGGAATGGTACCATCTCTGTCTTCACCACCTCAAACCCGACCTTTCGTAATAAGTTGACCCAGCCCTCTCTGGTATACAGAAGGTTACCAATTCGTTTCCCCATGAATGTGTGCTCGATGCCTCTTGCGCACTCCCCATCCTCGTCAAACATATGCGGCTCAGTCGGAAAATCCTCTGCTACCATGGTCCCGATAAACAGATAGCCTCCTAAAGCAATCCATTGTGACATCTTTCCAGCAGCTATATCCATTTCCTCACGAGAGAAATGGAATAAGGAGAATATGGCAAAAGCCCCTTGGAAAGAAGACTCAGGGGAAAATTCGAGCATATTAGTTAGTTCGAAAGTTCCACCGGGAACTTGTCGTGTGCTCAGTTTGATCATGACGGGAGAGAAATCAATGCCGTGTAATTTGCGACCACTTTGAACAACGAGACTTGATGTTGGAATCCCGGTTCCGCTACCGATATCTAGGACCCTCGCATCGGGGCTTGTAGGGAGAAGTTTTAAACTGTCGGTAACGAACGCTATGAGCCCTTCATCGTGTCCAAAACTCTTCTCGTATCTAATTCCTAGATTGTCATAAAAATCCGCTGCTGGATTGATAGGTGCCATTTTGCTGATTTGTGCTGGATGTTTGAGGTGAGTTGAAATTGCTTTATTCTCTGAAAGATAACATGGACCTGACTTCTAACACTTCTAACAAGGTAGCTACGTAAAGTTATGGCTAAATACATCCGAAATTCTGAGCTCCATATTCCGTTCTTGGTTACGGTACTGATAAGTTAATGCATCCCCTGTTGATGTTGCAAATTAACCTCCGCTTCCCCGCAGGTCTAGAGCAGGGGTGACTAAATTTGGCCAAGTAGTGTTTTCAGAGTGTAATGCAAGCCGCCCTTCTGGTGGTTCGGCAGTGGATCAAGTATGCAGGCTCTGGTTTAATTCTACATGAGCATGGTAGGGAAAGGAAGTGGCGTAAAAAATAAACCTTCGCTATTGAATGACAGCTCCCCCGTTGCTTTACCCTCGATTCACTTTCCCTTTCTTCATTTTTGTCCTGCGGCCGTATAACGCAATATGTCTTCCTCTGAGATTGGCGATGTTAAGCTTGGTGTGCTTCAAGAAGTACAAGTCACCACTACTACCGGCGCTGATTTGGATCAGGAGAATGGCAATACGAACGTAACAGAACGAGAGAAAATATCCGAGAAAGATTATGCTAGGCAAGTTCAAGATGAGGCCACACTTGCTGTGTTTGGGAAAAAGCAACAGCTCAAGGTACGATTGAATAGACAGCGAAATTACTCGACATCTTCGCTAACTGATTCTCTAGCGACGATTTAAATCATTATCTTCAGTGGGCTTAACATGCGGTTTGATGTTAACATGGGAAGTCATTCTGTTGTAAGACTTCCGCTATATTCTTCTTCACCTAGAAGCAAATAATAACTTACCATATAAAGCACCCTTCAATTTGGTCTACAGAATGGCGGTCCTGCTGGATTAATCTACGGATACTTAGCAGCATGGGCTGGATCCATGCTTCAAGCTTTAGTTATGGCTGAGATGTCATCAATGTGAGTTGGAGATATTGACCCAATTCAGATGTATTGTACTTATCAGAGATAGGATTCCTTTGGCTGGTGGACCTTTTAACTGGGTTGCAATCTTGTCTCCTCCTTGGTGCAAGAAATTTCTTAGCTACTTGGCTGGATGGCTTACCGTTATTTGCTGGCAGGCTTTTGTTGCAGAAACATGCTATACGGTTGCTTCTTTGATCCAAGGTCTCCTCATTCTCAATTACCCAGATTATGACCCCAAATTGTGGCAAGCGACTCTGCTCTTTTATGCCATCGCTCTCTTTGGGGCTTTCATCAATACTTATCTTGGCGGTCTTTTGCCGCGTATTGAAGCTATGATGCTGATTGTGTATATTCTGGGCTTCATTGGTGTTCTAATTCCGCTAGTCTATTTGTCGCCACATTCATCTGCTGAAAAGGTTTTCACAACTTTCCAGAATCTGGGGGGTTGGAATAGTATGGGTCTATCGTTCTTTGTTGGGTGGATTACATCGGTCAGTTCGTTTGTAGGAAATGACGGCGCGGATCACATTGGTAAGAGTTCCTTCTTCGTTGAAGAGCCTATTAAAACTAGTTCAAAACTTGGATTAACAACTCGCGTGCAGCCGAAGAAATCAACCAGGCTTCTAAGGTCATACCTTTCAGTATCTGGTTCTCAACCTTGTTCAATGGCATGCTAGGATTTTCCATGATGATTGCAGTATTGTTCAGTGTCCAAGATATCGTCGCTGCTACCCAATCGTCCACCGGATTCCCATTCATGGAAATCTTTCAAACGGCATTAGGATCAAAAAAGGGAGCTAATGCATTGGTATGTCTCCACTCATGACTGAAGAACCCATTCTAACTTCACAAGATTATTGTAATCACTGGAGTGAACGTCTTTTCCGTCAGCAGTGTTTTGGCCACAGCTTCACGGACTTTATGGGCTTTTTCAAGAGAGAATGGACTGCCATTTTCTAGTTTTCTTGTCAAGGTACCAACCACAACATCGTAAAACCTTTTCAGGAACTAATGAGTACCATTTAGGTCGATCCGAAAACCCGTTTACCTATCAACGCTATCATAGGAACACTTATCGTCAATGTCCTCCTTGCACTCGTAAGTGTCGGCTCATACACCGCATTCGAGGCATTCTACTCCGTTGTTTTGGCCGCCTACCAGTCATCTTTCCTCTTAGCCGCAAGTGTGATGCTGGTAAAGAGATTAAAAACACCAGCTTCCGAGATGCCTTGGGGCCCTTTTAGACTTAGGAAATTGGGTGTACCCATCACTATTGTTGCCATGATATACACTGTTATCGCGCTCTTTTTTTCGTTCTGGCCCGCCTTTTCAACGGTGGATGCGGCGGGTATGAATTGGAACTGTTTGATTTTTGGAGGGGCAGTTATCTTCAGTATGGTCTTTTGGCTTTTCTATGGTCGAAAAGTCTATGTAGGCCCGATATGGGAGTTTGAGGGTCAATTTGTTAGAGTAAAGTGATTACAATCTGTAGTATCTAATACGCTTGTTATCATCAAGTCAAACAATAGATTGACTTCATTAATTTAACAAGTATTAGAGTGGATATTTCACTTACAGCACATTTTAAGAGATGTTATCTCTGACGCTGATTTCTAGATTCCAGTTTTGTGAAAATGCAGAGGCCAACAAAAAAATGAGACCACAAAAATTGCTGTTCGTAAGTCTGTTCCCTTCCCCCGATCTATTGATGGAAAATATTGAAAGCCCAACCATTTGCCCAACCAACAACAATATGCCGGCTGGTAGTACCAAAAATACAACACAAGGTAGCATATCAAATGATACATTCGCAACAAATCGCCCCTCTTGAAAATTCGTACTAATTTGCGATAATCTCAAAACGTCTCCACATTCATATGTGTAGTATATCTATAACGTATTATATACCCAGTAAATAACACAAAGGGCTATAGTACGTACCGACAGGACGGTACGGCCCGCTCCTCTAACCAGGATCATACATACCTAGTCGTTGAAGCCAGGAATCCATGCTCATCCTATTAGTTGATATTTGTTGGTTCCCCACTTTAGATGAATCAACCTATTTCCTAATGAGGATGGTGGTACGGTATTGAGATCATCTAGAACTTCAAAGTTTTTTCAGATATGATAATTTGACTGCCAATTAGTGGAAGTGGACTGATGATGATCCACTTCCTTTTTTCCGAGTACACTTGAACGCGACAGCAAAGCTACACCATCTGCCGGTCAATTGGACTCTTGGACTAGTTCTCGAAAGGTGCTGGAATGAAACAAGAAATCCCAAAACAGAATGGCTAAGAGATTGCTTTAGGAATAGGCCGCTAAAAAGTATCGTGATGAATACCGTGAAGACCCCATCTATCGATTCTGGTTCTCATTACTTTATAGCTGTGTTGGTCTAATCACCGTTTTCCAAATCCTGGTTTGTTATGCATCGTCGAGATCCGAGTGCCAGATGGAGATGTAAATTTGACTTGCAAATGCTTCATCGAAGATTCCGACACGGTTGGTGGTGAGAAATGCTATTCCTTGATGATGTTTCGGGTACTTAAGAAATCCTGCACGTCTCATGTTCGGGGAGTAGTCATTGGTTATGGGAAATTAGGCCATGGAAAACCGGAAAAATTCGCGGCCAGACTGTTGCGCTGAAAGATAAAAGCGGTATACTCTTCGAGAATACCTCTGCTTCGTCGAGTAGAAGAATAGTTCCCATCGTCGAGCTTTCACCATCCATCATTGTAGCTTTGATTCTACTATATCAGGACCAGTGCCGATGTGGTTATTAGTAAGTGAGATTATAAGTTTCTCGGCAAAGTCGGCTGCAACTACCTGGGTATGTTGTGAGTCCTTGTATTCATGATAAATCTTTTTCATGCCTGCTACATATTACTTTCCACACCAGGCGGTTGTATACTCGGTTATCATTAGGTGTTACAAGAACAGGTCCAAAGGTTTTTTAGAAACCAGATTTCTTACCATGTAACAATATATTATTGCCCTTCCCCTTTCCTTCCACAAAATCAACGGCCCGTTCTTCTGCAACTACTCTCCACAACCACCATACCATCTTTGATAACCGCCGCTACATCAATACTAGGGCGTTTCTGTGCTCACCGTTTGGCAAGACCTTTAAGCAGCGGCTTATTTTCCCCGAGGTTAACAGGTGATTGTAACTTCCGTACTGAAAGATGTGACATTTATCGCATCCATATCAAGCATATCTGTATTCAGTAGCCGCGAGAGAGACACATTTTATTAACTTAGTTCCATATACACCAAATCATTAGTTTGAGCACAAACCCCTGTCATATATCAACCATTGAACTTGTGGAATATCAGTTTGTATGCACTTACTCGCCAACTATTGCATTTTGGGCCGGAAGTTGATAAGATATTGATTTAGGTCTTGCACTATTTCCTCAATCTAATAAACCTTCAGAAGCCTCAAAGATTTATTATCACTTCTTGCGAGCCCGTGAAACCCAGCAGCACCTGAGTTTCTCTTTGTTTTACCGATGGCTGTGAGTACTGTATAGTGGTCTTGGTAAAGGGGAAGCGATGCATCAATATCTTGGCGGTACTGCGGTACTAAGGAATATAAATAATTTAGCGAATCAAAAAGGAGTGATCATGAACACTCTCTTCACAACAGCTAGTTCTTTGAGGACTTTGTGTAACGGCATTGGAGCAGATGAGAGAATATTTAGTAATGAATCGGGACGTCAAGATTATGGGAGAGCTGGTCTAGGGCTGAGTCGTTCCTGCGCTGAACAAGTAGTACAGAGTAGCAGCAACTAGATATCGATCCCATACAACCAACCATAAAAGCCTTTCCATCAACTTCAGATTGTAAGATTACAATGTGCCTGACACTTCCAAAGCCTTTATGGAATAAGGCCAGCCAGCCTTCATCCTCGATTCGCTCACTGGAGGATATCGATGTGTCTTCTGAAAAGCTTTTGCGGCAAATCGGTAATCTCATCTGATCGTACCTCCACCAAAGTGAATGAAACCTTACCTATAGATAGATAGATACCTCGGTAGGTCTTTTCATACTACAACTTCCCTCATTTTTCAGACATGCAGCAAACCATCTTGTCCTACCTCACCACGTGCCCGTCCACCTAACAAATTTCCACCGCCTGGCAGAATGGAGTCACACCCCACCCACCTATCACTTCCCCCGCATTACGCCCTTCACATTCACATATATCAATTTGCCATTTGACGTTCGGATCAATTCAGTTTAATCAGTTCTATTCAATTCAGTTCAAGTATCTTCTCTTCTCTCTTCCAGATAATCACATATATAATCTTACAACAATATAAAAATGGCATCAGAAGTAACAGTACGCTATGCATGTCGGGAAGGTAAAGCTAATCGCCTTTATTTACACCTACAACCTACAGCCTACAACCAACAACCCTCTATCCCTCTCAATTTCATGTTGCCAAACCTAAAAACTAACCCATCTCTCACGCAGATATCCCCGGAATCCTCAAACTCATCCACGAACTAGCAGACTACGAGCATGAATCAGCCTCTGTACTAGCCACCCCAGAGTCTCTAGCCAAAACCATCGCTTTCGCGCCTTCAGGTCTCGTGTCTCCGTCCAACACCACTCCCTCAACAGGAGACTCTATTTCCCCAACACGACCCGCGCGCTGTCTTCTCCTCTTCCCTCCATCTACAGAATCCTCCAATGACAGTGAACCCGCAGGAATGGCGCTGTATTTCTACAATTACAGTACGTGGCGTGCTTCGGCGGGGATATATGTCGAGGATTTATATGTACGGGAAAGTTTTCGGGGGAGGGGTTATGGAGGGAAATTATTGTCAATACTTGCTAAAGAGGTTGTGGACATGAAGGGCGGGAGGTTAGAGTGGAGTGTTTTGAAGTGGAATGAGCCGAGTATAAAGTTTTATCAAGGGCCGAGTGTAGGGGCTAAGGCGATGGATGATTGGCAGATCATGAGGGTAGATAATGAGGCATTGGTGGAGTTGGCTAAGAAGGCTGAGTAGATTGTGGGGAAAAGAGGTAGCTTTACAGTTTCCCGGGCGCATAGCACAGAGACTCTGAGCTCTCGCCGGCATCACTTGAGTCAGTCAAGCTAGCATTAAATTGTATGAAAATTATGGTATAAGGCTACTCCTGGCACGGAAAGTATGCTACATTTTGGACAGTGATGAAATCTCTACCTTGCCAGTTGTTTTGCTTCACGCTCAACGGACTTTCTAATTTTTCTGTCCGTGGTACCCTAGGCCAACCCATCCTTTGGCATTTCGAAAAATTCATTATCTTTTAATGATGGTTTGGTGATTTCTCCTGCAGCAGCCGGTGAACGTTGTCCTCCCCAAGTTATTTTGTATTCTCTGGTACTTTCATCCTGCACCATTTTCGATGAAAGACTCCAAATCATGCGATACATTCTTCGCCTCGCCCGTGTCGAATTATGTTTTACATCATCTGGGGTTTCCGGAGTCTCTGAGCGTGCTTTCTCCGTTGATTTGGCCCAAAAATTCGCATGCAGTCTGGCTGGTTCATTATATAGCGAATTCATTTCTCTTCCGATGGACTCGTCGGATGTGTCCAAATTGCGCAGAATCGCTGGTTTTCGCCTTGGAGGTGCATATTCAATGGGTTGTATTCCTTCTGCTAAATCTCTCAACCTATTCCATTCATGTTCAGGTAATGGGGGCAGAACTCGTTCCAGAAGATTAGCCCACCATGTACGTAGCATGTTCGCTTTGCGCTTCACTGGAAGTTTGCGTCCCCATGCATTCGTTAATGGTATATCTGGTTTGATTTTTTTTATTCTTCCCCGCATCGATTCCATCGGACTGGTTGCTTGTTGACTTGCGATAAATAATGCTATTTCTTTGTGCTCACGGCGTTGCCTCTTGGATACATCTAATGCCTTGTCTATATCGACATCTCTTGTCGCGTCCAGTTTTTTTGCAATTTGGTTATCAATGATCTGCGACAATGCTGTGTCATCTTGCGGCACCTCCTCCTCTCCAGGTCTCAACAATTGAGAAAGTAATTCCCTCCTCCTTACCCCAGCTCGTCCATATGTCCTCAGTAAAACATGTTGCAGATCCTTGGAACTTCCTTCAAGGTTTACACGCTCCAATAAATGTAATTTTTGTGTCGTCTTTTTGGATCTTGATTCCAATTTATTCAAATCAACTTTTGATCGAAAAAAATCGGTGCCCCAAAATTTCGGATTGAGTTTTTTGGGGTTGGGAGGATTGTACCGATTGACGATCTGATCATGTACGAAAGTTCGAGCGGCGGAGTCAGGAAGATAAGTTGCTTCGCGCAGTAAGGCTCGATATTTTTGTCGAAAAGTTGGGAGATATTGTCTTACTTCCTGAGAAACCTCGTACGCAGCTTTAGGTGCAGACGGCATTGGAGTTTGTAGATCAGCCAGCGATCAAGAAATGTAAATGGAGTAGAAAGAAAAGAGTGATGTGATGAGAAGTACAATTTCTACTTCAATATGGGTATAATGGAGATAGGAAGCTACAAAACTTCTGGTGGAAGGAAGTTGTTCAAGAAAATATTATTGTAGCCTTCATATACAGGCATCGAGTCGCGTATTGAGGGAAATGTATTGTAGGACTGAATATCATATTCACATTCAAATTGAACCACAAATTACTATTGTTAGTGTAGAAGATTTTGTTTTTTAACAATGCCCAGGTGAATCGTACAAGTAATAAGTAAATGTGTTTCGACGATGACGAGGTGATTGTATTTTTTGTACATATAAAAGCTTATATAATTATTGTTTACTGTATTTTTATAGATTACACAAGTACATACATACTACATATCCACCAAAAGTCATTCTAGCTCGCGAACTGTCGCGTCAAATTTCTTTCAATTAACCAATTAAATTTCTCATATCAATCCACCCCCACACCAACACTAACTTCATACATTATCGATACACCAAAAACCAAAACCACTTTACTTTCCTCGCGCTTGAGACACGAAAGACACGTCGACCTCACCCCTGCCTGGATATCAGCGCGTTCCCTTATCGCCATTGATCTGAGTATCATCGCAGATGGATGCGCTCAGTGAGTATTGAATTGATATAGCTCTTTAATTTAAGGATTCTGCTGCCCTTGACGACGCGATTGGCTTTTGACCAATACCTACCGTCGCAACACCCCAACACCTGTCGATATTGAATACTTCTCCTTAATCTATGGCAGCGACGACAATTGCACCGAACCCTCAACCTCTTGCGACTATATCAGAATCGAAACGGAACCAACTACCACCAAATACACATTCTACAAGCAATAGCGCATACGGAGGTGGTCAGGACTCGACTCGATTTCATCGCGAAATGTCGCTCGGCATGAGTCAAGGATCACAATCTGGTGGTATGATGATGCAACCAGGAGGACCTTTTCGTCAATACGAGTCACCCAATACCATGAATCGTAGAGATATAGCACCTCAGATTTACTCGGTAAGGTTGCGTTCGGTCATTGAGCGCCAAGCTGTTACTAATCTGTCATAGGCTGTATATTCTGGTGTTGATGTATATGAAATGGAGGTTAACCGTATTGCGGTTATGCGGCGACGAAAAGATAGTTGGCTCAATGCTACTCAGATATTGAAGGTAGCAGGGATCGAAAAGGGAAAGCGAACAAAGGTCCTTGAAAAGGAGATTTTGATTGGAGATCATGAGAAAGTTCAAGGTGGATATGGGAAATATCAAGGAACCTGGATCAGATTTGAACGAGGGGTCGAATTTTGCAAACAGTATGGCGTGGAAGAACTTCTGCGACCACTACTAAGCTATGATATGGGTCAAGATGGAGGTATTGCAGGACAAGGTGGAATTGATACCCCAACAAAGGAACAAGCTATGGCCGCGCAACGAAAGAGACTTTATAACTCAGGAGCCGAGAACCGTAATAATGGACAATCCGGAACATTTTTTAAGAATATCTCGAATCAAGCTTCGCTCGCAGTTGCAGCTATTAGCAAAGCCCGATTTGATTCACCTGTTCCCAGGAATCGCAATGGTAGTGCAAGACCTCCCACTTTCAGTAGGCAATCAACACAACAACAACCCAATAGTCAGGAGACTGCATTCCCAGGTAACTCGCAACAAAGCATGCAAAGTTTCGTATCTAATGAGGGATTAACAAATGGAGATTCGGCTTATGCAACTCAATCCCAGTTTCAATTTTCACATACCGGTAGGGAGGACGGAGATTTTCAGGAGCCACCACGAAAGAGACGAAGAGAATCTCCAGAGCCCCCGAATGATAGTCAGCAGTCTATGAATGGCGGGTATTATAATATGTCAATGCGAGAACCATCTCCGACGGAACCTAATGATTCATTCTTCTATCGTCAAGATCCAAATCTCTCCCAAGAGGAGGAAGCTCCAATGCCATTACCACCTCTACCGGAAAACCAGCATCATGGAAAAAAGGGTTTGACTCTGTTATCACTTTTTCACAATGAGAACTCGTACTTAGGCACGAACGAACATAATGACCAGGAGGCTTTTCGTACGATGTCTGGTGTAGAGCTCGATATTCCTATAGATAAATCAGCCAATACTGCTGTTCATTGGGCCGCTACTCTTGCCCGTTTACCCGTTCTACAAAAGCTCATTCAGTCGGGCGCAAGCATATATCGAGTTAATCTCAGGGGAGAGACTGCATTGATGAGAGCATGTTGTGTGGCTAATAATTTAGATCAGGGCAGTTTCCCTGACCTCCTTGAACTACTTGGTAACACTATTGGTTTTCAAGATAATCGTGGCCGAACGGTTCTACATCACATAGCTGTCACATCGGCTGTCAAAGGACGTAGTCCTGCCAGCAAGTATTATCTTGAATCACTTCTCGAATTTGTCGTTAGGAAAGGTCGTTCATTTAATGGTCAATCACAGAATACTGAACCTTCCAATCCTCATGCCATGGATATTGGTCGGTTCATGTCTGAAATGGTAAATGCACAGGATAATTCGGGTGACACTGCTCTTAACATTGCAGCTAGAGTGGGTAACAAGAGCATCATCTCTCAACTTATGGAAGTTGGGGCAGATCCTGAAATTCAAAACAATTCCAAGCTTCGTCCATCAGATTTCATTGGCGGTTTGACGAATCCTGGCGATCGTTTAGGTCTCGCAAGTCCTGATAAGAGAGGAAATAAAGCCACACGGGAGACTAGTGGTGAAATAATTGACTGTAAGATATATAATGTCCTTGTATTTCCGATTTGACTCTAATATACTTTCAGCCATAAATGCAACGCTTCAATCAACTCTTGAAGATTTTGGAAGAGAAGTAGAAGCCAAACAAGCTCAAATCGATTCCATCCATGCCAAACTCCGAGAAGCATCCGCCAGCCTAGGTGAAGAACGACGTGCTATGGAAGCGAAACAAGAACGCAACAGACAACGTGAAGAGCGTGACCTCAAAATTGCAAATCTTACTCGCGCCGCAGAGGAAGAAAGTACAAAATTACTTCAACTTCAACAACAATTCAACCAACCAATCTCTGATCTAGACCTCGAAATGCATCTTGGTGATGCCGATAAATCCTTGGCAATTCCACCTATTCCTGCTGATATCAATACTACTCCCACTCGAAACTCGAATGCTGAATACGATCATGCTCAAAGACAATTGTTATTACAACAATTACCTTCGGTGCATATACTTCAAGCGAGGATTAATGCATACAAAGCTAATAACGATTCGTTGGAAAGAAGTGTGCAAGAGTTGAAAAGTAAAGATACAGGCAGGATAGCAAAGTATAAGAAAATTATAAGTCTGTGTACGGGTGTGGACATTTCGAAGGTTGATGGTGTTATTGAGGGGTTAGCTAGGGCCGTGGAAAGTGAGAGTGATGTTGATTTAAATCGAGTTAGGGAATTTTTGACGAGAGTCGAGGGGGTTTAGAGGGGCTGATAAGTTTCAGAAGTTGAGAGTGAGGAAAGAACAAAGTGGACTAATGTAGGGAGGCATGACGAAAGAGTGCATATAGGGTATACTGCGGATCCGGTCAGTGTGCATGAATGGCGTTTGGATTGCAATGGAATGGAATGGATTGGACTGGAATGGCATCACTCATGTGGATATGATTATATGCGAGAAGCATTACTCTTACTTTGTATATGGATATTGGTAGAGGAAAGAAGAATACTGGTTTGTGGTAGTCTGGAGTGGGAACGTATCTGTGTCTGTGTCTGTGTCTGTAGTTATAGGTGGATGGTATGGTGGAATAACTAGCCAGCTTAGCTTAGTGATGCATGTGGAGAAGAGAAGCCTAAGTACCTAGGCAATTAACTATATAAATGAGAGGTAAATCTAATACTCTGTTTGTTAGGTACTTATCCGCTTTTGATTTTTGCATATCATTCTGCAGTTGGGTTACGCTAGTTACTATTTGTATCTATAAGCTAAGCTAAACGTTAAGTATAGATCCAATTATACAATAAGCAAAAATCTATGTATATTCATGGCTGCGATTCCATTTTCATGATTTGGAGTGCAGAGAAATGCAGATGATGGCTAGCTGGGTACTCATGATTGCCTTCGTCAATCGGGCATTCAGAGCATTCAGGGCAAACGTCGCTGTTGCCATCGTGAATTATGTTTCCAACTCCAATTCCAACTCCAACTCTAATTTCAGGAAAGCATTCATTTAAAGGGTCATCTAAGAATGCACCCTCTCGTTGATATCATGGAAAATCTAGAGAAAAGCAAGACACCGGTGGTGAGTCTCTTTGGTGAACAATTATGTAAACCTTGGCCATGATATATAAGAGTATAATGCTGTATATTTTCTCTCTCTCTTCATCTTCCTCCACCTCACTCAGAACGAGCAACGCTCCTCAAACTAGGATTTCTCAGCACTGTTAAACTAGAGATCGGTATACTTATGATCGCTATAATCATGGAGATATATGTATATGCGACTGCGCTCGGTAGTCTTGAGATATTGATACTTGATGATAGATATGATGATGATATGTGCTGGGTTTGGAGGAGGATAAAATCCATGTTCTTGAAATATCATTAGATGACCGTATCATTTGACGACTTCAATGATAACTTTATCACCGCGTGAGTGCATCATCTCTAATGAATTTATTCTAAATAGTTCCAATCATACGACACTAATAGTCGAATTCCTCATCACCTCATAAAACCACCACCCACAACATCTCACTCCATTCCCACTTAACCATCAAAACCACCCTCTAATCTTTCCACCTCCACACCCTCTCATCTTCCCACTATAAATCCTCCCCCCTCAATCCACCCATCCTCCTTCGCAAACTCCGCAAACCTCACATTATCCTTCCACCTTCCCATCTTTTTACCCTCCTCCTCTAATACTCCCTCTCCACCAAAAGTGGAGAAATCATCGTGGCGAACACATGTACATAAACCTACCGACTCCGCACCCGCACGCCAACACTAATTAACGCCACGCAACATTCAGATATGCAACATTTGATAAACATTACGATCAAAATTCCGTGTTGACTTTACGGAGTATAAAGAGGAGGAAAGAGAATACGAATTTGGAAGTATTGATGCGAGCTGGGATTAATGAGTAAGTAGAGATTGGATGAGGAATTTTTTGTTGTATCAATGTTATGGAACGGAGATTACCTAATTCTCAATTCTATATATCATTTGCAAAAGAAATATCGATCAGATGTGAGATAATCTTACAAAGTATATAAAAGTCAAAAATACAGAATAAAAGGGTTACAGCTGACTTTTCTTACTTGCCACAGTGACACATTTAATTCATTCACACTTCACTTCACTTATATTTGTATCCTCACCCCTGCTGTAAAATACCGCCACATCGGAAGCACCGAAATATAACGATATGCAACAAAGTAATAAATGAACTTTACTCATCAATACAGTACAGTCAGGTAGATACTTCTAGATCAATAATCTCATTTCTGTTTATAATATCAAAAACAGCTATACCCAGTCCATCCAATCAATATAGATACCCAGCTACAGTATGTACCCAAAAGGTAGGACGTCCAAATGAACCAATCAATTTACTGTACATTTCGAACCGCAAATGCATCGCTTGTGTTTCGGGACGTCCGAAATTGCCCAGCCAAGTAAGCTCATTCGGGTGGGGACTACATATACATAAGTACCTAAGCTAGATAGGTAGGTAGGTAGGTACCTTTGATAAGTTCTGTTTTTTTTAATCAATAATTGGTATTAATGTACCAAGTAGTAAGTAGTAAGTAGTAAGTAGTAAGTAGTAAGTAGTAAGTAGTAAGTAGTAAGTAGTAAGTAGTAAGTAGTAAGTAGTAAGTAGTAAGTAGTAAGTAGTAAGTAGTAAGTATCTGTGTAGAGTATTTCTTGCGAGACTAGCTGGGAAATATGGGGAATGTGAATGGTAATGGTAATGGTAATGTTTAAGGTTATAAACTTATCGAGACAAGACATGACAAGACAAGACATGACAAGACAAGACATGACAAGATATTATTAGATAACCTTAGAGTATCTAGGTACAGTAGGTACCTAATGACATGTAGAAAAAAATGACTCGCAAAAATACATCATCACAAACCAACCAACGAACCAACCAATCAAACCACTCATCTCACACCCCTCCCTCAAACTTCTAGAACCTCAAACCCTCAAACCTCAAACCTCAGACCTCAACATCAAAGCTCCAGCTCCCAAGCCCAAGAATTGGGAAATTTCTAATATTCAGAAAACGGCCACGCCGAAATTTGGAGATGTGCAACATTTCTTTCTTGTAGCTTTTAATTTCAATCTTAATGGATTTATTGCTGAGTAATATATGGAATGTAGATTCTAGATTTGAAAACGGACACCCCGAGATCTTGAGATGTGCAACATAAGGTTACTTATTTTATAGCTTCTAATCTCGATTTCAATCTCAGAACCCAAAGATCTAAAGGATCTGGAATCCTGAAAACGGACGCCCCGAGATCTGGAGATGTGCAACAGATTTATCTTATAGCTTCTACATCTCACAGCTCCAAACCCAAAAGATCAAAGATTTCAGAAGCTACGGACACCCCGAGATCTTGAGATATGCAACAAAGCTATCCAAACGTATTCCAATTTATCTTCTAACCGTCAACCCTCAACTCTTAGACCTCAATTTCCACCCAAGAACCCGGAACCCAGAATCTAGAATTCGAAAAACGGACGTCCCAAATTGTTTAGATATGCAACAAATCCACACCACCCCGCTCTAATTCATCATCTCGTACCCCTCAATCGTCAACTCTCAAACCTCCTTCCTAGTTTCCAAGTCCTCATTCAGAGATTCAAGATGCGAAGATTCAAAGAGTCTAGGATCGAGGATCTATGTATCGGATTGTCCGAAATCTTCAGATATGCAACAATCCACCCCACCTCGCTCTAATTCATCTCCTAACCCTCAAATCTGTTAACTAACTTCCACCCAAGAACCCGGATCCCGGATCCTAGAATCTATAATTCAAGTATCCGAAACCCAGAATCTACAGTCCAAAAGCCGGGCACCCCGAAATCCTCAGATATACAATCTACCCCGCTCCAACCCATCTCATCTCCCCAACTCCCAACCCAAGGATTTGTCGGATCGTCCGAGATTTTCAGATATGCAACAAACCCCTCCTTCCTTCCAATCCCCCCCATTCCCGCCATTTCAACAAGAAAATTTCAACCCTCTACCCCGAAACCTCCTCTAACTTCCATTCAAGAACCCAGAACCTAGTATCTGTTTATCGGACTGGCCGACATTCTCAGATATGCAACAAAACTTGCCCCTCTGAATTCCCCACCATTCACCATTCAAGCAATAAACTCTCGACTCCTCCAACTCCAACCCAAGAACCAGGAACCCGGAATTCAAAACCTTTATATCGGGCTCGCCGACATCCTCAGATATGCAACAAAAGCTTCCTCTATTTTGACTTCCCCACCATTCCAGTAACAAAATCTCAACTCTCAAACCTCTTTCCCAATTCCCATCTAAGAACCCACATCCCAGGATCCAGGATCCAGAATCCAAAACTTGTATATCGGAACGTCCGAAATCCTCAGATATGCAACAAAACCTTCCCCTCCTTCGAATTCCCCACCAATCTAGTAGTAAAATCTTAATCTTAGTCTCAATACTCAAACCTCTTCCCCAAATCCCACTCAAGAACCCATATCCTAGAATCCAGCATCTGTGTATCAGACCTTCCGAAATCTTCAGATATGCAACAACAATCCCCAAAACTCCTCCATCCTCCCAATTCCCGTCACTCCCACCCTAGAATATTTATCTCCAATTTTTAATCTCCAATCTCCAAACCACTCTAAAACCTACATATCAGAGCATCCGAAAATCCTTGATATATAACAAAACTTCCTTTATATTTGTATATTTTACTGATTATAGCCTTACTAACCAATCTATCAACAGTCTCTAGCTAAACACTATCCATAGAATTTTTAAAGACCCTCTACAGTCCATCCATATACACACAGACACAAACACATAAAGTCTAAATATCAGCTACTCAAGAATCCTGTCACGATTCACCATTAGGATTAGTGTCTTGGGATGAAAAGTAATCACGTGATAAGGAGCCCTAGGAGCCTGAGGAGCCAGAAAGCTCCTGGGGGCTCCCTTTATCGATCATTATATAGTCAGAGTAGTTTCATAGTTTAGTGTCACGAATCACAATTATCCTAGGATCAGAATCGTCCCAGGATTAGTGTCCTGAGGCCTTTTAAGGATCACGTGATGGATAGACTGGATAGCCTAGTCTATCCAGTCTAGGGGATAGCCCAGGTAGACTAGTCTATCCAGGCTATCCAATAACATTCAGAAGTATATAGTTAAGATAGTTTCATAGTCTAAGAGCTTCGTGCTCAACTTAGTTATCAATTAGTTTATCTACATTCTACTTGATCTAGTAACGACTTCACTTCCAAGTGAAGACCAGTGATAAAGCCTTAACCCACCACTACCAACCAGACGAAACCTTAGGCAGCCGCTGCCTCCAGTACAGCATCGTTACATTTAGGAGCTTCGTGCTCAAATTAGTTATCAATTAGTTTACCTACATTCTACTTGATCTAGTAACGAATTCACTTCCAAGTGAATACCAGTGATAAAGCCTTAACCCACCACTACCAACCAGACGAAACCTTAGGCAGCCGCTGCCTCCAGTACAGTATCGTTACAAATCCAAGAATCCAAGATCCCAAGAGAAAATACAATCAATATTTATAATTTTTAAATCAGTTTATATTGTTACGAGGTTTGCCGTCTAGATCACGTGGAAGTGCTCCAGGCTCTCGAGGTGGTTTATAACTAGGCGTCAAGCAGGGACTTAAGTAATGACAATAATGATATGCAATTCGTAACTAATAGTAGAGTATACTAAATGATTGATCTTGAGCACGAAGCTCTATACAAAGGGAATCCATTGTTACAACGGCTATCTTCTATGCCGCGTCACATGACTAAACCAAGGTAACGTGATTAAAGTCACGTTATGGACCGCTGAGGAACGCTGGCTGTCCAGGAACGCTGGCTGTCGTGACTAGCCATAGGCATGAAGGTCTATATAATCAAGATGGATTCCCTTTGTATAGAGCTTCGTGCTCAAGATCAATCATTTAGTATACTCTACTATTAGTTACGAATTGCATATCATTATTGTCATTACTTAAGTCCCTGCTTGACGCCTAGTTATAAACCACCTCGAGAGCCTGGAGCACTTCCACGTGATCTAGACGGCAAACCTCGTAACACACGGACTGTAGGTAATCATCGGTATTTTTGTTTGTGGATATGGTTGAGATAAATCACTTAAGATTACATTGGGTTAGATGAAGAAAGTAAACAGGTTAAAAAAATAAATAAGTAAATCATCCATGTCCCTTTATCTTGATTCAATTCAATTCAATTCGATCAATCATTACTCCTAAATACCTAGTCTGTTCATTACCAACCTAACTCCATACATACATGCATCCATTGGACCATTCATCATCCTAAGCTATGCAAAATTATCATAAAGAAGTTCCCTCCCTCCTTTCTCCTTCCTTTCCTTTCCTACCCATTCCCTCCATTCCCTCCATTCCCCCCTTCTCCTTCCAACCCCCTTCCCATACCCCAACTTCTCCCCCACCTAAGTATAAATACTCTCCGTCCAACTATTAACCTGCAACCCCGTCTCCGCCATCGGCGCATCCTTCAAAAACTCCAAAGGCATCCAAACCAAATGTCCCTTAATCTGATCCAACTTCTCTCTAATTTCCTGAGGAGGAATCATACGATCATAAATATGACCTGAACGAATACCCTTTGGTGGAAGAAATTTATCATAGTCGTCGAAGGTTTTAACTATTTGGTGTTGTTAGTGAGGTGGTAGGATGATAAATTAATATGTATGTGGAAAACGACAGAAAAGAGAGAAAAAAACAAATTGGTTAGATTGACCAAGAAAAAAAAAACTTACCAAAATTATCCGGATCGGCATGAAATAATTGTCTAAACATTTGAGAATTCTTCGTAGCTCTACTTGTCCACATTTCCCAAACATCATCACTCAAAGGATCCTCCACAAATTGATATGTTTCCCCCTCATGAATATCATTTGGAACATTAGGAGGTTGAGCATTAGGATCATTATCCGCATCTAAATCTTGCGGTAATAATAATCCTAAATGTTCACGCCAGAGATACCTCCTCAAAGTAGCTGCATGATGACCTGCTTCGTATGGTTGTCCATTCATTGTACTTGGAATAGTCTTTGTATCTGTCATGACAATTGATAGTTCGCTATCATGAATACCAAGTTGTGAACGATCGTTAAGGTTAGAACTTCCGCAAATAACTGTTCTGTCATCAACGATTAGAACTTTACCATGAATATAAAGTTCTTCTTGAATCCAATTGTCGGCTTCTCCTTCAAGATCACCCTCCCATGGCTCATCAACCAAATTCCCTTGCATATGCATAGCATTCTTAGCCACACTGTCAGTACTACTTGGTTTTTGATTCGTACCGGCTGCTTCTGCCTTGGCTTCGAATTTTCTCTTGGCATCAGTTCTTTTCTCTAGAGATTCATCTCCAGAGTCATCATGATGTAAAGCATGCTTAGCTCTATCTTTTAACTCGTCATGCTTTTCAACCTTTTGAACACCTCTACCATGAATACCCGAATCCATAATTTCCTCTGCCTCTGCTCTTTGCACATCTTGATACTTGACTCCAGATTCTTCCTCTTGTTTCTTGATTGCTGGAGTAACATTTAAACGATCATAAGATCGTAGGTTAAAGAAAAATATATGTTCTTCAGGATCGACACCCTCCTTTCTAATTTGCTCAAATATCGAATGTTCACCTCGACAGATAGATTTATATTGATAATCCATAATAGCTCTCGTTCCTGTCGCTGCCTCATCTCTAAGATCACCTGCAAAACCTGGAATGGAAGGAATCAAAATGATGACTCGGAATTTCCTACCCTCTTTTCCAGCTTTGACAACAGCATCGACGATTGCTCTTCCAATAGTATTTCTAATTGGAGCTTGTTGATCACCAGTCGCAGTGATAAAGAATTGATTCTCGATATAAACGTAATGTTGGGCGTTTCGGATGAGTTCACTGTAAGCATTCTGAATGCTGTGTTCCACAAGAATACCACTGGACCAATCGCAGCTACTTCGAACGACTTGAGCATGAACAGTTCCTTGCTGTCCTAGTGATTTCGTATTTAATGGCGTAAGTGGGTGGACGATGTATTCTCCAACTGGATGTTTCGGCCTCTGTACTCCAATCAAATCTTCATTCTCACCATCTCTACCCTCAAGAATCAACCAATCGAATCGTTCATCACGTTTATATTTGTCTCTTTTGACAAAATTCCATCTCAAGACGAAATGTTCGGCAATATCATAGACACAATCTCCAACGACACCCATAGCAACATCATGCCATGGCATACGTCCATATTCGGCTTTTGATAATTCGTTGGCTTTCCAATCTTCCACATCTTGAAAGTCCATCACACGGTTATTGTTGAAATCCTGTCCTGGCCAAACTTCAGTCGAAACTCCCTCTGGATGTACATCAGCGAGAGGATGTTGATGATTATCCCATCTTCCAAAGCATAAATCTAAACCACCAATAAATGCCAAATTGTAATCAATTACAATAAACTTTTCGTGATGGGCCCAATAGAATGTCATATCCGCAGCATTCTCGAAAACATTATGATCAGGATGACGCATAATTTGAATATTTCCATATCCTGGAGTTCCTTCAGGACATAAAGCTTGAAGAGCATGTTTCGTGTGTTCAGAATTGCAAGTAAGAGCAGCCTATGAGAAGATCAATAACCAAGACCACAAGAATCCCGTTTGCAAAACGTACCTCGACTTCTCGATAAACAATAACAAAAATTTTAACACCAGCTTCCGCCCGACGCTTAAGGATTTGATCCAAACGCCATTGTTGATTATAATATGGAGGTCTTCGCATGAAAAGTTCTGGCGATAACCACCAGTCGGCGATATATATAGTTTCTTTCGCAGCTTCAAGCGCAATCGATACAGCCCAAAAGTAATCCCTTCCATCCACATACCACTTTATATTATTCCCCGGTCTCTCCGGCGCAAATGATTCGAAACGATGAGATTCAGCAACCTTTGATCTCTTCTCATCTGTGATCTTCTCATGTTCTTCGTCATGACGATGATTTGGATTAAACTATATGAAGATTAACATATATTCGAAAGTCAACCGGAGTATGAGGGAACTTACCAGATTTCCTAATTTGCCAATTTGATGTCTGTTTGGTGGTCAATAAAGTAGATTCCAGACCCCCATCCTTCAACTTACTTCTTCTGGATTAAACCAACCTTCACATCATGAAGTTTGGTATCATGTAACTTTTCTCTCAAACTAGCCAGAGGATTCTTCATCTTCTCCTTCAACTTCGAGGGATTAGATCCGCCATCTGCGGGAGCTTGAGTAGCCATATTGAAGGTCGCTATCTAGTCAGGTACTTAGCGTACTATGCCGCTTGTGTAGATATCGTGAGCCTGCACGTAAATAGACGGTCGGCGTGGTAAGTAATAGTGACTGCGAATAAAACTTGCTGTAGAAGAAAGAAGTTATAGTATCCTTCTTCTTGTCAAAACACAACACGATTTGAGTCTTTAGTAAATATTTCCAATCCCTTCTTAGAATCGAATGAGGGGCTGAATCGAGGGGCTGAATCGCGGGGCAATCAAGGTTAGTTTTTTCAAATTGAAGCTTGGTTTTAGTGAATGCCCAGCCTTATAATACGTCACCGTACCGTACCGCCTGTTGATATGCCACGAGAGATAAAATGTGAAGCCCTGAAGATTAAGCTTAATTTTCTCATGTGCTACAATAAAAATTGTTGGTGAATCCTACGATAATATATTCTACCTATATACTTAGACGGGCTTACAATATCAAACACCACTGTTCTATTTGTATAAGAATGCAAAGTTCTTTCAATCATCATTTTTCTCTCTCTCACAAATAACGACAATGGTTGAAAACGGGGTGTATTGCGAAAATAGTGTGAAAGCGACCCCACCGATCCACTAAATTCCTACGCGGCTGAGCCTAAGGTCTACCTCTCCCCTGCAATATTGGAGCTGAACTTTAGTCTTTTGGTAACGATAACAATCCAGATATCTCCTCCATGTTGGCGAGCGATAACAGGAAAAAGAAGGTTTTTTCTTGCTATTATAAGTTTTAATACTTATTGCATACGCGGAGTGTCGTATGATAAACTACTACTTATTCAACCTGTTCAATGAATCTCAATCATACAACCCATCTCCTAGCACCCCCATATCTCTTCCTAACAAACCGAATCTCAAATCTTCAAATTTCCTCACATATTTCTCCCAAACAGTTGATGTATATCTTCAAATACATATTTTCTCATTTCCCCATCTATCATGCATGATAATATGTCTATAAAATATAAATATTCCACCATACCGTGTTTTGCTAACACCCCTATCATAACCCTATCATATCTTACAAAGTTAAACTAAAGCCAAGCAATTGATTCACAACCCAAATCCCAAACCATCCAAACCATTTAGCGAGTGTGAGTCCTCACTCATCTATTTTACATTCCATTTAATGCAATTCAAACGAGACCAGATGGAAAGTGTAGGTAAAAGAAAAATACTTTCGGTAGAACCTTCAACCCTTTACCTTTACCAATACCCATGCCGGAAGACATGACTCCACCAAACACCAAATCCAAAAATCATATAACTGACCACCTACCCATTCACCCCGGTTTACCCATCCACCCATCGTGAACCGACCAAAAAGCAAAAAGGTACCAAAACACCTAGTAGTATGACTTTCTATGATTGTGAGCAGAAAACTCATGAATCATCACAAATTCGCCACTGTTTGTCCCACTCTCCCACCAACCAATCCCCTTCTATTTCTCCCCGTTCTACCTCTTCCCAACCAATTCAGCTTAAGTCCACGTCCTAGATCTTCCATTTTCTCCTGACTTGAATCATTTCCTGCTCGTATACCCACGCTACTAAGCACACTCATACATTGTAGCATTCTACCCACGGCCTCTGTAAGTTTCTTTGAAGAATCTTCAACATTTGCCTGTCTCCTCTCTCTCGCACTCAATCCATATCCCACAGCAGGATGTGTACTACTTGGAGTAAAGGGTCTTGGAGGGGGTGGCATCCCAGAAATACCAAGACCGCCGCCTCCACCTGCGGATTGTTCAGAACCATAACTCACATTTGAGATGGCACGTGAGCGTGAACCTGGACCATCACCGGCCGAACTACCACCTCCTAAAAGCGTAGTATTTTGAGAAGAATAAGATCCATGACTGGGATCTAAACTGATAGCTGTACCTGGTCTTCCTTGACTATCTGGACTAAGAGATCTCATATCAGAGTTCGGGATGCTGAGACTGATAGAATCGAGTGAGAGACGTGAGAATAGTCCCTTTAATATTTCATAACGAGGAATAATTACTGTGTCGCGGTATGCAATCAGGACTATTTTGCGTACCTCAAGGGGACGAATTTTAGGGACATTAGGAGAGGAGTCGGGTTGAGATGGAGGAAGGGTGCCCCAGGCTTCGCGTGCTGCTTCTGGTGACATTAGTGGCCCATGGCCAGAAAATTCGAGATCAAGTGGAAGGAAGACGGCTTGCATGTAAGGGAGGACGGATGTAAAAGTAAAGATCCACATTTCCACGAGGTGGGGTATTAGCCGATCATCAGGAGTTCGACGCAAAGTTTGATCAAGAGATCTAAAGCCTGTTTCGAGTAATTCTCTTAGATCGTCTATAATAGAACTTGGGCATCTTTTTTGTATACATCGCTGGATATGGGTGCTGTAACATTGTCAGTCTGGTAAGATATACGAAGGGATAAAAAGACTTACGTGACTAGACGATTGAGATCCTCCACACACAACCTTAGATCTTCGCCCTCAAATATAACCAATAATTTTGCTTTTAAAAATGGCCATGCATCATCTGCTGCCATATTGTTCAATCCATATTTTCCCAAATCTGATGTGTCAGGTCCAAAAGTGCTGGAAGGATAGCCTACACCACCGGGACCTAAGTATGACGCTGCCCCTGCTGAACCAAGACTAGATGGTCCAGGCCACTCGTTACTATTCTGATATGATAATTCTCCTTCTCTCAACGTTTCATTCTTCTCTTCCTTTTTCTTCTCTCGCAAAGCTCTCCCACCATGCCTCAAATCCAAACCGCTCATGCTCTTTGCAAAACTTGTAGATGTAGGACCTGGACTTGGTGGAAGATTGAAATTATATAGACTGCTCGGTGCATTAGGATCCACGGGTTTGGAATTTGATGCCGCTGATGATAATGGTAAATGATGATCGTCTTTACTGCTCAACTTGTGTTTCTGGCGAGATAAAAAGTGGTGTTTATGTTTTTCCTTGTCTTTCTCCTTTTCTGGTTGTGGTGTATCAATTGGTCGTATCGTCGCTGAGGAAGAATTCGCCATGCTGTACATACTTGCGGAACCTAAAGCACCTGCGTTGTGGTCAGTTTTGCATATTCCTCATATTTAATTCACAGAAGCAAGCATACTAGGACTTGGAAGAGCTCCAGATTTTACTTCTTTATCCTTGCTTATACCAATCTTTCCAGGCCTCGAGAATAATTTGACTTTAGACTTTTCTGTTTTAGCAGGCTTTTCGGTTTGTACCTGCATCTGAGGCTGTGCTTGCGCCTGCAACTGGGTTTGAGCTTGCGCTTTTGCTTGAGCTTGAGCTTGCGCTTGGTTTCGTTGTTCATATTCCGTAGATGTCAATGCTGGTGATGATCCAGGAGATTTTGAAAACACAACACTTGCAGCTGTTTGAGCCGCACTCGATCCTCCCCCAAGCAATCCATTATGATACCCTTGTCCACCGAATGAAGGATCCCTCGGAGCTGAAGCTTCTGTCAAACTCAATAAAGGTGGTGAAATAGGACCTTTTGAAGGTCTGCGACTTTCAGGGCTACTCGACGAGGTATCCAATTGTGGAGTTGGTACAGTCTGGGATCTTTGGCGCGCATGTTGCGATTGATGTTGCATAGCAGCTTGAGCAGCGATGTGACTCGCAGAAACTCCAGTGTTTAAATTTGACATATTTCCAAAATTGGATGATGCGGCTGTTGGCAAGTAAGGCTCAAAAGAACCTTGAGTTTGTGAATGCTTGCGTCCGTGACTTTTGAAATCGCTAAAGGATGATTTTGAAGCTACAGGAGTGAGAGGCGATGCATTCCTCAACGGTGTACCGCCAATATCAGTTCTTACTTGTGCGAGAGTTGGTCGCGAGAAGTTTTGCAGACTGGTGGTGCTTGAGTTGCTCTTGGTTGATTGGGCGTAGAAAGGTCGTGGAGGGGCAGGCGCATTCTGCGACTGTGGACGAACTTTGCTGGAAAGGGATGGAGGTAGAGGTAAATCTTCCGACGACGAGGACTCAACTCTTCGCAGTGGGAGTCGTTGAGTCGTTGAGGCCTGTTGCACAATTGGAGAAAAGCTCCCTGGTGCCCTTGGCACAGGAGGCCCTGTTGACTGTGACATGGTTATCTTTGTGGAAGTGGGACTTTTATATCTTTTGCGTTAGTCTTCCGTATCTTTCAGGGTACAACAGCGGGGCATCGATTGTAGCGAACGACGCTGTGTCTTGGACATTTCCGCAAGGGAGGGAAGAATGAAGAAGATCTGATCATGAATCCAGACGATGATGATGATGTTGGTGTGGGTGAGGTTTTGAATATCGTAAGGATCAAAAAAATGGGGTGTATGACATGCGATGCAGTAGCATCTGGGATTTTAAACCATGTCTGATGGTAACAAGTCCCTTGTTAGTTTTTGGAGTGGTTTGATGTTGCTTTGGCTTTTCATTTGTTGACTCGGGCCTTGTCGTTTGGACTTTGGCGGGGGATCTTAGACCTAGTCTCCGGCGCCAAAACCAGAAAGCCGACCTAAACTAACAAATTCAATTCCAAACATCGCTTTTTTGGCCTGAAACGATAAATCAAATATTAAAAATACATCCTTACAATACTTTAGATTGTGCGAATACAAAGGAAAGAAGGAAAGAAAGAAGATAGCAATGGCGATACCAGATACGACCACCACTCCTTCTGCGGCTGAACATGAGACTTCTTACCAGATCTTGTCGGCAACATATTCTTCTCCCAGCAACGAAAAGTTTGAGCACGTTCATAAGCTACCTACGCCTACATCAGACAAAGTGAGCGATAGGACCTCGTATTTAGGGGCATTGCGGAAAGCTACAGTGGCCATGCAAGAGAGGATCAACAAGGAGTTGACTGCACGAATGGAGGAAGATAAAGTGCGAGAGACTGGAAATGCAAATGGATCAAAGGTCAATAATGGTGGGGTAATTGATGAAGCCAAGGAAGAAGATAATTATGGTGAAGAGGTTGTGGAAGAGGAAGATTGAATTATTTCATGATTATAATGCTCGATGCTACATTGCCGATCCTTCCAAAAACTCCATCGCTATGTAACCATCACCATTCACACGAAGTAAATATTATCGTCCTCCCCACGAGCCTCGCGACGAAGATGGACGTTGCACATTTGCTCGACCCAAACACCCATAATGTACAACCGAACTATCCGACAAGACAGCAATAACACTACCTCCCAATCTCTTATGACAAACACCACATACCCTCTCATCGCTTACGACAACTCTCCTATTCCTCCCCCCTTGACCATTTGGTAAACCGTCACCTAGCAATAACGTTGCTTGCGCACGCACAACTTCACTCTTTCTCAATCCTGCCACAACCCGAGATTCATTGACGATCGAATTTGCAGCTCGTATACGACCACGGAAATATGATTCGAGTTCTGCCACAGGAAGCTTTTCCGGAATCAGATCAAGGGTAGAGGATGCAGGTAGACGTGAACCATGTCTTGATAGAAGCTGCAAAGCAGGTGGCCAGTTGGGTTTATATGGGGGTAATGGCTTAAGATAAAGAGAAAGAAGTGTGTGATATATAGAAGGTAGAGGGTCGCCCTTCTCTGATTTAGATGCGCGGTGTGTCGGGACTGGTGATGACATTGAAGCTTCTTGGTTCATATGGACCCTGTTACAATATCTGAGGATGTCAGCATAAGCAATCTCAACAAATTTCAAGCCCGAATACTCACTCTTCGGCCTTCTCAAAGTCCTTAATCTTGAATACATATATTTCAAGTGCCTGTTTATGTGAACCCATGTTACTTAATACAACAGCCTGGGCTTCGTAGAAGTTTGGATCTATGATGAATGTTAATAAATTTAGGTTCCATCTTTGATAGTTGAATCATACCTTCTCTGTCTATCAACCCAAATGCCCTTCCACAAGAATATATGTTACTCGACCGTAAGAATGATACCATTCGTCCCATTAAATCTTTCCATTGTTCGGAGTCTCTATCCAGCCGTTGCTTCAATTCTTGCATATATGCACCAACAAGTCGATTGTGGAAATCGGCAGTCATATCATTAAGCTCATTGATCACATGCTCCAAGTACCTAACCTCAAGATTGATATCGATATTGTGCAGAAAATTGAGGACTTTCTCCCTCGGCAATGTCTCCGCATTCTCTGTATCGGCTAGGAATATTTCCATACCAAGATCAGGATCAGCTCGTAGAGGCCATTCTGCGAATTCAAGAATCAGATCAATCATCTCGGGAGGTAAATGTTGAAGATAGCCAACGGTTCTTTGAGGTCCATGTAATGTTGGGGCTTGTTCATTCTCTTCTTCTCCCATACCAAACTTCTTTAGAAGCTCCAGGGCAGGACGATGCAATTTTTTGCCATGGAAGAAATCAACGAGGTCATTAAATCTTCCGGTCTCTAATAATTTCTCATTGACCACATCTGGATCGCAGAAGTTTGGCAATCGAAACAGTGGTCCCGCCAAACTCGGCATTGATAGCATATAAGAACGGAAAAGAGTAGTATCTACTAATTTCGCCGTTTCCAGCAATTTTTGCTCGCGGTCTTTCTCTGCTTCAGCTTCCGATTCGGGAGCAGCCAGAAGAGAATCAAATGTGGGTTCAGGTGCTTCTCCATGGCCATTTTCTTTCGGAGGAATGATTTTTCCAGTCTCGGAATCTAAGAACTTCTTTAGTCTCGTTCGCGCATCCACGAGGAAAGCATTAAGCTCCTTGGCTGCTGTAACTAGATCTTTGCCTTCGAGAGGGCCCTCTTCAACTGGAACTGCTTTTATACTTGCACTATCATTGTCTGAATTATCTTGCTTCATAAAAGATCTAATTGACGATGCATCCGAGCTAGATTTTTTATGGTTCCTGATTAACTTCTTGACGGCGGCTGGCTTTAGGGAATCCTTCGAATCTGAATCGCTATTTGCACTACCGTTGGTTTCATCGTTATCCGTTTCGACATCACCATTTTTCTCCTCAACGACCGACAGATCACCAGCTATTGCCTTTGGATACAACTTGATCACACGTTCCGGGGGTGCTTCAATAGCAATAAATATATCGATTGCTGCACGGTATTTGCGTTGATTAAACAAAGCCTGAGCTTGCTCAATTTGTTGATCAAAATAAAGTTTCGACTTGAGAGCTTCCACTTGTTGTACTCGTTCAGTCTTATTGTGTAGTAGAGCATCTTCAAGCATATTAAGAATGCTAAGTGCTTCATCGTAGCGTCCCTTTTCAACGAGTTCGTCAATTTGTGAATCATAATCCTCAGCACCCATTCGCCATATACATCGCTCACTAGCCACATGGAAACCTTTTCCAGCGTGTGCTAAGCTAATATTTGGAGGCGGAAAATGCAACTGATTCGCATTAGGTAGCGGTATCGTTTGCAAAAGAGATAGAGTATCTGGATTCCTAACCTCGAGCATTCCTTTAGATGGTGCTTGAAGAGTAATAATATATGGATATGAATATCCAATAGCGTCCGGCGCTGGCTGCCAAGGGATTTGCCTTTTCTCTATTGGCTTCCCTTCCGATGTTATGAAAAGAGAATTTATATCCTTTGCAAGCAGGATTTCTCCATCTGCAAGCTTCGTCGCCAGTGGCTTGGGTATATAACCTCCCAGACCCATATAACCCATGCTCGCAGAGCCCATGCCACCAAATCTACCGCCTTGATTACTTGTCGCGCCTCCAATAGCTCCTGGCCCAACAATATCTTCAATTTCATGGGAATTGATATCAACAATGACATATCCAGAGTTCATGCCACAAATTATCTTAGTCGCAGATGCCCAAGTCAAAGTTCGAATAGATTCTGCGAGCGTAATTTCCGTCGTCTCGGACGATAACTCAGATTGGTGCCACGACCATATCAACAACCTTCGTTTGACGGCAACTGCAAGTCTTGATATAATCTCTGGTATTCCTGTGGCTGGGTCTTTGACAATATTTGATGTAACAGCGAAAGTGGAAGCATTCTTAGTCCTCGTCAACTGTTCCTGTAAAGCATACGTCTGCAGATCATGTATCGAGACATAATAATTCGATAAAGATATCAAAACATTGGCCTCCTTTATTCGTGCTAGCTGCTCTACTGCTCGAGTAGAGAACTTCTCGACCTCTCGAAGTAAACCGATATCGCCCGGTGTGTCGTTAACTTGATATATGCGTAAACTTCCCGTATTCAGACCAACTATCAATCGATCGCCTGTATAGAATTAGTTGAGGTTTCTTTCTCAAGCTGTAAACTTACCAAATGCAAGTATAGACTCAATCTTCGATTTGTCTCGCTGGCGGAGCTCAACGATAGGTCGAGCTGTAAAGGCGGAAAGCATGGCGTCTAATTGCCAGCTTTAAATAAAATGAATGTTGTAACTGGAGAACCATTCATTGATCCTCAGTACATCTTATGTTCATATATCCATTCGGTTTGTGAGTTATTTCATTCATTGGCGCATGTAGCTTTATTTTCGTGTTGTATCCTCTCACCTCTAGTTAGAGATGACGATGGTGGTTTTACCGAGCTTCTACCGATCACATTAGGCCATCCATAGGAAAATGTTACAACACACCCAATGTTGTTCAAATATTGAACCTCATAAAATGTCTGCTTTTTAGTAAGTACAATACCTTTATTGATAGATTGGTGAAACTTTTGTGGGCGATAGCGCGCTGAGTATCAATGTCTTCAGTTACATTGCTGCTTCAGGGCTACAATAAGGTTATCTGCACGAAAAGATGCTGCAAGGCTGCTTCTTATGATTGGATATCTAAGGTTACTTGACTTACATGCCATGCATGGCAAGGCATTTAGAACCCACCCTGGGGGATCCTACATTATGTACCTAGGTAGTCAATGAACAAGGATTCACTACACTATATGTGCTCAAATTGCGTTTGTGTTAACTCGCAGAGTCAGCTTTATATACGAGTTATGATCACAGCGTCAATGTATGAGAGCGGTTGAAAAATGGTTATGATCTAACCTTAGGTATAAATTGATCATAATGTTTCACAATGGGACATTGCAGACCATTTTTGAATACCCAGGGGCGTAGTGACTATCAATCAATGTCGCTCGATTGTCAAGAGGATGATACATCGAACGAGCAGTCTCAGCCCTTCTCTTGCTCGCTGGTAGTTGGCCACGGACTTGGAGGTTGAATGGGAAATCCACAAATTCAGAGGAAATGCATTAGCTTCAAAATCTCAACCATCAGATCTCCTCCCTCTCCACGCCTGTATTTTGGCATTCGTCAATCTTTCCATATTCCATCCACTTCCCTTAATCCTCTCCATACAATCTCTCAGCGGAACCCGCTTCTTAATTCTTTTCCACCATCAGTCGGTTCACCAACCTATGATGCTCGCTTCACCTCCTCCCTCAACCCCCCTCCCCCCCCACAGCAATATTTGAACCAAGATCCTTCCTTCTCCTTCCACATTGAAACATTTAATATTGTTCTTACAGAGATCTGTGCAGATATTGACTTGGTGACATGGAAGACAGTATTACAAACCTTTACTTACACCATTGTTAGAACCTGGGTTCTAGCGAGAAGTGCGAATGTGGAAAAGGGGCCCAGTTTTCGAATATCGTCAGAATTGGATCTTCTCTATTGGCTCTTTTCTCCTATATATTTTTTCCCACCACATCCCTCCTCCCACATCTTTCCTACCACATCCTCTTTACTCCACCCTCCGCCACCCCTTCCCTCCCCCTCCTCCTCATTTCCAATTCCCACAAAAAGCCAGCACCCACATCTCCAAACCACAAATCTCCTACCCCCTACAAACTGCGCACTCCCAGAACGAAGTTCCCCCACCATCCACCATCTAAACAATTAGTTACTCTAATTAGCTCAGCACATTCCCATTCTCACCACAGTATTAACCCCCAAAAAGAAAACAACGAATCCCTTCATATCCAAAGTATTCTATAAGATTTAACCTTACCTAAACCAGAACTTTGAGAAGGACTAATATATACTCCGAAGTTCAATTTAAATATCCCGCCTTTAACGATTTCCAAGAGCTATAATCTGTCCACATACAATCACAATCCAATATCTCGAGTCCGCAGTCTAATCTCTTAATGCTAAGAATCACTACTCGCGACATGACTGTGTGCAAGATATCTGCAGACCACATAAGCGCTGAAGGAGGAATATCGCTTTCTAGACGAGGAAAAGATTGCACATATATACTATACTCTGTAGAAATAGAATTCAACGGAGATTTCTCCAGACCGTTACTAATATTATTCTGATACTGAAATACAATTTGGTGGAAAATCGATCATCATATTACTTTGTGTAATTTATAAAAATTGATTTACTAAGAATTTAATTGCTCATGGAGGAAGAATATAGTCACTTTGTGTGTTGCGCGTTCATGAAATAGGTATGCATATATGCATGTATGTATGTAATTAAATGCACATCATAATAACCTAAACCTTAATTCATCCCTCATCCCTCATCCACAACCCATCATATACCCCTTCCCCTTTCCCTCTCCCCTCTCCCTCTCTCTAAGAACCCACCTGCGTCCCCCCATTAGGATGCAAACTCTGTCCACTAATAAAACTACTATCCTTACTTGCCAAAAACACAAAACAAGTCGCCACCTCAACCGGTTGTCCTGGTCTACCCATCGGCGACGTAAATTCCTTCTGAGCTTTTTCATTCATAGTTGCTGGGATGAGAGGTGTCCAGATAGGACCGGGACATACGGCGTTGATGCGGATACCTTTGCTGATTTGTTGGTTTGAGAGTGCACGTGTGAAGGCTACGATGGCGCCTTTGGTTGCGGTGTAGCTAGAGGGGTTGTTTGTTAGTGGGGTTGAACGAACGAAGTTTGATGGGAATGGGTGTTAAGTGCATGGTTGGGGGGAGTGGAAGAGAATATACTTACTCGAGGAGATCTGGACGTCCGACGTATGGGTTTACAGAGGCACAAGTGATGATTGTGTCTCCGCGGGACATTTGAGGGAGAATGTATTTGGAAAGGAAGAAGAATGGATGGATATTCACATTGAAAGTGTTAATCCATTGATCCCTATTTGATATTAGCATCTTCATATACCTATTTCTTCAACCAACAACAAGCAAAAGAAAGAACATACTCAGTTAAATCATCAATAGTCTCAACCATCATCTGAGTACCATGATTCAAAACCAAAATATTAATTTTCCCCATCGTCTCCTTAGCTTTCTCAGCCACATTCTTACAAGCCTGATGACTCTTCAAATCAGCCGAGAATAAATGCAATTTTCCTCCCTTGGCTTCAACCATCTCCTTAGTTTCTTGTGCATCTTTTTCTTCGTCTGGTGTGTAGATGATGGAACTTTCGGCTCCTTCCATCGCATACAGTATAGCGACGGCACGACCAATTCCACTATCTCCACCGGTAATTAAAGCTTTCTTGCCTTTGAGCTTGCCGGCGGCGACATAGGGTTGATAACCACCATCGTCGGTGGGAAGTTGATCGTTAATGGCTTCTTTTGGTAACTCGGTTTGTTTACCTGGGGTTTTAGATTGATGGGAAACGGGAGGTTGGTGACCTGTAGGTTTATTTGTTAGTATATTGAAGGAACGTGTTGTTGAGAGTGTATGAGCGCAGTAGCAGAATACAAGGAGGTGATCCTAATCTTCACAACATACCCTCTTCGAAATGACCCTTCTCAGCAGACATATTTAATTCGTTGATGAGTGAGTTTGATTCTGTGTTTGATATATTGAACTTGCTGAAGAAGAGAAAAGTATTCAATTAAGACAATTCTTTATGGAAAGAGAATTCTTAACCAATCCACACAGAATTCCATCTTTTCTTATACCTACTATTTGCTGTATGATGTATGATGTAGATACCTGGTAAGAAAGCTAATTGATCAATCTGCATTTCTCAATCGAAAAGGGACCAAATGCTCCGGGACACTCTATATTAAATGGGACAATTGTTAGTACAATTGGTTAGTAGTATTATGAAATCAATGCTTGATACTCAATGGAGGGGTAGCTCGTATGGATTTTGTCTTTTTGAGTCGAGACCGATGATGTAAGGAGTTTACTGGTAGGCTCGTAGGATGGATAAAAAGAGTCCAGATGTAGTAGCCAAGTAAGTGAATACCTAGTATGTACGTTGTGAATTTTAAAGGTTAACGTCAGAGGCATATTAATTCTGCATGGAGAAGATCTGTAGTTCTGAGGGGAGATCGATGATGCAAAAGGATTTCGATGGTATGACCATAGTATACCCTAATAGGTGAGGTAAGATATCTGAAAGTAGCGACTTCTACATAGTTGAAAGCCAATAGATTGAAGTTTGTATGGATTTCAAAGGCTGCTTAACGTCAGAGATCTTCTTAGCTTCTAAATCGAGGGGTTAAGTCGGAAGAGTTGCCGAGAATTAGACCAATTAAATGGCTTGGCTCGTTGATCAAAGCATTGATGAACATGGAGAATTATAAATGCCATGTAAATTTACGAGATGGGTATTTGAAATACTGTTCATGACTGAAGTATAAGAGATCATAACATCCCCTCATCATTTTTGTGCTAAACTATTACATTCGACAAAGATACTACATACCGATGTGCTAAAAGCAATACGAGTATTGTTATTGCGTACAGATCTATTTACTTTTGAGGATGCCTATGCTAGACTCCGCTGCTATCTGACAGCCTACCAGGTACCCAATACCTATCGCGCGAATTGACTACTTCAACTTGAAGTAGAGTATCTCATGTAGTCATGAGTCTTTACCGATTCATAAGAGTAGGAGTCACTGCTGTTCAATATCGGTCCAGTACCACTAGCCTTGGTATTTATTGCCAGCAGCTCTTTCATGATGCTAGGATATCGTCGCAATATGGCTTTCGCAAGTAGAAGAAAAAGGGTCACATCTTAAGATTGAATCGTTTGTCTTTGTCTTTGCATTTGCCCATCTGCCAAATTTCTTCAATCCTTGGGTTCTGATTTCTTTTTTCCTTTCGTTCTTTCTTCAAAATGGACTACATGAGCCACACACAGGCCAGCACAGCCACTCGCCACAACACTACTCGTGTAACCCCTTTACGTCATTTTCAACATCGAGAAATCAAGTTTCTCTTCGATATTCACAGATTCTAAAATTCACCAACCATCTTGAGTTATTTTTGGTTACTAGGTAACTATCTTGAGCCACAGGACCCTGAAAATTCTTTTTAGTTTAAGCCACACAAGTACCGTCAGCCAAGATCCTGATTTACGCCCAAAGTATCAAAAGTATATCCTATCAAGATATCTCCTTCCCTCTCATTCGTGTGAATTTCAGAATCCCCTTGAAATGACGTCTACGTGGCTAGGGCTCTGTACCTGATTCCCTATCATTCTCTTTATTTGATAACCCCGACCAAAGAACATCGTCATATGAACATCACTTTTAAATTACCATCACCCAAAATCACCAAATCTATCCCATCATACATCCACCCCTTCCCAGTTTACCAGCAGCAACGCGTGGAGCCACAAATCCCCTGCAATGAGTACCTCTCACACTTCATCAATTCCTATAAAGAGATCTAAAATGTCCCCTCAAATCCCCGTTCCAATCCCATTAACAACAAGTTCATACTCAAATCAAAACATCCACACAATACCCCAAATAAAAAATAACGATCAGTTACCCGATAGAGCGACTCTCAAAACCCTCTCATCTTTTATAAAAAGTTATCGGCATTCTCCGGCGCAATCTACTACCTCTTTATCGATTTCTATACCGCTGCAACGGACTTCTACACCTATAACAACTGCGACTGCAACTCCAAGTTCACCATTAAGACAACACTCAATTACAACACAAACACAAACAAACCCTCAAATCCTCTCTCAATCTCAACCTCTAAATCCAAAACTAAACCGAAACTCCAAAACCCGCCCCAAAATGACCCACACAACCACAACCGTCACCACCCGCACTACCCGCTCCCAACCAGCCCATCACCACCATCGAAAACCAAGCATGGGCGATAAGATCAGTGGTGCTTTATTAAAACTAAGAGGAAGTTTAACTAGACGTCCTGGTTTAAAGGTAATTTTTCCCGAGATTATTTTTTATTTTGATTTGTGAGAAGGGGTTGAAGAAGAAAAGTTCTTTATATCTTTGTGGAATATTTGAAAGCTAATTGATATAATAAATAAATAGGCAGCAGGAACGAGAAGAATGAGAGGAACGGATGGGAAGGGTAGTCATCATGTTGCTGCTTATTAGGGATAGTGATAGTGTATAAAACACACCATCTAATTACCTATCACTGAGTGCCTAGCAAGTAGCGACAACCAACTGCCCTCTACAGAATGTAGAGATCCTCAAGGACTCGTGATGGCTTGGATTGCCTTGTATTATATTTAAATGAATGGTGAAGGGAGAGATAGATGAATGAATAGTCAGCGCATAGCCAGAGCGATGAGGATGAATCACGAATTACGATTGATTGTATTATAGGAAGGATGGATGTGGAAACGGCGGATAAAATCACGATACCCAGTACTATAGAATTAAGCGGAGTGGAGTGGAGGAGAGCGGGGGAGAGCAATACAAATGAATTATCTACTATCTAAGACTATTTGATTCCTTCTCGATAGTTGATATAACTCAACTCATTGAGTCAATAGCGGAAGATGATGAAAATAAAAAAATGTAATATTGATAAATAAGTAAGTCTAATACCCTACTTTTGGGCCACCCCCTAATATGGGCCACTTTCCTCACCAAAAATGTGTTACACCTGTTGCGATAGAATGTCACATGACCTTGGAAACACGTGATGGAACGGTGAGGAACGGACGTTCCTAGGAACAATCAGGAACGCCCATACGGCCTATGACGATAAACACAATCAATCAATCAATCAATCAATCAGGAACGCCCGCTCCTAGGAGCAACGGCTCCTGACTAGCCATCGGCACAAAGGTCTATATAATCAAGATGGATTTCCTTTGGATAGAGCTTCGTGCTCAAGATCAATCATTTAGTATACTCTACTATTAGTTACGAATTGCATTATTGTCATTACTTTAAGTCCCTGCTTGACGCCTAGTTATAAACCACCTCGAGAGCCTAGAGCACTTCCACGTGATCTAGACGGCAAACCTCGTAACAATAATCTTCATTTCTTCTAATATAAAAAACTATAATAGTATTATATAAATAATATAATTTTGATAATATTAATAAAGAGATTTCTTTTTTGAGTTTTATTAATAAATATAATCTATTAAAAGATTGGGTGGAAGAGGCCTCTATATTGATTATATTACTACGCGTGTAGGCATATTAATCTCCTCTTGGTATCCTCTGAGGGGACCAATTGTTACGAGGTTTGCCGTCTAGATCACGTGGAAGTGCTCCAGGCTCTCGAGGTGGTTTATAACTAGGCGTCAAGCAGGGACCTAAGTAATGACAATAATGATATGCAATTCGTAACTAATAGTAGAGTATACTAAATGATTGATCTTGAGCACGAAGCTCTATACAAAGGAAATCCATCTTGATTATATAGACCATCGTGGCATGCGTCCCAGTGCTCCCAGTTGTCCCAGTTGTACTGGGACAGCTGAGCCTACTGGGATCCTCATATCACATGATGCTAATCACGTGATATTAGGTATGTGAGATCCGTCGTAACAAGTAGGAATCACATACGTATACATACATACATCACTTCGCTTACTAAAACGTAAAAGAAATTTATATATTTCATACATCCATTCATTCCACTTTTGAAATCCCTTTCCTCATAATCTCCAAAAATATATTTATTTATCATCAAACCATCTTCCCCATCCTGATTCCCTTCCTCTCTCAGCTCCTGCACCACCAGCATATTTCTTTTCCTCCTCCTCCCACTTCAACCTCTCAACTCTCGATCTCGCCAAATATGCCCTAGCAAATCTCCACGCTTCTGTATCGGCTAAATTCCATGCTTCAACCGCTCCCCTAATTTTTAAATCTCCAGGATTTTTACTACCACCAAACATTTTTGCTTTTTCCAATAGAGACTCCTCCTTCTTTTTATCATCTTCTGTTGGGATTGGTCCATCTTGTGAATCATGAACTGGTTTTGGTCTACGTTCTGGACCTGGGACTGGAGTTTCGGATTTTCCTGTATCAGTAGCGTTACGCGGGATGGTGAAGCCAAAATACCAGTCTAAATCCGATGGGACTTCTTTTTCGGCCGTGAGCCAGAGAGAATGGGATGTTCCATGAGGACTTGCGACTGCTTCTTTGAATTTTATGATACGTGGAGTACCAGAAACGCCTGTACCAAGAAGTTCTTGGGTAAGTCTTGAGAGCCAAGGATCACGAGGAGACTCTCGTCTAATCCATGGGACATCGATATTTTCTCGAAAGCTAGTCAGTGTAGACATCGTGTAAGGATGGGGAACAGTTCCGATGGTATAAAGACCGGAAGTATTGCGATAGAAAGCAGGAGTACTAATTTTCATAGGAGATGAAGCAACACATGGTTTGCATTTTGGTCGGTTTGGTGGACAAGAAGCTGGCATTGCTGACTCAGGACATTGAGAAAGATATTCAGCAAGTCGTAAAGCTGGCTCAACAAGATATGACATATGTTCTGGTTCTGGTTTGACCACGGAAATTCCTTTGGTGAAAATATTTTGCCATGTTTGATGAAGATGAGATATCATGAGCTTGTTTAGTGATTGCATACCCGCTGCTTTATCCCCTTCATACTCTTTTGAAATTTGTGGATATTTCTCCTCGAGGACCTTCGTCTGGTAGAAGGCTAAAGAATCGTGGGAAGGATCAATCTGAAAGGTATCTTTTGGTACAGCACTGACAAAGTCTTTGGCGTCTTTCAAATTCGGATTTGCTAAAGCCGCTTTCACAGCTGCTGTGATGTCTGCTTTTGATCCTGAAAAGATACCACTTCCCATTTCATCATATCTTGTCAATAATGGATATTCTCCTCTTCTCAAATAACTCAGGGTTTGATCTTCGTAAGGACCCATAGGAAGTGTGAGGTAATTGCAGAGCAATCCAGTACCCATATTCTCCCAAGCCAACCATCTCGTTAAATCCGTTTTCAATGAATCTTCGACTTCAATTCGTTGTAATTCGGGGTATAATGGATTGTTCATAGCTTCCGCAGGACTTAGGATTATAGGTTTGAAGCCTTGTGCCCACCATGCCCTTCTCCATGTAACCAAGAGCGCATTCTCGGCATCTTTCAATTTATCATCCTTTTCGATTGTGTGATCATAGTATGTATAAATGGTTGGACGTTCCCTGAGAGGTGGTAGCAAAGATCGATTTTCATCCAATGTCACCGATGATGAAAATGGACTCAACCAATTCCAATTAGCATGCCATTTCGATTCACCATATGTGCTATTTTTTTGAACTGGTGGAGCATGTGCTGCTTGTCGGAAAGGATTGAGGATACTCGGTGAAGGTAATTGTTTAGGTAGTTTTGGTAATGACATGCGATGATCTGTGAATCTGCCAAGTGATGGACCGGATGGTATCGAGTTAGGAAGTGTGAAAACTAATGTTATAACAGCGAAAACTGCAACGGTGCCGAGAAGAACGGCCATGCGACGAGGAGGGACATGAGGTATGGGTGTCCCGAAAAGGGTTCGTTGAACAGGCATTGTGAGAAAAGGAATCGAGACAGTAAATATTGGATTAAAGCACAAGATGATACTGTCTAGTATCGCATTGGAAATTCGTATGGTAAGATTGAAGTTTAAAAGGATTGATGAAAGTTGTCTCTTAGATGAGCTGACGTATGCCGTTGCCGTTAACCATGTATCAAATGCGGTTCCTCTTAAAAATCCAAGACTTTCTGGTATAGAGATGAAAGCCTTAGCTGGATATAAAATCTGGTTCGACAAAAGAATGAAGTTCGAATATCGATAAACTTAAAGGAAGGAATAGGATGTGGAGAAATGACAGAAATTGAGAATAAAGTAATTAAAACAGTCGAGATCTTGAAATTTGAATTCTAGAAAGGAGAAATTTAAAGTATCCTGTCTCCTTACCCCAAGCCCAGGTCTATTTTTGAGTCAATATCCAATAATAAAAGTGGAACAGGAATGGCCCCATAGTTTTAAGGGTAAACTTAATTTGATTGGGTTTTGACGGACAATCAGAAATATCGGATAAACCTTTCTCCTTTTATCTTCTGAAGATCGGAAGAATTGAGCTTGAAAATCACATCGCCGACGTGAGGGTCCGATGACGGAATTAAAATAAATTTATTGCATACTCTGCGAAGTCCAAAGGCTGAAAAGGCTGGCTGGCTAATTCTCGGCAATTTTCTTTTATGTGTTGGAGCAGATGCAGAAAATTGATTGATCCGTTGTATGACTCCCAATGCTTTTCATTCCGTGAAATTTTTATTTATAAAGCCCAACAATATCTTTTGCATTTCCTTATCCTTTTCCTCTTCTTCTTTTCAATTAACAAAGCATCCCAAACTACAACTTCCCCATCATTCATCGCCCGAACTCAAAGCTCATCAATTCGGTCATCTATTTTCAATTATCGGTGATTTCCACGCTTAAAACTATCACTCAGACCATCAGCAATTGATCTATCTTCCATACGAGTAGGGTGATTGATCCGTACAAAAATTGAGCACAGAACATATAAAAGATACTTTAAACTTGTTCTGATTTGAAGTAGGTAGCTGAAATCCTTCTCAAATCACACAGTTCAAACTTCTTTAAATTCTTGCCCAATTTTTACCCCTCCAGGATTCAACCCCACCATTCAAAAGTCTAACAAACCATGGCGTCAACAAGTTTCGAGTTACCAGATCCAACATCAGATCTTCATTGGTCTGCTTTTCGTGGTGCTATTCAAGATATCTTCACTACAAATGCTGAAGCTCATCCTGATAGACTTTGTGTAGTGGAAACTGCCTCTGCAACTTCTCCAAGGAGAGAATTTACCTACCGCCAAATCAATGAAGCTTCCAATATTCTAGCACATCACTTGGTGGAGCGTGGGGTTAAAAGAAATGAAGTTGTTATGTCATACAGTTATCGTGGTGTGGATTTGGTTGTCACTGTCATGGGTATCTTGAAAGCTGGTGCTATTTTCTCAGTCATTGATCCTTCATATCCTCCGGATCGACAAAACATCTATCTTGATGTCGCAAGACCAAGAGCTTTAGTAGTCATCGATAAAGCCACTAAGGAGGCTGGAGAGTTGACGGAGAAAGTACGTAACTTCATTGCCGAGAATTTGGATTTGAAGACCTATATTCCAGGTCTCGAATTGAAGGATGATGGAACTTTAGTTGGTGGTGACGATCAGGGAAAGGATATCTTCCAAGGCCAACAATCATTGAAGTCTAAGAGTCCCGGTGTTATCGTTGGTCCAGATTCTACACCAACTTTATCATTTACTTCCGGTTCCGAAGGTCGTCCAAAGGGTGTTCGAGGAAGACATTACTCTCTTGCATACTATTTTGACTGGATGGCAGAGAGATTTGGTTTATCCAAGAATGACAAGTTCACCATGCTGAGTGGTATTGCTCATGATCCTATTCAAAGAGATATCTTTACACCTCTCTTTCTTGGTGCTCAATTATTGGTTCCATCCAAGGATGATATTCAGCATGAAAGACTGGCTGAATGGATGAGGGAACATGGTGCTACTGTTACTCACTTGACACCGGCAATGGGTCAAATTTTAGTTGGTGGAGCTAGTGCTGAATTTCCGGCTCTTCATCACTCCTTTTTTGTCGGAGATATTTTGATCAAAAGAGATTGTAAGGCTCTTCAAAAGTTGGCTCCAAATGTGTTCATTGTGAACATGTATGGGACAACCGAAACGCAGCGTGCAGTCAGTTACTTTGAGATTCCAAGTCGAGCTTCGGATCCACAATACTTGGAGAATATGGGAAATGTGATTCCCGCTGGTAAGGGAATGAAGGACGTGCAATTACTTATTGTCGATCGGGAAAATCGAAACCGTATTTGTAACATTGGCGAAATTGGCGAGATTTACGTTCGAGCTGCTGGACTTGCTGAAGGTTATCTTGGAAGTGACGAACTCAATAAGGCCAAGTTCATCGACAGTTGGTTTGTTGATAATTCCAAGTGGATCGAAGAAGACGCAAAAAAGGCCAAATCCTTGTCCGAAGAACCATGGAGGGAATTCTATAAGGGTCCAAGAGATCGAATGTATCGATCGGGTGATCTTGGTCGATACAGTCAAACTGGAGATGTAGAATGTGTTGGTCGCGCAGATGATCAAGTTAAGATTCGTGGGTTCAGAATTGAACTTGGTGAGATCGATAAATACCTCTCAGATCACGTTATGGTTATGGATAATGTCACTTTGGTCAGAAGAAATAAGGATGAAGAACAAACACTTGTCAGCTATATCGTACCTGATATGCAAAAGTGGGCACAATGGTTAGAGCAATCAGGTCTCGAAGATGATGTCTCAGGTGGCGAAGGGATTCAAGGAAGACTTCGGAGATTCTGGCCTCTTGGTGAAGATATCAAGAAATACCTCAAGACGAAGTTGCCTACCTACGCAATCCCAGAAGTCATCATTCCATTGGAGAAGTTTCCTCTCAATCCAAATGGAAAGAAGGACAAGCCTGCACTTCCATTCCCGGATGCTGCACAATTAGCAGCAGCAAGACCTGTTGGTGCTTATTCCGAACTTTCAGACGGTGAAAAGGAGGTTGCGGCAATTTGGGGATCATTGATTCCTACCATTGACGAAAGAACAATCAATCCTGATGATTCATTCTTCGATATTGGAGGACACAGTATCTTGGCGCAACAAATGCTTTTCAAAGTCAACAAGAAATGGACTGGAATCAACATTAATATGAGCGTCATCTTCCGAAACCCAACATTGAAAGGATTCGCCGCAGAGATTACTCGCAGATCATCACCCGATGGTGATGTAAAAGAGGAAGTTGAAGTTGCTGAGGATTATGAAGGAGATGCCCATGCGCTTGCTAAAACTCTTCCATCAACCTTTCCCTCAGCAGATGAAGAGATCACACCAACCACACCTCTTACTGTCTTCCTTACTGGTGCTACAGGTTTCCTCGGCTCATACCTTATGCGCGATCTTCTCTCTCGCTCTCAACCTATCAAAATCATTGCTCATGTGCGTGCCCTCGACTCCAAAGCAGCTCTTGATCGTGTCATCCAAACTTGCCAAGCATATGGAGTTTGGGATCCTTCTTGGACATCACGCATTTCCTGCGTAACCGGTAACCTCGGAGAATCACAACTTGGTCTTTCTCCCGAGGACTGGAAGACCGTCTCCGAAACCGCAAACGTGATCATACATAACGGAGCTCAAGTCCATTGGGTCTACCCATACCAAAACCTCAAGCCCGCAAACGTAAAGGGAACCTTAGATATTCTTTCTCTCTGCGCTACTGGTATTCCCAAACGTCTCTCCTTTGTCTCATCCACATCCGTCCTTGACACCGACCACTTCGTCCAACAATCAAAATCCGGCATCCCCGTCTCTGAAGAAGATGATCTTTCTGGTTCAGCAAAGGGTCTCGGAACAGGCTATGGACAATCAAAATGGGTAGCCGAATACCTTGTCCGACAAGCCGGCGCACGTGGTCTCCGTGGTACAGTCGTCCGACCTGGCTACATCACCGGTGACAAAACCTCCGGAGTAACAAATACCGATGATTTCCTAATCCGCATGGCAAAAGGTTGCATCCAACTTTCATGTCGTCCACGCATCGAAAATACAGTCAACCAAGTCCCCGTTAACCACGTCGCACGCGTCGTCATAGCCTGTGCATTACACCCTGCCAAAACACCCCTTGGCGTCGCTCAAGTAACTTCGCATCCCAGACTAACGTTCTCCCAATACCTCTCCACGCTTGAAACCTACGGCTACAACGTCCCCGAAGTAGAATACCCCATCTGGAGCCAGAAACTCCAAGCCTACGCTGCAGACAGCACTCCCGAAAAAGAACAACATGCCCTTATGCCCCTTTACCATTTCGCCACCTCGGATCTCCCAGCCGATACCATCGCTCCGGAGATGGACGATAGCAGCGCAGCAGCATCTCTCAAAGCTGATGCAGAGTTCACAGGCGAGGATTGGAGTAAGGGGGGATACCTAGATGAGGGGATCATGGGCATTTATTTATCTTATTTGAAAGGAATTGGATTTTTGCCTCTTCCGGAGGAGGGTAAGGGGAAGCCGTTACCTGGAGTTACGATTAGTGCTGAGCAGAAGATTGCGCTGTTGAGAGTTGGAGGAAGGGGTGCATTGGTTTGAGGAGGGTGCTGGTGGAGGTTTGCCTGTTTAATTGCTTGATTGCTTGCTAGCTTACTTATATGTATAGATTGATATCAAACAATAAATAGATAGGTAGATAGATAGAAAGCGAGTACAGCGAATACAATGAATTAAAAAGGAAAAAGTATACATATACATATATATTCTCTCAAAAGAACCGTATCTCTACGTAAGTACAAACATATATATTTATAAATATTCATACCTCTCTCCCTCCCATCCATCCACATTCCCTCCCTATTCAAAAATATCAAAAATATTACATAAATCTCCAAATTCCTAAACTCCCATCTTAATCAAATCAAAGCAAACCCAATAAAATAAAACTCTCAAGTTCATTAAAAGCAACAATAAAAAAGAATTAAATCAGTGATATGATCGATATCTAGGTACTGAGTATACAATGTAAACAAATAAATAAATAAATCATATATATATCTTATTGTCATACAGTAGATATGTATTTGGTATGGATATGTGCTCTGGACACCTAGTGGTATATTTTCATCGTTGGCTTTAGAAAGGTGAGCGATGGATGGGGGGTTGGGATGGTGATGGTGTAGGACTATAGATTACTCTATCGTTTCACTATCCTCTGAAATGTTCGGGCAATTTGAGGTTTGTGGAACGGATATGGCTATTAGTTGTAGAGAACGGTGAGTGAAGGTGAAGTTGTGGTGTGCAGTCACCATATATTTCGCAGATCAAATGCATGGCACGATTGCTCAGTCAGTTTAGAGTACGAGTTATGTTCAACGTATTTATTTCTATTTAAAGTGTGTCAATGGTGATAGCAATCATGAAAACTTCAAGCAACAAAAGTTTGTTGGCCAAAAGATATGGACCAAAATATCCACTACCCTCGAAAGGATACAAGATACCTCGGTGAGTAATCGGACAAGATCAATCTTCTTCCTCCAAAAATAGGCCTATACCACAGGTTGAACCGATCCTCGATGGGAAAGGGGGTAAGGGCCAGAGTGTTTGGGAAGTATTTGTTTCATGAGGTAGGGGGAAGTATGCGTGTGTACACCATGAGAAGCACATGTGCAGCGAGAAGAATGTCTTGTTGATAAGTGTTGTATTGTTCGTGTGTTCTACATATTCCTATGGCTGCACCACCGTTTCCATCAATGTAAAGCCTAATAAAGTTTCCTGTCTTCGAGCAATGTTAGCTTTTGGTTCGTCAAATTACTGCAGTAATAAAATGATAGATTGATTGCTTTAATCAGACATCCAAGGAAGATTGACCCTCATCTGTCCTCTATTTAGGTTCTAAGGCGAGGACTCGAGTGAAAACTGCGAATGTGGTATGTGTTTCATCATGGTGAAGCATGGGAAAGTGTGAAAGGTGATAAAACTGACCTTGGATTATAGAAAATACAGCAACCATGTACTTTTTGTTAGTTCGTGTGAAGTAAGATAGCAAATAATAGGCGGATCACATTTGTTGCAGCGGTGATCAAATTGGATGGAATATGCTTATAAGCATTACCGTTGAACCATGATAACATAATCACGGAGACTTGAGCCGCATGGTTGTGCAGCAGAAGTGTACCGCGATGATGTTGCATTGGCGCATGTTGATCCGTTACGCGGGAAGAAAATTTGCAAGCTAGAAAGAAAACTCTGCATTGTGGTCAGCAAGAAAATTCTAAAGCCACAGCAACTAGAAGAAAACTTTTTGAAAAGAATCTTTCAGACAACATGTACTGGCAAGTAACAAGATCAACTCGTAAGTATCTCTCGAACAGCGTAATTTTAATCATGGTCGATTAATTTGGGAAAAGAAGTATCGATTGAAATTGTCATCATTAGATTTAGAGGGGAAATGGAAAGAGGAAAATGGATATAGAAGATATTTTGACATACCATTGTGAAGTTATTTAAAGCTAATCTTTGCTGCGACCATTGCAGTAATGAAATCATCTTGAAGATGTATTCTTGCAGTTGTTGTCGGTCGAAAAGAAAGTGATGTAGTGAAAAAGGAATGTCAAACCTCTACGGTCGAAAAATAAAATTTTATATTGGAGAGCTCAGAGCTTTTCCTAAGCGAATGTCCGATATGACGCTAGGATTATTTTAGTGTGCATATCACATGACTGTGATGGAAGACACTATGCTTAGTTGGGTTTAGACTTTACTTCCAGATCTTTTTTCAATCTTTCTGATATTTGGTAGCTTTGGTTGGTTGAGGTTGATTAATAAGGAAGGTTTGGTTGACAGATTGGGAGTAAAGTTGCAATTGAATGATTGATTGATCATTGTTTGAATTATATCAAGGTTAAAATATATGAGATTAAAAAGGAAGAAAGTTATTGTGCACGATGATTTTGATTAGGTATTCGGAGTGACATAATTCAAGTTTTGTATAGTCAAAGAACGAGAAGAAGAAGCTTAATAGTAGGTAATAAAAACGTCACTGTACAAAAGAGACCACAGTAACAATTGGCATTGTTCAACAGACTGGCCGATGTTCTATCTTTTTTCTTCAGGTAGGTACGGAGAACAACACCGATAACAAAACAATGGCATTTTTCTCTTCTTAGATATACTTACTATCTATCTAGACCTAGATACTTTCTATAATGTATAGTACTCAGCCCATAGCCCAAATGACCCCATTTTCTTGATCACTCACTCGAACGAAATGTAGAATATAATAAGTACGGTCATCCTTACAGTCATCATTATCCATCTTGCTATAAATACTACGGTCACCCCTTTCATTTCACCGTCATCTCGTTATAAAATACTACGGTTACTTCTTCTGTCCCTAACCTTTCTACCTTAGCTACCAGACTACACTACGGTAGCCTACCATCACACGCTTGGTCTCTAAATCACACCCTACTCTATACATAGTACCTTCACTCACCCACGCAAAACTCACACACACATTGCAGCATTAATCATTAATCGGACTTGTTGCGCCAAATTCTCTTGCATCCCATCCATCCTTCCCATCGTGACAGGGTCCTCTTTCTCGACCAGACCACAGAACATTCACCACCCACCATCCGCAAGGATTCCCAAAGCAGGCCCAGAAGTATATCACCTTACGCTTATTTATCCCCGGATTCTCCTTTCACATTATATTTCGCGCAAATTAATAGGTATACTTTATTCCAAACTCGCTCATAAGTCGAATAACATTGTGCATATTTGGGGGAAGTTTCTTTTAATTGTTGTTCACCACCTACCTAGTAGCTACTATTCATTCTATTCCCATCGTTCCGCGGATTACATATCGGCGAGGTTAGAGAAAGGACGGGCAACACGGTTTTTTCACCATAAACATTTTGCTTTCGAGGCGGCTCTTTTTCAGGCGACATTGATCGTCGCACTTTCGCTGCGGTACTCATCTGCCGATCAATCTTTTAATAATCATTGCTCAAGTTCCCTCGATTCGTTGATACGTTACCGTCTTCGAGAATCCCGACAACATTCGCGGTTTAAAAAGAGTACCCACTTTAGAGGAAGCATCGTGCGCGATCGGGGTCTAGTTTGTATAATCCTCGCGACGGCATTGTATTCTTCTCCCCACGACAACGGCATATAGTTGAGCAGACAATTGGCGGATTCTAGTAGAACGTAGATTGAACGAAAAACAGGATCGTGGCAGAGATATCTCGATTGGATACCGGCGGAGGTGGAAATTGCGGCTCGAGGCGCATGTTACTTGCTTAATCCATATTGTTCGATATCCACATTCTGTGGATAATCGACCTGAAGCAAGATGATGACGAGTTTACAACAAGCACATTCACCATATCCAGGTCTTCAACATCAAGGTGTTCCTCAGGGTCATATGGCTGGGATGCCTCACGCTCAAGGTCAGCAAGGCCAACCAGGCCCAGGTATGCCTCAGCAGATGCATATGGGGGTCTCTGGACCAGGTGGGCCTCAAGTCACTCAAGCTGGTGCTATGATGGCTGGTATGCCACCTGGAGCTGGCGGACCAAATGCACATGCTTTACAGCATTTGAATCCAAATCAACAGGCGCAAGCAGCAATGTTCCAACAGCAGCAGATGAGTAAGCCATGCCTCCTATCGCCTTTTGCCTTTCTTCCGCTATACTTCACATGAATGCTACATAGTTCCATCCTAGACAATCACCATTCGCACAAGACGCTAACAATTAATTTCTCAGTGAACGCGCATCCTCAGTTGATGCAACAGCAAATGTTGGCACAACAGCAAGCGGCCAGACAACGTCAGGTCCTAATGCAACAACAATACAGTGGTGGGATGCCAAATGGAATGCCAATGAATATGCATGGGATGAATCCAAACCAAATGAACGCTCAATTTGCCATGCGACATGGTACCCCCGGATTGGCACGCCCAGTAAATCTACCACAACATCTTGCGCAGCAACAACAAATGGCTCAAGATAACGTTAATCAACAACAAGCACATCAACAGGTAAGCTCTCATCCACAATTCCACAATTTGTGTACTAATACATATTCGTGCTAGAATCATCAGATGATGCTGGCAATGCAACAACAAAATGCCCAAAACCATGGACCAAATGGTCAAGCAGGACATCCACAAATGACGCCCCAGCAAATACAACAATTCCAGCAACAGCATCTCGCCCAACAACAGCAGCATCAGCAACAACAACAGCAGCAGCAGCAGCAGCAGCAACAGCAGCAAGCTCATGCTCAGGCTCAGGCTCAAGCAGCACAAGCTCAGGCACAAGCTCAGGCTCAGGCTCAGGCCCAGGCTCAAGCTGTTTCTCAACAAAACCAAAATCAATCACAACCTCAGAGTCAACCACCTCAGTCAGCCTCAACGCCTCAGTCTCAACCACCACAACCACCAGCAATACAAGCTCAGCAACCGCCGGGAGCGCTTCAGCAGCAACAGCAACAGCAACAGCAGCAGCAGCAACAACAGCAACAGCAACAGCAACAGCAACAGCAGCAGCAGCAACAACAGCAACATCAGCAACAGCAGCAACAACATGCTGCCGCAATGTTACAACAACAGCAACAAGCGGCAAGGCAGGGTGATAAATTAAAAGGGCAATGTCTGATGCGATTAGCGCAATTTAGTGATCATCTCAGTGGCTTTTGCAAGGTTACTAAGCCGTTATCTGCTTATATGGCGAATGGTACCCCACGGCTGATTGCTGAGGCCGCAAAACAAAAAGATGATTTGGGATATTGGGGAAGCTTTGTGGATCGGTTCTTCTCACGGGCAGGAGTTTTACGTCATTCCGTATTCGTTACCGATGAAAATTCAAACAAGCAGTACGAGATAACATCTCCCGCGCTTCCGAGATATTTCCATACCCATTTCGAAAGTGGCATCAAAAACATGCAGATGATATTGGAGAAAGGAACTGAAAAGGAATTGCCGCTCAATGCTCACTATATTGAAAGTCAAACCTCAAGCTTCGTTTACTGGTTTGACAATGGCTCTCACGTAAGTCATAAACTAAACGCTTCAGCTCCAAATATCTTGTGCTAATTAGATTAAGTTGGTTGCCAATGGTACACTACGTGCTCATTTCGATGGAGAGCAAAAGCTCGAGCTACTTGACTTCGTGACTAGTAATCACGAAGAATATGTTCCGCGTAGCATGGCTTTAGAAGCTGCAAGGCCACTTCATAATTGGGGAAAGGAATGGAAGACCATGAATACTGGATCAGATGGCAAACCATCGCCTGAAATGAACAAGAAGAAGCAAAAGATGATGAAGTCTCCACCAAATGCCCCTCCTGATTTCGATCTACCAGAAACGAAACTGAAAGTCAATTTTGGAATCACTCCTGCAGTGTTTCGTTATCTTGAGGTATGTCTTGTGTCTCACCTCTTTAGCGTACCGGTTTCTAACAATTCTAGCTTGTCGAGGTTTTGGGTCAAATGAACCCTCTATTCCAGTTCTCGCATTCAAATCCAGGACTTTCGCCATATGACGCCTTGGATTCGTACGTTGCGCAAGTAAGTTCTAATGGAGCCAACGGTGTTCAGCAAAATCCTTCTGGCCCACGGACACCGGGGATGAATAACTTTCCCATTGGTGCCTCTCCCGCAGCTACGCACTTACAGTTGCCGGAAGGATCACCGCATATGGGTGGAAGTCCAGCTCAAGCTCCAGGAATGCAGCTCCAACCGAGTCAGCATGGAACTACGTCAAGTGGCCCAAGCGCAAACACAAGCCCTAATACGAGCAACAAACGGAGGAGACCAAGTACAGTAAAGACCGAGGAAGACGGTCAAGTCAACGGGACAGGCAAGAACAATGTCAAGCCTAGTCCGCGAATAACGAAGAGACAAAAAGGAAACCCTGC